AATATTTGTTTTATTTTAATTTAATTATTTATTTTAATGCGAATATATAACTAAATATTCTGTGAATATTTCAAGCGTCTACCTGTTGCCGTTATCAATATCGAGCAAATTCGAGCCAATATATCACATTTGTTGTATGGGAGTCCCCTTAACAATTTATTTTATTAAGTTTTTTAGTATTTGTTGTTATAGCGGCAACAGAAATACATTATCTGTGAAAATTTCAAATGTCTATCACGGTTCATTAGATACAGCATGGTGACAGACGGACGGAAAGACTGAGGGATAGCGGAGTCTTAGTAATAAGGTCTCGTTTTATCCTTTGGATACGGAACCCTAAAAATCACTATATAACAACAATTTTTAATTTAAAATTAAGACATTTTACCGTTTTCTTAAAAGTCTCTCTAAAAATGACAAAGAAAATAAATAATGTTAGATCTCATATTATTGATAAATACTGTAAATCTTTTCAACAGCGAGGCAACCTTACGGCATGCGCGCGCGCTGACAATAGACCACGTTTTTTAACATTGCGCAACGCTTATGTCACGTAAAGCTATAGATGTGTTAGTGAATAGATGATCGACAACTACATAAATCGTTGGCTTACTATTACAAGGTTCTATGTTAATTTTAATGAAGTTTGGTAATTTTTACATAGAACTTCGTTATTTTGTTATCGTAAGAAAAAACATAGAACTATGTAAAATTTAATATTTTCTAGTTAAAGTGCCGCTATCTAGTGGTTTGTTTTTGCAAAACTTTAGCTAATGACACATAGAACCTTGTAGCATTAATAACTAAATAAGTACTAAAATTGTAACATAGAACTTTGTAATAGTGAGCCAACGAATTATGTAGCTGCGTCGCGTCGCTAGACGAGCCCAGGAAGAATTGAATTCATCTTTTCTCTTCCATCTTTATACGTTTCCCATTAATTTTTGACGGTGCTTAATATTTATAAAACATAGCTTCCTCATTTTCATATAAGTTTTTCTTTTACTCTTAAAAATACAATTTTATATTTTTTGTGAAATGTTAAAAGGTCTAGTTTACTTTCTGCTCTTCAAACCGAAAAGCTGAATATTTTAGAGACTGTCAAAGAGTTTCCAGGGAAACATAGTACCTATTAATTTGCAAAAACTAGAAAGGTGTTCTCGGAATACAATTGAAATTCAAAGCATAAGCTTGTTAATGGCTTAGGCTTAGAACACTTAATTATGTGCGCAGACGCATTGAAACGGTACTTTCTAAGCGCCATGCACAAATTAAACACTGAGCAGCTCTCCAATTTTACAACCACTAAGCATTTATAGTATTCACTAAAATTCCAAAACGTCTAACTCCATAGAATCTTTCATCTCGGATGTGAGTTTAGATTTCGTTTGTAGCACTCTTTATATCTCCAGTATTTCTAAATATATAAAGTAAATCATTTGATAAGGTCATTCAAGGTCAGAATTGTAACATAATCAATATGTGTAGAACCGAATCCGCCGAAAATTAAGATATTTCTTGTTTTGTTTGTTGTTAGTTGCACTTCTTTCACTCTGCAACATTGGGCGGGATTGTTTATGTTAGTGAGCTACTTAAGCTACTTTCATGAAGTGGTTCCCGTACAAGTTGCGTTGCAAAAAGTTACTTATACAGTGTAACATTTTTTTGTTTGCTTGTACCGAATAAGCTCCGAAACTACTGGACCGATTTAGATGAAATTTGGTTAAAAGATAGTTTGAAACCCTGGAAAGGATTACAGACTGGATAGAATAGTTTTTATCTATTAAGTTTTTTTATGGCGAATCAACTTAGTGACGAACCTGAGCGAAGCGATGATCAATAGATATTCTTAACCTCCATCTGTCACTATAATAGCGCTAGCGCCGGGAGCAGTCTGCACTCTGCACTCCGCATACGCTGATACATTAGAATTGGAACAACCGAGGATTAAAGCGGATTATTCAATAGTAAAATTAGTATCTATTTGTTAGTTTTAACAAGTTAGATGGGTTATTCATTTCCTTAAAATTGAATTGTAGATATTACGCTAAGTATAATTCTAGTTCTCCGTGTAGATAGATAGATTGATAGATAGATTGTACGCATATTGTAATGGTTGACTGACACTGAGCCGCGCGAGCCAGTCAGAAGCGGCACACTAAAATAATCATTTGTAATATTCTGATATTCAAATCTGCTCTTCAAAGGAAACTGGAAGTTTGAAGAAGATATTATTGTGCTTAGTAATAATATTGCGATTTACATTTTGGTGTATTTTAAACTGGCTTTTGAGGCATAGTTCTAGTGCAAATAGCGGCCTGAGCGAAGCAGGCATTACAATATTAAAGGGAAAATACTCAATCACTTAGTAAGTAAAATTCATAGATTTACTATTCTTATGTTTGTATTGTTGGTATATATATATATATATATATATATATATATATATATATATATATATATATATATAACGTGATGTATTGGCAGTTTTTATAGCTGCGCCGTGCGATGAGCAGGGCAGCTTTTCTATTCTAATCCGAGCGGTTGTGCAACTCCAGTCTCCAGCACCCACGCGCGACTTCGATACGCGAAAATATATGAAACGTCTTTGTATTCATATAAATTTGTAATAAACTATATTTATTTAATATTGCGTTTTATAATATATTTTAATTATACAACCATTGAAGTTATCTTGTTAATTGAAAAATATTATTACCTGAATTGTTTTTTTAATCTGTTGTTTGGTTACTTTTGTCATTATTCTTGTGTCAATGTAAATATTAATTGACGATTAAAAATAAATTTTATCAACAAGAAAGAAACTACCTTGAATAAATTAAATAAGTCGTAAAATAGCCTGACAGGACAACTTTATATAGAGTTATTATAGGTAATTTAAGAATTTATTTATTTATTTATATTTATTGGTCCACAAAACAAATGACAATCAAACACATATAAAATAAAAATAGCTTGCAAAATTAATACACAGCATTGCATTTTTCTAGATGCAGACACAGCATGTATATACAACAAAACTTATTATTACAAAAAACGAGATTTAACCAACGGTAACAATGAGGAACGGCTTTTATCTACTAACAATAATTAATTAAACGTATTAATAGACATTATAAAATTTAATGATTAAACTTAAAGTATTCGTTGTGTTCAAACAACAAGGGGCTAAAAAATCGATATTTCTCACCTTAGTAGAAGTTATATAATAAGAAATGTTACCATAATTTTCCCATGCTACGAGTATAATGTAACATCGGCGCATCGACGCGACGCGCAGGCGGTCGTGAGTGGCCGCGGAGGTCGTCGGATCAAACGACACACGACCCAACTATCGTGATCCGTTGCATGACGATTTTGACTTCGTATTTCCATTATATTTCCTACGCCTTGACTTTGCGTTAATTCTGATATATCAATTCGATAATCTATACATATAATAACATTGTAACTAAGCCGAATCTGTACATTAAATATTTTGTAGAAAATCTTACTGAAATAAACATTATTATTGATACAGAGGCGGAAGCTATAGTTTTTAGAATTTTTGTCTGTCTTTCTGTCTGTCCGTCTGTTATCGCATCACAGAAATCCACTAGAGGGATTTTGATGAAATTTGGTATGGTGATAGCTGGTTATCCGGGTCAACATACAGGATACTTTTTACCGCGGGAAAATGTCTCATTTCTGAGAAAAAATACAAAAACTGAAATGTAAGAGTAAAGATTTATGTCTGGTACACAAACGTCGAAATAAACCTAACTACAGATAATATATATTTCTAATTATATAAATAAAAAAATATATTATTTCTATAACATTTTCAATAGTTAATTAGCTTCAAAGAAGATTAGTGAATTAAGTTGCTTTCATTTTGTTCGCTGTTTAAGCCGATTATGAGAGCGTCGCTTATAATGTGCACTATATTTTACATACGACCAGTCTAAAGTGCTGTAAAATACTTAGGTATAGTATATAATTTTAATTAGTTTTAACTAGGAATTAATTCGAACAATGACGAATAAAATCCAGATTTTGTTTCCAGTCTTTAAAATGATTTTTTGACACATTAAATCAAGCAAAGGCAGTAAGAGGTAGTTAGTTTAAGTAGGGGAGCGGGGGGCTAGTTGTTGCAGGGGTAAGTAGTTACACGCCTTTTTTACCGGGATTTTAAACTCTTTGGTGGACATAATTGGTCTCATTTGTTTTCTTATAACATCGTGCATTACATAAAAACGACCAGAGACCCGCCAAGCGCCAAGCTGCTAGGTTGTGTGCATGTGTCTCGATTTCAACCAAGTAAGTAAAAAAATCCTTTCCGAAATTTTTGATTCCTGATGTCTATATTTTTTATTTTCTCAAAATTTTTAACTTTCAACCTTCATAATATATCTACCTTTAATTTGCAATATTGTTTTTTTCTACTATCGATACCCATTAATGGTGACTTCAATTTATATTAAAAAACGTCCCATGGGGCAGGTAGTTACAATTTTTTGGGGTAAGTTGTTACATGTAACAACAAGAAAAATTACCATACCTAATTTAAAAAAAAATAATTATTCTGTTTTTTTTTTAGAATGAGAAACTATAAAAGAAAAATAGAAAGAGGTACATATAGTCAAGAAGTTTATGAATCTGCTGGAGCAGAAGTACTGCAGAATAAAATGAGCATTCGTAGGGCAAGCGAAATGTTTAATTTGTGTCCGATGTCCTTATCCAGATATGTCAGAAAAAACAAAAACAACGAAAGTTGTTTATTGGGTTACGTTAAACCTAGATTGATATTCTCACAAGAAACAGAACATAAATTAGCTTCCTATCTACTCAAACGTTCAGAAATATATTTTTTTGGTTTACTACCAATAGAAGTTCAAAAATTAGCTTACCAATGTGCTGTAAAACTCAATTTAAAAAAATATCCCCCCATCTGGCTTAAAAATAATACGCGCTCTGCTCTCACAATTTACAACCATTAGATGTGGGAGTTTATGGTCCTTTTAAAAACCACCTTAATCGAGCACAGACAGCCTGGATGTATAATCATCCAGGAAAAGCAAGAAGCTCGAAAACAGTCCATCCATACTCGTCGTAAACGCAAATCCGCTGTGTTAACCGACACGCCTGAAAAAGACTCATTAAAAAAAGAGTATGAAGAAAAACTGGCCAAGACCAAAAAAACGTGTGACAAAAATAAAGGAAAAGGCAAAGGAAAAGGTAAAGGACAGTCCTCGAAAATGAGCGAAGAAGGTAAAGATAAGGTGAAGAAAAAAAATATTGGTTTCCGACTCGGATTCCGATACTGATGAATGGTTTTGTTTAGTGTTTAGCGAAAGTTACAGCACCTCGAAAAAAGAAGATTGGGTAGAATGCTTAGAATGCAAAATGTGGGCCCATGTCAAATGTGTAACGGGAAACGTTCACTCATTCATTTGCATTAATTGCAATTGTGATGAAGGCTAATTTAATATTTGTATGTGATATTGTTACCTACCTCTATATAAATAACTATATATTTTTCTATAATATAAGTACCTACCCTAAAAAATGTTAGAATCCAAAGTATTTTAGTTTATTAAAAGTTTATTAAAATAATTAATAAGTATAAATAATTTACTACAAGTTGTTATTTGCAGACGAAGTTTCTGTGTTTTTATATAAGATTTAAAAAAGTTCCTGCCAAAGTATGTTATTTTTCTACAAAAAAAATCTTCAAAAATTACGATATAGATATTATAATTACTCATAAATGTTAGAAAACTGTTTAAAGTGATCTCTTTTGTTTATAACGTTATCAAATAATAATAAAAATGATTTATAATTGATGATTTTGTTTATTTATCTATCGTAACATCGTGCCCCGAAGATGTAACAACTAACCCCAAATGTGGGGTAAGTTGTTACAATCGACTTTTTTGGTTAAATTGTCGATTGTGAAAAAAATACATGAATTTCGATAACTTTTCAATCATATTTTAATAGCTGAATAGACATACTAACGATAAAAGCAATCAAATGTATAAATTATTTGATAGCTTTTGTCATATTGATATTTATCTAAAAATTGTAACAACGTGCCCCCGCTCCCCTACATTTAAAGGCTAACAACAACCCCATCTCGCCGGAGATATCACACTCGGTCTACATATTTGTACTCAGCCAATTTAGAAATATGGCGCCTTGATTTTCCACTAATAGAAAGTCCCCGTGCCACTAACAGACGGACTAGATTTTTTCTAAATTGCTACCGCCGCCTTCTTTCAAACTTTCATATACGTATATTTTATTACCAACCGTAATACTGTAAGTCGGAAAATTATATGCTTCGATCCTTTCCCACGATTTACTCGTAGGTGGGTTGCAACTAGTGATAAGCGACGTCGGACCGATTGGATACTTGCAGAATATTAAAAATAAATTGAAACTTATTGCTATATATAATTTCATATATGTATTTGTTGGTTCTAGAAGCTGCAGCGAAAGATTGCACCGACGTGATATTTGGCATATATATACCTAAATCATGAACCGTAGAATGAGATAGATGAATTTACTTCCACGTGGGATAGCGTATTAAATTAAAATGTTATAAAATTTATTAAATAACGACTAACGGCTGTATAAAGCAAACTTGCTTGACAAAAATTTTTGCTTTTGCGTAAATGCAAGTGCAAATGCACATCCATAATATTTAACTTAAAAAAACTCGGATTCAAATCTGTCTTAGATAAAAATTGTAATAAGGATCGAACTCGAGCGGAGCGAAAGTGATTCGCTAGTTATGAATAAATCACAAAACAAAAAAAAGGAAAGTAGTAAAAGAAATTGTTTGAAAATAATCATTTGCTTTGAACGTGAACTATTGGAAATTAAAAACACCATCAAAACATGAGAGATGAAACGAATCGGAGCTCCAAAAGTGTCCCAACTCCAAGATTATCTTCTAATAGAAGCGTGATGAATGGTGGAAAGAGGTCGGCGCGGGCGTCGCCCGCTGGGAATGTTCGGTAAACGATCGCCTCACTGTCTGTTGCATGTTGCGTCTACTACTGCTTATTAAATAACTTGTTTTATTAAAATCATATAGATAAAACTAATTAAATATAATAATAAATATATACGTAAGGACATTAACACACAGCACCATCTAGCTCCATGATAAGGTACGAAGGCTTGCGTTATGGATACCAGATAGTTGAGACACTACACATATTATCTTATACCTTATATATTTAAATTTTTGATAAATCGATCTAGATTAGTCTTATGTCTGAGAAAACGCTTGTTTTCGAGTTTTCATGCAGTTTTCTTTTGCATTATTCCACGCAAAATATGATCAATAAATATAAACCCATGACTGGAGTACAAATATTCGTGCTCATCACTCAAATGAATGCCCCCAGCGGGACTCGAACACGCGACCTCTGGCACAGCAGCACTATAAACTAAGTAAAACGTGTCGACATCTGATCATCTACGTCAATTAGAATCTGAGTTTATATCTGCGGACTTAGCTTAGACTCTGATGACGATTTAGGCTGAAAAAATTGTTATGTTACGTATCCTTTATAATAAATCTTGTTATCCGTTTATATTTCATTTGCGTATCTATAAAACCGTTTTGATTTAAAACGTTAGAATTCATCTTATGTTTTCCGGAAAGCATTCTATGACAATTATTAATAGAAGTATTCGAAAGCTGTAAACATCGCATTATTTATTGAATTATTTTAAAAACATTTTATCAACCATTATATCATCGACTACAAATCTTACTTTAACGTCAAGAGCCGAAGTCAAGTGGCGGGACAAGTGTACCATAATTACACTCCACAGCAAACAATTTATTATATCTATTTGATCTGTTGATGGAGCAACAATTATGCGTTTACTTACAAAACCGCTTTTAAAATGATCTCTGGTGCCGCACTTGCCGACCTGTTTGATTCCACTCTGCACTTCTAAAGGATTGGTTATAGGTTCGTTCAGGAAAAAAAGATGGCAGAACTTGCTTTATACATAATAATGTTTGTATGTCGTTATTTTGAATTTAATTTTTATAGTTCTACAATAATACTTGTACAGTGTAATGTTAGAATCTCACATCAAAATTGAAGACTATGACTCGTTTGAAATACTAGCGGCTCACCCTCGCTTCGCTCGGGGTCACCTCTAAAAATCCAAAAACAAATCTAGCCCACAGTTACCGTACATTTTTCTGAGAAAGAAAGTAGTCTATATGCTATTCCAGAATATAATCTATCTCTGTGCCAAATTTCATTTAGATCGGCTCAGCCGTTCTGGCGTCATTGAATAACAAACATTCATACATCTAACCTTTCACAATTATAATGCCTCGGTGGTGTAGTGGCTAGCAAGTACGACTGCACATTGAGAGGTCCTGGGTTCGGGTCCCGGGTCGGGCCAAGTTTAGTTATTGAGTCTTTCTGTTTAGTAAGTCTCGGTAACAGCCCGGAGTTTGGAAGTTGGCTGTGCCTCATCCCCGTGCCTTGGAGCGTACGTAAAGCCGTCGGTCCTGCGCCTTAACTCTCACCGGTCGTGTCGAGTAGTCGTCCCATCGGAGTATGAGAGTGGCAGGAATAGAGAGTGCACGTTGGGTCTGCGCGTACACTTGTGCACTATAATATCTCCTGCACAGATGGCTAGTCTCAATAAGACTGGCCACCGTGGCCGAAGTCGGTCCTGAGATCATTATTTCCATATATGTATAACCATGTGTAAACAAACACAACATTTGTATTTATAAGAGTAAATAATTCCTTGTTTAGTATAATAAGGTATTTATTCTTTGAAAATATAAAACTTAAAAACTTTGTCGCAGGATTTCAGGAATCAGAATTTAAATAGAAATTTCATTTCAGGTAGTTTATGTAAGTGAAGACTCTTAACAACATTCTTTAGTAAAATATTTCCACTAAAATGTGATACTAGAGTAAAATTCTTATTATCAACGTAGGTGTTTACTCAATCTTGCGCCTGCATTACTGAAGTGACTTGCTTGTATATTCAGTTAGGTGAGAATTTTAAAAGGAAGTTAAATATATTAAATTCTTTCTACTACTTTATTTTATTACTCGTAGATGTAGATAATAGATATCATGAAATAATTATAAGATGCTTAAGATTAATAACAGTAAAGACTCTTGCCTTTTTATTACAATCTTACACTGATACTTTATAGATAGGTCGATCATTCTATCGATTTCACAAATGTTTCGAAACAGTGTTGTAACGAAAGGCTCGGCACTTGAATTACGAGTATATGGCCATTGTCCACTCGCGCCAGCAGTGTCATCGTGCTGTACCTGCACAACGGTGTAGAATGTGCTAACTCCGAACCATATTTTAGGCTCGATAGATATTTCTATTGCAAATTAGATCTTATTATATTTGACTCCGTAGTCACAGCTTAAGATAATTAAGACTTCGGTTATTTTAATTAATAATAACTGTTTTGTATGGTTGCTTCTCCATACAAATTTTCGGCTCAAATTTCACCCCCTTAAGAGATGATTTCCGAGATAAAAAATATCCTATGTCCTTCTCAGGTTCTCAAACTATCTTCTTACCAAAATTTCATCTACATCGGTTCTGTAGTTTCAGAGTTTATTCGGTACAAACAAACAAACAAACAAACAAACAAACAAACAAACAAACAAACAAATAAACAACCAAACAAAGGAACAAACAAAATCTTTCCTCTTTAGTCTTTATAATATTGGTATAGATAATGAAACATTTAAAAAGAGTTAAAATATACGAGTATGTTCTTTCGTTAATAATGTTGATTATTTATTTATTTCAGTATACCTTTTATAATTGACTAATAATATACTTCTGAATTATTTCAATGGATCGATAAAATATAATATTATTATTAGATAATTTGCGTTGCAGATTATAATACTCGGTAGACTTGTCTAAATTGTACTTTATATCAGACTTGTTATGAAATCCCTTTTAAAATTAATTTTCCTCTTACTAAGACCCACAATCACGTGGGATGCAATATGAAAACTTCGCAATGATAGTTTAGTGTACACGATTAATTTTGTAATAAAAGAATACTTCATGAAACCGTAGTATTTCTAATTTATAAAGCTTTACTGGCTCGTGGCTCGACATTTTTAATTAAACTCGCAATTTATTGGAAGGCACGTCGATTGTACGAGTATGTACTAAGTAAGAGAAAGATATGAACAATTTTCCCTAAGTATTTCTAATCTTTGTCGATGGTCTATCAAAGTCATAGGTATTTGGACTAAAAAATCTTAATACTTTCTTAGATTTACGCAAATATTTCACATTCTAAATAAAACTATCTTTTCGGTTTTTTTCGCGGATTCTTTTTGTTATTTTGTGGTAAGGCTGTCTGTAAGAACTATATAATGCCTTTGAGACATCTAAAACCTCAGTCTCTCCCGTGACTATGATTGCTGTAAAGCATTCGAAACGTTCGGAACAAAAAATCAAAATAAATCCGCTTATTAAAGTTTCATCGCAATCGAATGAGTGTTTAAAGAATACATACGTTACGTTATAGCGCGAAGGGTAATTATGTATAGAATGCTAAGCCTATGCCTTATATGAAAGAATTAAAATGGAATATAGATATTTTAACACAATTTGATCAGTTTTATTTTAAAGTAAATAGTAAAGTAATAATCTCGAAAGTCGATATTAACCTACTGCTAACAGTCGTATCGATTTTAACTTTATATAATGTGTAAAATCCAGATGACAATACAATAATTAGATTTGGCTAATTAATGGCTTCTAGTAAAACCTGAATTTGTACTTATTCGATTTGCTTTAATGAATTCCATATATTTGCACAAAAGCGTGACCTTCTAGTTTTTATAACTGTGATTTATTTTTGATTAAGGCCTCTGCGATAACAATGGGCCTAAAGAAATCTACTCAGTTTTTTCCAGTGATGTGCAAATAAACAGACTAATATATATATAATGTGTATTAATATAGGAAATATGAAAAATACAATTTTTTTTTAATGAAGAATAGAAAAATATATATCAGAAATGTTTGTTTATACAAAATAATATCGGCTCACCCTCGGTCCGCTTGGATTCTTCCCTACTTACGTTTTAACGTTTAGTGTAAATTTCTCAGAGATGTTCTCCCGCAGTAAAAAGTATCCTATATGTTGACCCGGAACTATCATTATACCAAATTTCATCAAAATCACTTCCAGTGGTTGCGGACACAAACAGACAGACAGATAAAAATTGTAAAAATTATAGATTCGGCCTCAGTATCGATAATGATGTCTGTTTCAATAAGATTTTCCAAAAATATTTCATGTACAGTACAGATTCATCTTAGTTACAATTTTATATGTATAGATATGCCACTTGCTGATCCAACCTAGTGCTAGACAGTTTATAGACTTTTCATAGTAACAATTGTCACAATTCGACAATGTACGTAGCTCCTGGCGAGGCCACGTATTCAATATCAATTGAGAGTTATTGCGATTTATTTCGTTTGCACAAAGAAGTTACGCCGAGTATGAAATCATCGCTAGCATTTATAGCTTAATCGACGGCAGGGTTGACGATACTCTATATATTAGTTTTTATTTTTTAATTAATATCTATTTTGTAAAATAAATAAGTATAAATCTATACTGACTTCATGTTGGTTTTTACAGTGCATAGTGTTCTTATACTTAGTTTTAAATAATTAGATATTTCCTTAACTTATAGACATTAAAACATTATTGTTAATAAAATGAAAGGATTAAACACATTTAGACTAAACTATATGAAAGGCTAACAGGCGAATGTAACAACATTAATAAAATAAATGCAAGTATTGTCCAAGTCGATAAAGATAGTAAATACAATAGAAAGAGCATGGTGTTTTTAGTTTTTTTCTCTATCTTGTTCTCAAATGGTGCGAGCGAGATGGTTGTGGGTCAAGAAACCGGATCGTTTGAGGCTACTTGCTGATACCTCGATGCAACTGCGGCTATAGAAATAATAATATAAAACTCGTGTTTCATCTATGACTTTATTTTTTTTATACGGCTAAAGGAATGGGATACAAAGAACTGTGAATAATTTTATACGTTTAAATATTAAAATAATCTAAATTGTTTTGCTATATTATTATTTATTAAAACAGAAAATTGATAATCATTTTATGAATAACAAGAAATTTATTGATAAAAAAATGAATGCGATTCATTAAAAAAACTAAGTGACACATTTCATGTAGCTGCAGAGGTTTGTAGGTGATGTAAATTGTGACTATTACACAAAAAAAAAACTTAGAAATCAATAGCATTGCTTACATTGAAAACGTAACGATTTAAATGTACCTAACTATTTTTATTTATTTTGGTGGCCAATTCTAACAATAGGACAAAATCAACTAGGTATTTTGATAACAAACTTTGACAAATTTCTATGTTTATAAATAAATAGGAGATTTTTATATATAAAATTGTAAATCACAGACTATAAATAAAGGAACGACAGTATTTCGTCATTTGCTATTAAGATAAGATTAATAAAAACTTAACATTCACCGTACTTCTTCAAAAGTGACCTAATCATAACATCGCGTGTAATGTGGCGGCCAGACACGCGATGTCCGCGACACGACTCGGTCGGCGCGTGTCGCTAACGAACCACGCTGGCTGAATGAGAAAAGTCATTGCACATTGTCTCTTAAAAAATAGGCTTCGCGTTTCGCGCGCTTTTCATAATTTTACATTTGACATTTAAATTTTGTTTCAGTTAATTTTTAAGATATGACTGTGATTGTGTAGTGATGTTTGAATTAGTGAAACATAACGAAAGTATCGTGGATAGGACAATGAGGGAGATAGGGTCGGATTCGTTCGTGTGTAGGGTCCAGTATCTGAATGATTTAGACCCTTTAATAGAAAATAATGTGAGAGAACCTCCGAGGCCCTTGTATCACACGTTCAATACTACGATTCCACTGTCATACCAAATAGCAGCTGTGCATCGATTACTGCAAGCACCACACCGGGTAAGTATACTTATATTTACACTAGCAACTCACCCTAACTTCCCTCAGGTTCGTCAATAGTAAAACACAAAAACAAATGTATCCCACGGGAGCCGTACATTTTTCCGGGATAAAAACCTATATGCTATACTATAATCTATATCTATGCCAAATTTCATCTACATCCGTTCAGACGTTCTCGCGCGGTTGAGTAACAAATTCCCATTCAAACTTTCGCATTTTTAATATTAATAGGATATGTGAATAATTTCTAATCTATTTTCCACATCAAAGTACATACACAATATCTAAGTCTCACATATATCACATATCAAACATGGTGAATAATAATATTATTAAATTATCCCTATCATTATAATATTATTGCACACGATAGAACGCAAGCACTCAAAAATTGTTATCTACTTAACATATGTATGCAATTATATCATAAATACATAGTACCTATTAGTAAGACGGCTTAGTCACCGTGGTATTTGCTAAAATTATCTGTTCCAAATATTTGCTGCGCAGGTGAGAGCTGATATAACTGCAATAATCGCATCTCAACAATAAAATTGCTGTTTTGTCTAAATGACTGCGCCTACCTACGCCTCTGTCCGACCGCGCCAATGTAACAATAGGTTCTAGTGAGTCAAATAAATATGCCTTTATTTATCTTAAATGAGCTCGCTTTTCTTATCAAAAGCTATATAATAACATTATGACTTCATGTCTTTGATATAGTTAGACAGGACAATTGATATCTTCTTTAAATAATGACTTCGTGTAGAGCTTGAATAGGTTTTATCTAATCAGCGTGTAAACAATAGTTGCTTGCGTGCGATCAGTATCAATAAAGACAGATTTGTTAGTATAACCTTATAACAGTTTCTGAGGTGTGGTCCTAAATATTTTCACAATGAGGTGCCACCATAGATAAGCCAGACCTTCGAATCTGCGAATCCCAATCCCAAATAGCCACCATGTTCCATTTATACCGTGCAAGAACTCTATTATGTAAATATACTGAGTAGAAGGTACATTGATTGTGCTTTATGTCTAAACAAAACGAAATGTTTTATAGACGTAAAAACCTACGCGTGGTGAATAATTTGTTAAAGACATAGGTAATTTAAAAGATATATTGAACTATTTTTCAAGGCTTAGTTTAAATTAAACATGTTACTTATAGCATAAACCATACATAACTATATTATAATAATGATCATATGAACTAACAATCGATGTTGAAGCCAAAATATGCAGATAAACTCAAAACCTAAACCGAACTCTTAATGTATGTATGTATTCAGCCCTCTTTTTTAACGTCCCACTGCTGGGCACGGGCCTTCCTTCAATACGAGGGGAATCAGGGCATAGTCTACCACGCTGGCCAATTGCGGGTTGGAGGACTTCACATGTCTTTAGAAAACTTGCTAAGTTCTTTCAGACATGCAGGTTTCCTCACGATGTTTTCCTTCACCGTAAGGCAAGTGGTAATCATGTTCGAAATGATTCGTACATGAAAATATCAGAGGTGCGAGACCCGGGATTTGAACCCGCTTCACTCGGTTTCCCAAGCGAGAGCGTTACCACTGGGCTACCACATTTTTAGCAAAACAGTGAATATTATAAAATGTCTATAGACCTACTTAGACATAGAGTTGAAATTGGCATGTCGTAACCAATGGTCATTTACTACCCAACACTTATAAATAGCCATTGACAAGTTTCATGAGGACGGTTAATTATGACCGTAACTTAGCATCAAACAAAATACAATAGCAACTAGTTTGACTCGACTCAAGACAGACAATATACTCGTATAAAAGAGCTATTATACCTGCAAACTCGTCAACTACCGTTATCTAGCCACTTGTTAGTCATTTAAAAGGGACATATACTTAAATCAATTTATAAATTATACTCCATGCTTATAAATAGAATTGAAGACATTTTTTTTGATACTATATAGAACTTAAAATTTTTACCAAAGCGAAAAAAACCTTCGTTGTTCTGTTATTGTTAATGTCTTTCCGCCATTGCCCATTACCAAAAGTTTTGGAGATTAGCACGTGAAGGCAGAGAGTACACACAAATATTTCCTTCCCGGCTATAGTATCGTACAATTCATTTTTCATGGACGGTTACTACTTCAAAACCACTGATAAACACTTTAATTTTTTATATTGTTTAATTTTATTTTTTATGAAAAGATAACAATGTAAACAAATATCGTCAACCATAACTGAGCAAACATAAACGGATAAAGACGATTCTCAGCGAACATGTGAAGCCGTACCGCCGTGACATCACCAATATATTACATTAACAGCCGCATCACAGTCTCGAAATGACTAGAAGAAATATATACATGTAGAATTTAATTAGCTTGTCCGTTCATAATTTCTAATTAATCGCATATTACCGCAATATTAAAGTTGTAACCTGATGACCCTTTAATGATCACCCTATTGTGTAGATCACTAAGTTTTCCAATTAAATTACTTCTGTAAACTAGACTTGTTAAATATATATTTCTATAATATAATGTAACGGCCCGGGGCTCGAACCCAGGACACGCTATCTACTAGGCCAACGAGGACTACAATACATAGATATTAGATATGTATGACGTACGTATGAACGTCTTACTGTTACTGACTACACATAAAACATGAAGCATCATAATAATTCGTTGGCTTACTATTACAAGGTTCTATGTTAATTTTAATGAAGTTTAGTAATTTTTACATAGAACTTCGTTATTTTGTTATCGTAAAAAAACAACATAGAACTATGTAAAATTGAATATTTTGTAGTTAAAGTGTCGCTATCTAGTGGTTTGTTTTTGCAAAACTGTAGCTAATGACACATAGAACCTTGTAGCATTAATAACTAAATAAGTACTAAAATTGTAACATAGAACCTTATAATAGTAAGCCAATCTCCTGACTATAATTTTGATATCAACTTTGTCAGTTACATCAATAAATATAATTAATGATTCTTTACATAAATAATTATGCCGTGTCATAATTGTACGTACAATGTACATGCTCGTATATACAGGGATTAATTAAAGGATAAACTGAACTATATTTGACCCCCGAAGCAAAAATAGGTGTTATTAAAGTTTTACATATTATATCTGTGTGTCTGTTTTTCTTTCTGTTTAGTCTTAAAAATTTAATTTATATATGAAATTTTTTGACTCTATGCCATACGTAATGGATAAATTGAACCACAGATGACACTAGCAAATTAGAAATAATAATAAATTTAAATTAGGATTAACTAACTCTTGCCCGCGGCTCCGCATCCGCTACATCTATAAAATTATCATGTTAATCCGTGATAACTTTATAATGAAATTTACTAAGATCGTAATGAAATAAAATAACAAAAAATGCACGCACGCGCACCCGCATACAGGCGCACATGCACGTACGCGCACGTCGTACGTACACAAACACACACACACACACATGCACACACTTCACAATAAAGTCGAAATGAATGAGAATTATAGTCTTTATGTTCGTCCAAACTCTCGGAATTCGGGAAAGTAGAGATAAGAGTATTAACTTACCTAATCTCTATTAAAGCTGTTCAAATCAATTCTTATGCGAGACACGTCAGAAGGCTTTTATTAATGATGAATTTATTTCAATATGTAATTACTGTTGTTGGATTCATTGCGCCAAGATTTAATTTTTAGAGTTACCATCATAGTTTCTTAGATTTACGCGAATATTTGACATTTTAAATAAAACACCTTTTCGGATTATTTCGCGGATTTATTTTGATTTTTGGTTCCCGACGTTCCTGACGTCGCGTTGGTTGTCTGTAATAAGTACATAACGCCTTTGAGACGTCTAAAACCTTAGTCTCTGCCGTGACCACTATTTCTGTAAAGCATTCGAATCGTCGGGAACCAAAAATCTAAATAAATCCGCAAAATAATCCGAAAAGGTAGTTTTATTTAAATTTTTTAGGGTTATGTTTGAGTGATTTCTTGTATTTATGAAACCAAGGTCTATTTGATAGGCAGATCGTTATTTAAAAATTATTTTATTTTTGAAGTCTGTCTCTTGGTAAATTTTAAAATGTTCATGGTAGAGAAGGTACGATTTAGTGACGAAATGTGCACGTTTATTTCTGAAGTAATTCATAATGTAGAGCTAACAAGAAATAGAGATATCACAACTAATGAAGAGCTTGATAAATACACTAAGTTTAGAGATAAAAGATTGTAGTTCACAAATGCACATTAACTTAGTTTGTATAGAGTTTGGCTTCATTCCTTTAGATTAATATTAACACTGAAATGATCTTTACACTCGATATTCAAGACAAAGCTAATGAGCATCTATTTATCATTGAAGTTTGCTGCATTTCTTTTTGTAAATATTTTTTTGCAGTAAACATAAAAAAGTATGACAGATATCTTCTAAAGTAACATTTATATAAGCATATAGTATAAAATGTCACTCATGGTATTTTATCTATAGACATTAGGAGTAGGTAATAAGAGAGCTGTCTTGATATTGTAAAGAATTACAAACGTACATACATACACACATACATACAAACATACTATTTACTAACTGGTTATACCTGATGTGTTCAGGCAAATAACACACAAATTATTATTACTGAATCCTCCGGTTGCATATTATGCAACCGGAAGAGATACACATGCTCCCCGCTCAGAAAATCTGGAAGTTTTTGGAGTCAACAGGACTAAGCGGAGAACTTTAAATCATTCCAAAAGGAGCTACAATGGACCATAACTGGTCGACGTAGCTAGGGCTGACCTCGGCACCACACCCAATTAAATAAATAATAATACAGACACTTAAGTGTTATTCCAGTTCATAGTCAATCTGAATGCTAAATTTTATCCAAACAGATCTAGCCGTTTTGGCGCATAGTAGCAACAAACATACACACACGTATAAAAAAACTTTCGTAATTATAATAGACGTCCGATAAATAAATGGAAAGTATTCAAGTGCTGACTGTCCACTAGTAATGAGATCATGGGTTTATTCATGATCTCAATAACATCACATACCTACTGGAGTGGCCTAGTTGTCATGTGCTTCAGCATGCTCTATACGAAATCAACTAGATGACATTACAAGTCATCGTTTTTTATTGACTGAGCGAGCGAACGCGTCTCTGCTTCAAGTCTGGCAAAATTTGCTTTCCTCTGTCAGTTTGTTAGTACTCCTCTACAGGTCGCATTTTACAAGATCTCGATGAAACTTTGTATTATTATTATATCATATTGGATTTACGACTTTATAGAATTTTTTGATTGGAGGGATACTTCCTATAAAAAGGAGCTAATGGATATCTTCGATTTATGAGATCCGATTTCGGGGCATTTTTTTTATTTGATGGGCAGTAACTTTAAGTTGGTCTCACAAAAATTTGGTGAATATTTGACTCATCAGATCCTCAGATCTTCCGAGCAGAATATCTCCTCCAAATGCAGTAAATTTCTCACATAACTTTAGAGGTATATAATTATTTCAAAAAAGTTTAAACTCGCGAAGTCTTTGCGAACTTTGCAGAACTAATAGTTAAAGTCTATACTAATATTATAAAGAGGAAATATTTTTTGTTTGTTTGTTTGTACCGCATAAGCTCCGAAACTACTAGACCGATTCAGATGTTTGGTAAGAAGATAGTTTGAGACCCTGAAAAGGACATAGGATAGTTTTTATCCCAGAAATCATCTCTTAAGTTTGTATAGGAAACCCGAGCGAAGCGAGGGTGAGTCACTAGTAATATATATTTTTAAGTACAAAAGCTTTAATAGCCAGCCTGTAATGGAGTAAATTTAGATACCATCAATATTGTAACTTGTTAAATATAGTATATTTAAATCGGCTCAAATTACATTAAGCATGTCTGATCTCTATTATTTCCATGACTAGACCCTTAAAGTATGCAACAGTTAGATTTAAACCAAAACTAGTGCCTAGAAATAAATTTTCATCGGAAATTAAATGTAAATATGTACTTGAAAAACTCTCATTTTCACATAAAATAGCCAAGTTTTTGAAATTAAGTAAGTATAAAACGCAGATAAACCAGTAGACTGTCGCAAGTATTACATAAAAATAAATAATAACATCTTTTCTCAGGCAATATTGGCAGAGCGCCAGATTACTTTTACTAAATGTTTACACCTTTGCTAATTCTAATTTTGTGTCTTGACTCATTTTGTTTTTGGGACAGCCCTTAGTCACCCAAACTAACGCTGTGACATACTGCATAAATAGTACCTATTGTGATATATCTTGATGAAAATTTATGTAATAATACTTCATGCATATATATATAGTTAAATTTCATTCATATCACTTTCATATATTAATCAATCAAACAATTGTTCAGGAAAATCGTAAAATAGATAGTTGTCGTGACTTAGATCTTAAATAATACGTAGTTATTCCATCAATTTTACGCGCACTTTCATTTATTTTCTAAGCAATATGATTCCTAATGAAAACCCAACTGGAGAAAATGAAGAAAGAAAAGAGTAGAATCGAAACTAAAACAAAAAATATCAACTATAATTTCTAACTGAAATAAAAATATCACTTTAGTTTCAAAATATCTAGATATATATAAGAAAAGTTCATTATTATACATAGATGTAACTTATTTATAATCTAATATTAAGTTAATTTTCATCAACCGGTGAAATCCCATCTAGAAATATCAATCTTCATCTCACTAAGCAAGCACGTGGACAATGAATTTTGAACTTGCAACGCCATCTCTTACTGTTTATGCGTATGATACCAGGACTGACTTCTTTAATATACATATCGTTAACCTACTCAATGACAGATGGCGCTAATATAAAAATATAATAGAAAATATTTCTGATTGCAGTTGGACGATGCCACGTTACAAGTGTTTAAGGACGGCGACTACGGACCCTACTTAGATTTGGACTCAACTCTCGGCGAACAGGATGAAGAGCTTGAGGGGCTGCAGGACAGGTTGGTATGGCCGTGCCGTTTGCGTTTTAGGAGTCAGTAACTTTACTTACTTTATATATAAAAACGATAACCTAAAGTTCAACTAACAATCCGTAAAAAGGCAAAGGAAGCAAATATTTTATTTTTAAATAAGAAAGTTCGAATGTGCAAAGCTTGCAATAAAAATAATTAGTATAAAAACTTCAGTCTATCAGCTCAAATCAACCAATGACACAAAATTAAAGTCAATCAATTTTCTCAAGAGTCTGGTCTTATGATGAAGAAATTGCAGGAAAATGCGATTTCCTTTGTAATTAACAAGCCTTTAATTATAAAAATAAAAGTATTATTCTTTTTATCGAGCATTTGTCTGATTAATAAGTGAACCATATTCCGTATGAAATTACACAGACTTAACTTGCTAAATAATTATATAACAATAATATTTGCCTTAAGTTGTCAGTACCGTTATAAAATTAATCTCCGACGGTCAAAGCTTATCATACCAAATAAGCCGTTTGCATGGTTTACTGGTAGGCATTAAGGAGATCCACAGTTCACCTCTTGACTCCATGGTTAGATCATTTCAATTGTACAGAATTATGGTACTGTGATCGAAACACACTCGAGAATGCATGTCTTATCCATTTTTAATATGTCTTGTCAATATGAAAACGCTATGTCGCACGTTGAAGAAAATAGTAATTAGTGACCTTTCGGTATTTTAAAAGAATGCAAACTAACTAGATCAACTTAATCGTTATCGAGAAATTAAAACGAAATAAAATTAATTCGGTATTACCCTCATACTGCTTACACATGCACAAGACAACTCCTTATAGGCTCCTTATAGCTCCTTATAGGTCGTGCCATCTTGCCGAATGCTTTTCATCTAGAAATACTAGTTCCAACAAATATAGGTTCTTGTTAGGATATAATCAAAGAATTACATATATCATATATGTATACATACTAGCTGAACCCGCGGCTACGCCCGCGTTCAATCTACAAAAAAAACTCTTTGGCTTTAGGTTTACAGCCACTGACCCTCCATTCGCTCGGAATTGTTGCTATGTATATATATAATATAAAATAATTGTTTACAAAAAAATACTAAAACCGCGATTAAGAAATGGGGGGTGGGAGTAGGTGGATGAAAAATACTTTACGACCTATTCTCATAACTACCAAATTTACAAAAAAAATCATTAAAATCGGTCGAACCGTTTTGGAGGAGTACGACCACAAACACAGTGAGACGAGATTTTTATATATTAGATTTAATCGCGTTAATCAGAAAACTTCAGTATGATTTGAAAATAAGTAATTGCTTATAGCAATAATTAAAGTTATAGTCCTAAAAAAACTATAATATATTATATAACTCATATATTGAAGCATACGATGAGGCAGTTATAAATCATCAATGAAACTACGTAGTGTCTCCCCTACATATCCCGTGTGGGGGAAGTGTCCCCCAATAGCGTGCAATAATAGATACAATAAAAAGTAAATACGCGATCATTCTAATATAAATATAAAAATATTGAAAATTAACACTTTTTAAAATAAGTATAAAATTAGTATTATTATAATCGTGATAGTATCATAATATATTCTGTAGATTACTTGTCAGTTGTCATTGATGTATTTCTTATTAAAAGTAGCAAATTACCAATCAAGTAAGGCTTTCTAGTGACACTACTATCACTGGGGTACCACTATAGTCTGCACTGAAGAAAAAAAACAAGAGGGAGAAAAGGAGAAGGAGTGGAGAAATAAAAAGTAGGAGAATAATAGGGAAGAATGGGGAAAGTGGACTCTCTTAATAGCGTATTTTCTAAATAACCTGAAAGATATAATAAATATATGGCATGATGCAAATAAATTATTTGTATCATGCTTATAGATAAAAAAATAAATTTATCAACAATATATTAGTATAAAATTAATAAATGTACTTATGTAGTGTAATAATAACAAAAAGTTGCTTGGTTAGGGTATAAGTTCTACCATGATACTGGATACAGTAGATATTCAAACAGGTTAAGAGATTTTTAGATTGTTATCAAAGCATGCAGGAATAGCTTTTATAGCTGCGACTGTGAAATGCCATATAAAAAAGTCTGATAATTAAGCTCATGAAATTAGTAATATTTGTGGGGTTTCTCATGAAAAGAGTCATATTTTATAATACATTTATTTTCATGCAATCCACTAAAACGATATATATTATATTTCACTTAGAAATAAATGATTTTGTTCATAGAAACTAGATGGCTCTCTATGTTTTCTGAAACACGCTATGGTTTGATTGAAGAGAATATGTTGCATTTACAAAAGTGCAATAGCGCCAACTACAGTCGCAACGAGAGCAACTTCACATTACTAGTCAAGAAATAAATGAAATTATAATACTTAACATAAAGCTTACGCTTTTCTTGTGGTTGTGGGTAGGACACATATTTTTATAAACGTACTGATTGACAGGCAACCACAAATTATAAAATCATGAAATTTTACATATAGCCAAATAAAGCCATAGAAGTTAGTTAGCTTAAAATAAACGGAGTTTCAATTCGTCCTTTAATAGGACGATAAAAAAATATTTACATAGTGCTACTTTATAAAATATTTAAATTACTAGCATTGCCGCGGCTCCGCCCGCTTTCAGATGACCAAAAACCAAATTCTTAGGTTTTATATATTATTATGTTCTTACATTGCAGTTTTTATATTTTTTCTCAAAAGTTGAGAAGTTTCCCCGCGGTAAAAAGTATCCTATATGTTGACTCGGATAACCAGCTATCATCATACCAAATTTCATGAAAATCCCTCCTTTGGCTTTTCTGTGATGCGGTAACAGACAGACAGACAGACAGACAGACGCAGACAAAAATTCTAAAAACTATAGATTCGGCCTCAGTTTCGATAACAATGTTTATTTCAAAAAATTCCATAAAAATATCTAATGTACAGATTCGGCTTAGTTACAATTTTATTATATCTATAGATAAGGAAGAAAGACGAGTAGACTAATAATAAATGAGTAAGTAGAATAAGTAGCTCGGCTCAGCTCGGTGAGTAAAGGTTTTTTTTGCATACAGAAACTCCTGCACCTAAAAATCATTAGTTTTACATTAGACAACGAAAAAAGTGGTAAATATTTATATTCGTACAAACCGACAATCGATAGTCGGACGAATAATACATATATTTTTTATTCATCCGATTATTATCGGGCGAATAGCAACAGCCTCCTTTATTTATTATTCGTCCTATAAATCTATTAAAGTACGAAGAATTATTTTATTCGTCCTTATTTTAAGTGAGAATATGTTGCTATTCTCATTCGCCTAGAATAAATTGCCATAGTTTAGACTAAAATTAATCAATAAAATGATACTCCCATACAAATACCCATTCTATTTCTATCACAGTAGTTCTTTCTAGTCTCCACTTAATGAAGATTGACAAACTGCATTCACGGAACAGGATGGGCACGTAACTGTATTGTCAGCTGGAGGGTAGAATGTCACCTCTACCAATCAAATTCTAAATATGGGGCTTGGAAATTGATATATAAACTGCTTCACTTGAGTAGGAACAAACAGTTTTAAAATTAGTTTCTGAAATATAATACATAATATCTACTAATAATACAAATTGAAGAGTAATTCTGTATTTTTGTATGTAGCCCTTTTTAACGTCCCACTGCTAGGGATCTCCTTTCCAAGGGCCTCCCTTCAATACGAAGGCGATAAGATCATCAGGCCACGCTGGCCAAGACGAGTTGGTGGACTCTGTCTTTTTGGTTTTTACTTAATACGTATTAATTTATAAATCAACCGCAATGGTTTCTATAAAAATTACAAATGTTGCACCTAAGAAACTCTAATATAAACAACACAGAACCATAACAAATTCTTCACAGAAATTAATTCGCCAGTTCTCAGGAGTAATGTACATTGTTCATAATATGTTCTTTTATTTCTTAAAGGCTTTAAATTCGAACACGAATATGTAGGAACGCTCAATACGTGTGTTTTAAAATTAATATTTAAAATTCCTTAGTGTATAGATAATGTTCAAGCGTATCCCATTTTAAATTAAATCTGTTCGTCTACTTGTGTACACATAACTTCAAAACTAATTTTAATATTTCTTCTATACAAGTAGGTACCCTACAAATAAGTGAACTCAAATCATAGCTATACATTACGAACTAAATGAAAAACTAACCTTCAAAACAAGCAATATATTAACATAGAATAAACTTTCAACAACTATCTCAAATAAACCCAGCAGAGGTGCTAAGGTCGTTACCATTTCCATACACCGAAATAGATCCGACACATGCATTATTTGGGTTACCAGTGTACGTGACCGGGTAAACTACTGTGCCATCTGATATCAAACTTTGCCAAATTACATAAGCCTCATTGGATTCTATTCGCTATCACGTCGTTTACTTGTCCAATTTTATTGACTACATTCAAAATATTCTTAGATTCGTGGAAATGACCAAACGTGCGAACAAACAGACGTTTTTCCTATAAATGAATGATTTTAATCAAACGTTTGTAAGTTATTTAAATTTATTACATTATTATGACTTCATCGCATCAGCTGATCTATGTATATACGAGTAAAAGGCAAAAGTTATTGACTGATGTATCAACGCACAGGCCAAACCCTTATGGCAAAAAATTTGAAATTTCGCACATGTATTCCTCATATCACGACGGCATCCACTAAGGAAGAATTTTACAAAATTCAACCCCCAAGGGGGTAAAGTAGGGTATAAAAGTTTGTATAAAACTTTTTATTCCTTGGACAATTTGCATGAAATTTTGTATAAATTGAGTACGACAAAAATAATGAGCGTGTTCATAATATTTCAGCGTTTTCAAAAATTCAACCCCTAAGAGGGTAAAATAGGGGATGAAAGTTTTTATGAAATCCACTATTCAGTTTTTTTTAATTTTAGCAAAGCAGAGGCTTCTGCTAGTTTCCAATATATTTAGCGGTGTTAATAGCATTATAATTAAATTTATATACAAACACGTTATATAACGAATCAGAACATCACCACATAGATACGTTCCCACAAAAATGACATAATATTTTAAAGAAACTTAAACTAAAACGCAATTTAACGTAGAAAGTATAGAAAACATTGGGTGCAAGCGAAACCGTGAGCGGCGTCATGAAGTTTTTCGATCAATCGCAAGCGAACGCACAAAAACCTATACACAATGAACTTGCACTATGAGAAACTTATACACGCTGCTTGATTATGGCGAAGAGATATTGTTTACTTGGAACAGAACGTTCAGTTGGGTTAGGCGCAGATGATCAATAATAATTATTAAACTATTGAGAATATACTTAGCTTTTAGCTTCATGTAAATATTGTTTCTTAGATTTTTTTTTTTGAAAAATAAATATAAATATTTCCTAAAAGATATTAAGAATATGTGCCGACGCAAAAAACTGATGTCCCGTTTTACCCCTACTCACATTAAAATGAGATCGCGAGTTAGTTGTCAGTGAACACGGGCAGCGGGCAGCGGGGCAACGTCTAACCTATATATGAAATAGAAAAACAAATCGACTTTTCGAACGGTGTGAAACACATCCTGTGTACGCGAATCGTTACTGGACGCTCGAAGAAGAACGAGATTGTGATAGTTTCGCATTCTGCTGCTCTGTGGTCATGAATAGAGAGGCGTCGGTGGACTCCGGCTTAGCGGACTCCTGCCATGACATATCAGACACGACCGTTTCCACTTTGGAGTCAGGAGATGAACTAGATGAGGATTTCCAGGACGCGTGCGATCACTTCGACGAGTGAGTTCAAAGCATATTTGTACCAAATATTATGTTTTTCATGGTCACAGTCAAACTAGTGTTGTTTTTATTATACTCGTAATACCAAAGTGCAAAAGAGAGATGTCACTTTTAGAAGATGTTAAAGTTAAATAAATAAATTGATGAATTAATTTATTCTTTGGAGAATAATATTAAAACAGAATTGAAAAACGAAACGGGTGCTATATTTCAGAAACAAACTTGATGTAAATAATTTTATTAATTATATATTTGCGACAGTAATAGAAAAGAACAACATAAAGCAGCATATTGCATATTATATATTATTGTACATATATATATAAAAGCAGCATATTATTGTTGTCGCGATAATATAGAAAACAAATATTTTTGAAATAATATGATACAAGTATGGTAGGTAATACTTTTATGATTTTTATGTTATTTTTAATATTTTATGAATGTTGGCAATAATTATATCGTTATACACCAACTTGGATGTATTCTCCAGACAATTATTGGTAGATTATGAAACTCTAATTTTAACATTAAAGTTGGTGATATTTTTGTACTTAATAGACGATTTCTATATAATACTCGTATATGAAAATCTTACCATACTTTATGACAATCTTAATTGATCGCGCTTAATCTTTACAAAAAAATATATTACACGATATCACTATCAATCAATTTTAGAAAAAAAAATTATAAGAATAAAAAACCCGACTGCATAAAAGCTAACAAAAAGATAAAAAAAAGTTCACGACGGAATATAGTATTATGCAGTCAGAGACATACACGATTCATCCTTGCGGGGAGATGTATATACTCGTATGTAAAATGCAGTGGTAGCCCAGTGGTAACGCGCTCGCTTGGGAAACCGAGTGAAGTGGGTTCAAATCCCGGGTCTCGCACCTCTGATATTTACATGTGCGAATCATTTCTAACATGATTACCACTTGTCTTACGGTGAAGGAAAACATCGTGAGAAAACCTGCATGTTTGAGAGAACGTAGCAAGTCTTCGAAAGATATGTGAAGTCCACCAACCCGCACTTGGCCGGCGTGGTGGACTATGGCCTGATCCCCCTCGTACTGAAGGGAGGCCCACCCCCAGCAGTGGGGCGTTAAAAAAAGGGCTGAATACATTACATACATGTCTCCGACTGCATAATACTATATTCCATCGAGAACTTGTTTTCATCTTTTTGTTAGCTTTTATGCAGTCGGGTTTTTTTTTATTTTGGTAATATAATTTTTCCCATATAAGTAAAAAATAAAGGTGAAAAAAATATATATTTACTATTACGATATTACGATTTATTTTTAATTTAATTTTTTTTTTAGCCGCAAAAATGCCTTGGTACTGCGCACCCAACTATCGGTACGCGTCCATGCTATCATCGGTAAGAAATAATTCTCATATTATTTAACCTTTACTAATGTTATATATGCAAAGATATATCTTGGTGTATGGTTGGTTTGTCGTTCTCTCCAAAGCAAAGCATCGACATGATGTTTATTCCATTACGTCAAGTGGTTTCGAGGGATATCAGACTGTCGCTAAATGGCTAAATGTGACGTGGATGAAGTGAGGTGTGCTCACTAGTTATTAAATAATGTAAATATTTTTTTATATGAAGTTCATATATATTTCAAATAAAGTACGTAATACAAGAAAAAGAGAATATTTTAAAAATACATTGGTGACATTCAATAAATGTTAAATATAAATAAATAAATATTATTATAAATAGAAACACCTATATATATATATATATATATATATATATATATATATATATATATATATATAAAATTTGATTATTAAGCTTTTGTTCATGTTGCTTTTACAATTTCTCTCTTTCTCTTTTAGATCTTACTCTATATATATATATATATATATATATATATATATATATATCACAGTAATGAGTGCCTCTAACGGGACTCAAATCCGTGACCGCTGGCAATGCAAGTCCCTACAAACTGAACCAAACGCGTCGTCAAAGTATCTGAGTCCCTTACATTTTCACTAAAGGGCCCTTTCCTATTGCAGAGAAGCTGTTACACTCTCAAGGGAGAGAGCTCAGACGAGCCCTTTTCACACTCAAACAAATTCTACAACAAGACAAAGACCTGGTGCATGAATTTGTTGCCAACAAGGGACTCGACTGCCTCATGCAGGTTGCGAACATGGCTGACCATAATTATCTCGATTACATACTAAGAGCACTTGGTCAGGTGAGTCCTATTTTACTTCTTACGCATTTACTCGTTTAAAGAATTTAATTTAATTTTCATTACAGTAGAAATTATAAAGTTTGTAAATTTAATACAATGTTTGAATTTATCTTACGATCCTAATAATCGTGCGTGCAATTATAATTTTTGAACGTAATAAAATTTTAACTGAGTCGAATCTGTAATTTAAATATTTTTTGGAAAATCTTGTTTAAATAGTCGTTATTATCGATACAGAGGCCGAATCTATAGTTTTTAGAATTTTTGTCTATCTGTCTGTCTGGGAACGCATCACGATTAAACTGCTAGACAGATTTTGATGACATTTGGTATGATGATAGGTTATACGAGTCAATGTGTAGAACACTTTTTAATGCGGGAAAATATCTCATCTCTGAGAAATCTATACTATGAGATAAATAATAGTTATACTTATAAAATTTGATTATTAAGCTTTTGTTCATGTTGCTTTTACAATTTCTCTCTTTCTCTTTTAGATCTTACTCTACGTCGATGGGATGCACGGAGTTATGAGTCACAAGAGATGTGTACAGTGGCTGTACTCACTTATATCCAGTCGTTTCCGCCATATTGTTAAAACAGCCCTAAAATTACTTCTAGTCTTCGTCGAATACACTGATAAGAACTGTCTAATTCTAATTGACGCCATAAACTCTGTGGACAACACCAATGGCCGCCCACCTTGGTTCAATGTCATGAAAATTCTTCAAGATTTCGATGCTTCAGACACCGAACTCCTTATCTATGCTACAACATTAATAAACAGGTGTCTCAACAACGTGCCGGATCGTAACACATACTACGACCAGATAGACGCTCTCCAGGACCAGGGCATTGATGATATCATACAACTGTATATGTCCAAACAAGGAACGGACTTAGATCTGTTGAGGCAGTTACAGATATTCGAAGCAGTTCTCTTATATGAAGATGGAGATGAAACTGGGACGGCTCTTAAGTAAGTGAGCTGTTTTTATACTTATAACATTTTTAAAAATCGTCTTGTATTTAATAGGTTTGGCTTAAAACTTCATTGGCGCATTTTTGAAGTAAAACTTGTCTAGGCGTGACTGAGGTTTAAATCAATACATTGGAAAATGAGTGTAGCGGAAGTGAGAGTCAAGTTTTTGTTATTAATCATTAAAAAATATATATTATATATACATTTATATATTTATAATAATTACTACTTATAAATATATTTAATTATTCTTAATAATTTTATAACAATAATTAGGTACTTATTTATAAGTAATAAAATTTTATGAAAATTATAATATTTATATTTTGATTTGTTTTAATTTAATTGCGGTATCTGCCACAACGCCAAAGAAGTTTCACTTAGTTTGTACTCATCTTATTTACTGTTTATGTAAAATAATTTGTAGGCAACTAGACGAGTCAGTGATATCTTCTGTGAGAAGAAGAAGTTTGAACCTGAAGCCATCAGAACGGCGGAAGTCCAAGAAACAGGAGGTGAAAGAGAAAGGTATACATTAGTAAAAACAATAGCATCAATGTCTGTGTGCCATTGCATGCGCAGTAACCCACCGTGTTCATATATATTCTATCTTAATAACTTTCAGTTTTACTTTTTTTTTTCTTTAAATTTATCATTCGCTTCCACAATAAAGCCTTAATCGTTGCATTTCACTAACAATCGACAGCACAGTCACCAGTCATCAATGAACCTGAAAAAATAACCAGCCCTCGACCATCATTTCTGCCCTCCATAATGGATGCCAAGGAAAATAAAGAGTTAAGCTCTGCTCTGAAGCGACGGAGGGATAGATACGCCCGACAAGCTCACCATATTATACAGCAGCAGGAACTGCTCAACAACTCCCATGGCATCTACAATGGGCTATTTGAGAAAAACGATCAATGGACGAACAAAACTTATAACGGCACCTATAATGCTGCCAACAAATACGTCACAAATGGTACCAACGGTACCATCACATACAACACCAATGATACAAACGGCCAAGAAGAAGAGAAATACACGAGAAAATCTAACCTACCGGACGTTTTGATGAATGGTTTGTGCTTTTGCTAACACACTAATTAACATCAATATTACCGCTTATTTGCATATTTATTTATTACTTTTAATTTTTTATGTGTGTGTTTTTTTTAATTTTGAATTATTTTGCTAGGAAACCAAAGATATACAGCTGGGTTGAAACAAAGAATGCAAAATGGGACGTTAGGTCACAGTGTGAACCCAACGGACGCTTTATCTATTGTCAGACAGCTAGATTTTTCATCCGATCCTAAAGATGATAGGGAGATATTATTGAACCGAGAGCACAGTATTAAAGACTTAGCTCAGAGGCTCACAAGTGCCGTCAGTCCCACGACTGAGGAAAAACCTTTAAGAGTCTCAGAAATGGCAGGGATCGTGTCTAAAGCCAAAGAAGAATTAGCCAAATCAAAATCTAAAGGTAATGTGGAACAATTAAGGGAACATTTAGAGTACTGTAAATAAATATGTAATATTGATATGTTGGGACAATTAGCACACAGCACCTTCTAGTTCCATGATAGGCTACGTGGCTTGTGTTATGGATACCAGATAGTTGATACACTACATATATGTAACTTTAAATACATACATTTTATAAAGATAAACACCCATGACTGGAGTACAAACATTCGTGCTCATCACACAAATAAATGCCCCGAGCGGAACTCGAACCCGCGACCGCTGGCACAGCGAATAGGTTAAAGGGTCACTATAGACTGAGCCAAATATGTCGACTTATTAAATATTATTATAAACTATACATTTTCTCAGTTTCGCTCATATGATCTTTATGTACACCTACGATAGATATTGACCAGTTCGTACTTATAGATAGTAAAATGTATCTCTCTTAGATCTTTACATGTAAATATTTCACAGTATAATTCTAGCATTTATTAAATTTATAATATACATCTAAAACACTGAACCCTACAAATACTAAAAACATATAATATTCACAGAAATAATTAAGAGTCCAACCATAGAGAAGAGCTCAAAGATACTCGAAATAAAAGTATCTGAGAACGACTTACACTGGGAACAGCTCAAGAAGGGTTGTAATAACCGCGAATTCCACTTGTGTGACCTGGACTTTTCTGACTTAAGATATGACTCAGATGACGAAACTGAGTCACCTACCCCTAACTCTGCACCACCCCCTCCCCCTAACTTACCCCCACCACCCCCTAACATGTTGCCCCCTGTAGGGCTACCCCCTCCACCACCGAACAGCTTCTTTAGCTTACCCAAAAACTTTCCTTCAATGGCCTCATCAGAATCAACCACAGATGGGAATTCGACTTTGAAGAAAAATAAGAAAACAGTTAAATTATTCTGGCGTGAAATACCAGAGAACCCAGTCCCGCCACCGATCAGGCCGAAAGTTGGTGGATTTATTTGGGACGATCTGCCTGAAGTGAGCCTCGATACAAACATGCTGGAACACCTCTTCGAGTCTAGAACTAATGATTTAATTATTAAGGTAACATCAAATTCTTAATATTTACAATTACCTAGCGACACCCACGCTTCGCTCGGGTTAGTCCCTAGCTTGCTTCCCAATAATACAAATTTCATCCCCATTTTCACCCCCTTAAGGGATGATTACCGAGATAAAAAATCCTAAGTTATTCCCAGGATCTCAAACTATCTTCTTACCAAATTTCATCTAAATCGGTTCAGTACATCCCGAGATTACCTCCTACAATATCACAAACTCACAAAATTTACCTCTTTATAATATTAGTTTAGACTACCAGAACCCGCGGCTACGCCCGCGCTATAACTATAAAAAAAAGTAGGTTTCATACAAACAGTCCTTCAATGTTTTACCCCCTCATGGGATGAATTTGGCAAATCCTAAAACACATTTCTTTAATTGTATTGAAGAGCATCAATACCAAGTTTCAAGTAATTCTGATCATAAATATTTTTTGGGTTGTATTTTAACATGTTTTCCCGTGGAAATGAAATAATCCCCCGCGGTAGTAAAAAGTAATCTATGTCATTCTCAAGCCCTCCAACTATCTCCACACAAAAAACCACGCAAATCCGTCACTCTGTTTTCACGTGAAAGAAGGACAGACAAACAAACACACTTTCATAATATTAAGTATGAATTTTTGTAACAAATTAGTATGATTATATGAATTAAGTTTATGTGTTTTAACTAATGGTAATGTTATTCTTTTCATGTCCTCGTCCGCCTGAACTCCACAGGAAGTAAGTATAAGTTGTATCATTTTAACATATATAATAGTTAAAAATTTAAATATGAATACAAAGAATTCATAATATCGTTAAAAATATCAGACTCAAAATCTCTCTTTTTCAAGCCAGAATGTATAATGTATGGCATGAATGTGGATGGATATAGAATTAGAGGTGATTTGAGGGAGGTGTCGATGATATAAATATGTTGGAACATTCACACACCACCGCTTAGTGTGTAAAGTGTGTTAGACGTCAACTGATAGAAAGAAACGAAAAGAAGAAACATACGTGTAACATAATAAGAATAAGAAGAAAAATAAACTGTAATTAAATTTTGTTAACCCCCGACGCAAAAAGAGCGGTCTAATAAGTTTGACGTCGATGTCTGTCTGTATGTGTCTGTCTGTGGCATCGTAGCTCTCAAAAGTATGGACCGATATCGATGCGGTTATTTTCATTTGAAAGCCAGTTTCCTTGCGGTAGGTCTTAGCTATGTTTGGTTAACATCGGTCCAGCAGTGTAAGAGTATCAGCTCTTTTCCAAAATGATGTAAGTGTAATCGTTAAATGACAATTAATTTGCGTAGGGGGTTTTTTAAATTTATAATTATTATTTGATTTTAATACCACAATAAAATGTGCTAAAGGTCTTTTTTTAGGCCTAAACTTTAGATAACCTTAATAATACGAATCACATAGTAATTTCTAACTAAGTAAATTTATCTATTCCCGCATCAGAAGCTAATGGAACCAAAAAGAAACTTAATATTGGACACCAAACGTTCCAACGCGATAAGTATTGCCATGAAAAAGCTTCCGACGCCACAAACTATAAAAGTAGCTATAATGAAAATGGACGCCACCGTCATAGGGAGGGAGGGCATAGAGAAGCTGTTGACGATGTTGCCGACGCACGAGGAGAAGGTGAAAATACAAGAGGCACAGGTACGTCTCATGATGAACAGCATCATGGTTTAAATAAAACTATCTTTTCAATTTTTTAAATTCATTTTGTTATTTTGTGTGTAGGCTATCTGTAACAACTATATAATGATCTTTGAGACGGCTTAAGCCTTAGTCTCTCCCGTGACCATGTGCGTTGTAAAGCAATCGGAACCAAAAATCCAAATAAAATCCGAAAAGATAGTTTTATTTAAAAAGTCAAATATTCGCGTAAATCTAAGAAAGTATTATGTATCTATGTTATTGTGGATTTGTAGTAAATAATTTGGAAATAAAACTTTTAAATTCATTAGATTATAACTTTTTAGCGTTCTGTACCTATCTCAAAAGGAAAAAATATACTTTAAGGATCTATAATTAATGATACTATAAGGATCCTGAAAGAGTTTCTTTAATCCTTCGTTCTATGATCCTTCGTTGTCCGTCTGTCTGTCCTGTCTCAGTCCCTTTTACTCAGAAACGCGTATCAAGTTGAAATTAATATCAAATAGGTCAGATTAAATAGGTTATAGGTTCAGGTCTGCTATTTCTTGGAGCTGTAAATAATTCAAACTTCTAAGAATCAACACAATCAAAAGATATGACCGTCTATCTCGCATGATACTCCAAGGGAATCAAAACCTACAGGGTACTTTCCGATGACCTAGGATCATGGAATTTGACAGGGCGGGATGCCTGTGAATGGACGGAATAGTAGCACAAGTAAACAGAAAAATCAGTAAGCTCTAAATTTGTAGTTACATCACAAAAAAATACGATTATAAAATTATATTAATGCCATGCTACGGAACCCTCGGTGTTATAGTTAGACTCGCACTTGTCCGATTTTATTATAATATAGCAACAAATATATGTACATCTATAATGACCTATCACTCTTAAGTTACTTTTAGGTATAATAAAGCGCTTTCACAGAAATGAACAAACGACTAAACCAATCTATACTAATATTACAAGGAGACAGAATTTGTTTGTTTGTTATTTTGTTTGAATGCGCTAATCCAAGAACTAATAATCATGTAAATATATAAAACGATAATATATTTTGTTTCTCAGTTTGCGAATCCGGACCTGCCATTGGGGAGTGCAGAGCAGTTTCTTTTAACTTTGGCATCAATCAACGAGCTCTCGTCGCGACTTAAGCTTTGGGTCTTCAAACTAGATTTTGATAATCTTGAGGTAATAATAATCTGAATATATTATATATATTATTTAAAATTGATATAGTATTTTTATCGAATTTAAGAAGTGTTTTTCTGTAATTATCCCATATTAAGTATTATAAATACGAAACTTTGGATGGACGTATGTTATTAATGACGCCAGAACGGCAGAACGGATCTGGATGAAATTTGGCACAGAGATAGATTATAGTCTGGAATAGCACATACATTTTATCTTGGAAAGATGTACGGTTCCCGCGGGATAGTTTTGTTTTTGTTTTTCACTAGGGACGAAACCGAAAGAAGCGAGGGTTTGTAGCTTGTTCATAATAAATAATAAAATGATGACACGGTCAAAGCTATATATTAGTACATATTATTAAACTAAAGGCAAAGAAAAAATCTCAGAAACTTACGGATTTTCATGCCGTATTCAGTAATAAAAAGGGGTAAATAAAGTAGACAATCTAAGAAAGTTCCTATAATTAAGAATATTTTGCTAAAATAAGCGTTTAAAAAGCGAAAAAGAAAAGCAAAAAAAAAGTATAATCTGAAAGCTTCTTCAATATTACAAATGCGATAGGCATATAACACCAGGTCACTCACTAGTTGAAAAAAAAACTTAGTATCGACAGAATTAGATAAAACACCAAACACATTTTTTTTGATCTAATAACAAGTATAACACCATACTGGCAGGTTATATTTACCATCATAACATCAAAACCTATTCAATTCCCAGAAAGAGATAGCAGAACCCCTAATGGACCTGAAGCAAGGAATCGAACTGCTTAAAGCCAATAAGACTTTTAAAGTGATTCTCTCCACTCTTCGCTCTGTGGGTTCCTTCCTCAACGGGACCCAGGTGAAAGGGTTCAGATTGGAGTACTTGTCCAAAGTGATGGAAGTCAAGGACACGGTACACAAACATCCTCTCCTGTATCATATTTGCGAAATGATCATAGAAAAGTTCCCGGATACAACGGATTTCTTTAGCGAAGTGAGTGGTTAATGTTTTTTTCTTTAAGGATTTGTATTTTAATTTTAATTTAGTAAGGTTTAGCTCATGACTTGACGATTTAATGGGTGATTTGAAAATGTTCCTGTGTTGATGAGAATTAGTGGCTTGGTGTTAAATTTAACGATTCGGTTTTAAGTGATTTTGGAAGGTTTGCGACGGTTCAGATGAACATTTACACTTCAATTTATAAATGTTAGCTTTTTGAATATAAATGTATTTAAATTATTATAAAAAGACATTTCGAAGATATCATTTTTACCGATTTCAAGAAAAGAAAAAGTACTAATTTTATATGTATTTGGATTTGCTCGAAGTTTTTGACCATAAGTACAATTTCCTTTAAAAAAAGACTAAAAACTTGAATAAATACAAAAAAAAAAGGAAAAAAAAAACAAAAGTAAAAACTTTGTATCCGACCGGGATTCGAACCCGAACACCTGTGATTGTCAATCTTGCGCCTTGGCCTTATCCTTGAATACGGTGCTTATACCCGAGCATGCGAATTTAGCGACTATGTTTTGGGTGGAATAATGCGAAAGAAAACCGCATGAAACGACTGGCGTTTTCCCAGACATAAGACTAATGTAGATTTATTTATCGCCCCCGAAACCCCCTGTGTACTAAATTTCATAAAAAAAAACATCATATTTTTTTATGAATTCAAAAACTTTTAATAAATTACTTTTGAAGTAATAATGAAGTTATTATTGAAGCATTTCCAAATCTCAACCAGGTGGGTCCAGTGATCAGAGCGTCCAAAGTAGACTTCGAGGTCTTAAGTTCAAATCTGCTAAAACTTGAGGCAGATTGCAAAGCGTCGTGGGACCACATGAAGCGGGTCGCCAAGCACGACGGCTCGCAGATGTTCAAAACTAAGATAAACGAGTTCCTCACGGATGCTGCGGAGAGGATCATTCTTCTCAGCATCGTTAAGAAGAGGGTGATGAACAGGTAAGACTTAGGGGTTGATATGACAAGTAATGGGTTTGAAGTAGACTGTGTTTACTGACTCACTTGTTGACTGAGTAGTTATAGTTGTGAAGTTAAATATTAATAAATATTTCCACCCTAAGAATAACCATAAGAATGAAATGTATATCATTGAATTAAGTTTTAGTTTTAAGTGATGTAAAAAATGTTGCAAGCGAGTAATGCGAATTAAGTATCATTGCAAAAGCAAATTTTCCAAGCTCGTTATCTTCTTGTGCATTGCGAATAATTAATGTGCTAAGCGATATTATCTGTCATTTTAAATTACAATATATGTACTAGCAGAACCCGCGGCTTCGCTCGCGCTAAAACTACAAAAATATCTCTAATAAGGGAGGCTTCATACAAACTTTTATACTCTATTTTACCCCCTTATAGGATGAATTTCAAAAAATGCTAAAACAGCTTAAATTGTACTGAAGAGTATTAATACCAAGTTTCAAGTAATTGTAATCACAAATATTTTTTTGGTTTGTATTATAACGCGTTTTCCCGTGGGAATAAAATAATCTCCCGCGGTAAAAAGTAGCCTATGTCACTTTCCAGCCCTCCAACTATCATCACACATAAAATCATGGCAATCCGTTACTCTGTTTCAACGTGAAAGAAGGACAAACAAATAAACAAACAAACAAACAAACAAACAAACAAACAAACAAACAAACAAACAAACAAACAAACACACTTTCACACTTATACAAGTAATATTAGTATGGAAGTATGGATGCCACCTTAATCTTTCTTCTTATATCTTCTCCTATCTTCTTTCCTCAATTTTCAGATTCTATAGTACTTTCTTAGATTTACGCGAACATTTGAAATCTATACATATTATAATGTAAATATGTCCGTAACTACCATAGACTCATACCGTTACACATAACACACGTAATTAAAGAGTTAAAAGTTGGGATAGTTAAAATACTATAGTAACTTATACAGCTTAGTACGCAACAACTTATGCACCTAATTTAGTAAAATTTGGCATGCTGATAAATATACGAATATCAATATATGAATACATACTTACACAAATACTTACAAACATTAGTATAAATTTAAAGACATAACTACTACAAATTAAAGTGAACGGCAGTTTCTTACCAAGCATACTGCAAAGGACATTTGTAAAACATATAACACATAAAACAGATTTTTCACGTAATCTTAATTAACAATACTGTTTTAAAATTAAATCTCCTCTCTTTGGCCGTTAATTGAAGCTAATTTCTTTATAATTTAAATATATTTATATTTATTTGTTTAACTGTTTGTTTGCTAGCTTGCTTAACTGCTAGTTTTCTTAACTGTTAGTTATCTTAACTGTTAGTTAGCTTAACTGTTAGTTAGCTTAACTGTTAGGTAGCTTAACTGTTAGTTATCCTAACTGTTAGTTATCTTAATTTTCGGTTAGCTTAAGTAATTGTCGGATACCTTAACTTACCTTTGAGACATCTAAAACCTTATCTCTCCCGCGACCACGATCGTTGTAAAGCATTCGAAACGTCGGGAACATAAAAATTGAAATAAATCCGCGAAAATATCCAAAAAGATTTATTAAAATATTTATTTAAAATATCTTCAGATTCTCCTCTCGTCTATATAACTCGTCGTTCTATATAACTTTTATAATAAAAAGTGAATCACACGTAATATCCTAATTGAACAATACGTAAAATAAAACAAATAAAATCCCAAAATAGACCCAAATAGAATCTATTCTATTCAGATACATCAAGTTCCTCCTATACCTTGGAGTGCCAGCGAGTGATGTGCAGAAGACCAGACCCTCGGATCTTCTGAAGGTGATAGCTGAGTTCGCTCTGGAGTACAGGACCACCCGGGAGAGGGTGCTCCAGCAGCTGGAGAAGAGGGCTAACCATCGGGAACGGAATAAGACAAGGGGGAAGATGATTATTGATGTAAGTGGGCGTATTTGTATGCGATTTATTGGTTGCCAACGGTTTCTCATGAACTAAATTAACGATTTCAGAATCATATAATTTAGCAACTATTGGCTCTAATAAAGTTTTTTTAGGTAATTATGTCAATTTAAAATGTCTATCAAGAAACTCAACTTTCATTCAATTTAAATACAAATCTCAATCTCAATTACATGTTGGCAGAGGACTATTTCTATGTTTATTTTTTTTCATATTATTACAGTGTAGTAGTTTGTAAGTGTATAACACAATGCCTTGAATAAAGTTCGTTTATTGGTCACTCAGTAAAATGGTTGACATATGGATCGACAAACATAAGAAAAATTTTATGATATGTACAAAAAAGTAAGAAAATGAACATTCTAATTTAATATAGTTTAAATAATTTTATCACTTTTCACTATATATTATAAAACAAAGTCACCAAAAAATCATTCTGCGGGAACCGTACATTTTTCTAGAATAAAAAGTATAATCTACCTGTGTGCCTAAGTCGTTCTGGTGTGATTGAGTAACAAACATCCATCCAAAGTTTTGTATTTATAATGTTTAATGAAAATAAGCAGGTGGGTAACTACGCGTCGAAGGGCGAGCACACTGCCGACAGCGCGCTGAAGGAGCTGCTCAAAAGCGACGCGGACACCGACCTGCTCGCCGACGCGCGCCGCAAGCCCGCCAGGCTGCTCAAGTGAGTACAATACTAGTGGAAATAAGACAAAAAACATATAAATGACCGGGTGGATTTTAAAAACAGTAAATATAACATAATTAAAACAAAATATTCAGTTTTTTTTTTGACGTGATACCGTCTTATAAATCAATGAACGCCGGCTACATTCGTGACGAAAAAGTGTGACGTTCCACCTGAGCCGAGCGTGCGAGCGAGAGCGCAGAACAAGCGATAGAGAGACACGATCGGCCAAGTTGTTAATAGCACATTGTTACTTGTAATTAATTTGTAGAATTGAAGTAAAAAAATATTTGAATTCACGGGTGCAAATAAATGTTAATTTATCGAAAAAATTATAATTTTCAATCTACTCCTTCTTTGTATTATACAAAATAAAGATAATTCAGTGATAATAATTCAATTCAATTCAATTCATAAAAGTATGCAATTTTTCATCAAAGTTTTCTTATGACGTCATCACGTAAAATTATCGTCCGTAAACCGACTTTATAGAAAACCAATTTTTTTTTTTAAGAAAAAATCTTTATTTAAAAATACATCCTAATTTAATTTAAAATGATTCTAACCGATTTTTTTCTTTATATAATACCTTCGTCGTTAAAACAACCGCGCCGCTTTGTATATCTATGTTCAAGTACACTGTTTTTTCCCCTAAATTCAGATAGAAAAGTCGTTAGCGAATAAATAACATCCCAATGGCTGCTTTCAAGCACATCCCACCATACCATGGAACACAACTACTACTTAGCAAGTAGGACAATTTTGAAAATTTGACTTCTTCATTACAAAAACATTGATTTAAAGAATATATATGTAGACGTTCACGTCCATAGCTTTTTGTGTCATGGACACTGAAAACATTACGCCCTCCTGATTTCGCCCGTGGCGGCCAAAGAGAGTACAGAGCTTAACTAAACTGCAAGAAATACTTTGTAAACTCTGTTAGAATAAATATTAGACATTTTCAGTGGTCAGGTGTTGTGCCGTGGTCTGGTTGAGACACATAAAGGTTGATGGTAGTGCCTCGAATAATAAAAAATATATCATTTCCGCATATCGTATCAAAATATCCCATTTTACATCATAATAATATTTTATTAGCAGTTTCTAAACACATTTAATTTAGGTCGCAGCATTAACAAAACCTAAAATGAACCTGAATTCATTAATTCAATTTGTACCATGAATTCTTTTTTTAACTTTTTCCAGTTTAATTTAGAGCCGCGTTTCTGTCAAAATATATAATGGAATAAAAGTTGATATTATTATAGCTTAAACTGAATAATTATTACGATCCAACTTACATTAATTTGATGGTACGATATCTAACGATTTTGTTTAGAACTCTAAAGTGCATCCGATATGTAGATGATATGTAGAAGTTGATGTTGGGCCCTAGGATAAAATCGTAATAAGGTCCGGTCCACACTATAGTGCCGCTCACGGCTCTTTCTCTCCGATATCTGTCTGGTATAGCGTTTTTGTACAATAAACAATGAATGCATTCACCATCAGTGACAGTCAAGTTCCAGTCGAATCCACATCCGACAATGTTTCTTGTATAAAAATATAATAAATATAACCTGAACTATATCGAACCGAAAACAGACTGTGGTCGGCACGATAGTGTGGATCGGGCCTAAGCGTTGCGTGAGTGATAGATGTAGAGTAAATATGTTGGGTTCTTGACTCTTGTTGCTTACTGCTGGCTGTTTAACTTGGTATTTTTGACTACGAGTTATTTCTGAAGTGAAATCTTCTATAGACATGGACATGGTCACGTGACGTGTTAACGCTAATACTTAGAGTGTGGGTAGGTGTCAAAATTAGATTTTTTTTAAATTACATTATAAATGTAATCGCTTTCTAAAACCTATATACGAGTATGATATATGTGAATGTGTAATTATTGATAATAATTATTTATCATTAATATAAAGTGACCTTTTGGTATTAATTTTATATAATTCTGTGTATTTGTTAAATAAATATAATATATAATACTAATGACTCTCCCTCGCTTCGATCTGGTTCGTCTCTAGGTTGATTCCCCATACAAACTTTCATCGCCATTTTTCTTAAATATTTTTAGTGTTTGCGTAATTTTCTCATTTTTTTATGTAGTAAGTACGAAGTATAAAAAGACATTTAAAAAAAAGGTGAATGAAATCGGTAAAACCGTTCTCAAGTTATAGTGTGACCAGGAGAAATAGGGGTTGATTTTTTGTACTCTAGAAATATATTTATTTTATAGATAAAACGGTGTTATTAAATTAAAAACATAACAAAGGCTCACAGTACCGACGGTCAGTGTATGTATGAGTGCGTAACACAAACACCGTACGATGTTCCAGCGGCGAGCCGTCCGCGGAGGACGAGATCATAGAGAGCCTCGTGCGCTCCGCCACCAGCACGCGCCGCGCGCACCGCGACCGCCGCCGCGTGCGACTCGCCGACTCCAAGACCTGTGAGTATACACACACACACATATATATACAGACAAACATAGACACATACACATACAGAGGCACACACGTGCACACACATGTATATACATACCACACTCACACACGCGCACGTACGTATGTATGTAGATATGTGCGTGCATCAATATACATATATAATAAACAGAATATTTAGTGAGAGACGTATTTTAAAATATATAGTAAACTAGCTACGCTCGGGTTCGTCCCTAGGAACGTTTTAATGTTTAGTATAAATTTCTTAAAGATGATATATTTTCTCGAAGTAAAAACTATCCTATATGTTAACCCGGATAACCAGCTACCATCATACCAAATTTCATTAAAAACTCTCCAGTAGTTTTTCGTGATGCGGTCACTGACAGACAGACTAAAATTCAAAAAACTATAAAAAACTCTGTATCGGTAATAATACCTATTTCAATAAGATTTTCCAAAAAATATTTAATGTGCAAATTCGGCTTTGTTAGAATTTTATTATATGTATAGATTAAACATTAATAATAATATTTAATATCATTATACTAATAACTAACTCTTTCATTCCCTCACTGTCATGAACAATAACAACAATAAAATCATCACCAATACTAACTTATTATCCATACACATAGAGAATAGACTGAACATTACTCTCATTAAATTGACCACTTTAGAAAGAGAAAGAGCGATTATGCGGCCAATGCCTATCTTTTATTCCAATTTGAATTTATAAATAGGTTCTAAAAAATTATAATACAGTGATACAAAAAAATGGTTATGAATAATAAATAAATCTATCTTCAAATCGTATTTCAACAGATACAGAAGTCAGTCTTCTGGCCGCACATTCGTTCTATCTCTGTCGCTTCTCCGCTATGTTTAGCTGACGGCTGGTAAAAAAAACTGTTCACTCTCTATGTATATGGTTATTACCAACTTCACATAACTCATTTTCAACTTTTATAGCGTATCGCTAATACTACTAAAATGTTAGAAGTAATATTTTTGCTAAATTATATTTGATAATAGTATATATAGTAGCTGATATAATTTATACCATAATAACAATTAAATTAAAATAGCTCTTCCCTTAGCCCACGAAATGTAAAATCTAATACTCCCTATACTTAATAATATTAGTAATCTTTATAACTCGATACTTATTCAGTATTCTATATATTACTAGCGATTCATCCTCCTTCCGTTCGAGACGATCTCAAGTTACGTTTTAACGTTTAGTATAGATATCTCACAGATGAGATATTTTCCCACGGTAAAAAGTATCCTATATGTTGACCCGGATAGCCAGCTATCATCATACCAAATTTCATTAAAATCCCTCCTCTGGTGTTCTCGTGATACGTTCCCAAACAAACAGACAGACAGACTAACATTCTAAAAAGTATAGATTCGGTCCGTACCGATAATAATAACTATTTCAATAACATTTTCTAAACAATATTTAATGTACAGATTCGACTCAGAATTTCATTATATATGTATAGACTAAAAATTGATTAAAACCTTATTAATGTATTTTTTACATATTTCTTCAATTACTAACAATAAGTGGTATCTTTTCGCACGCAACAATATCCAGTGGACATGTTGCAGACCGACGAAAGGCAAACATTAGAAACCATCCCCGAATAATTTATTTTATATATAATTAACACAACATTGCACGCACAGACATATTGTTTAATAGTTTAGTTGGAATTAAAATTTAATTCATATCAATGTAATTGCATGACTCATAGATAATAGTTGTTATATTTAAATTGATTGATTAACCAAAAATACAATTTTTTTTAATATTATATGGTAGTTAAGGGATAAAGTATTCTTTAAAAAATAATGGAAATCGATTCACATATAACAATAATCGAATAACATAATATATGTATCCGATATACAGCCAATCAATTATGTCGCCCTCCTTGAACTCGATCAAAATTTTTCAAATAGTCCTCGATCTAAAATGATCTAAAAAGTAAACACAGAATTTATCTTATTATAAGCCAATAATTTTGTATAATAATAAGCATTGTGAGGCTGTTGTAGTGCTATTCTGTAAAAACACGTACGTAGCTTTACAGCTGAATCCACAAGCAAACGGTCACCTGACTGTGGCAAAGCCCACAGTAGGGTTATGTTTTTGATCTGTATGTATATCCGATCCTGTGTTCCCTCGTAATTACCTCTTTCGATTCGTTTTGATAACCCGAGTCTCATATAAATATTATTAAAAACATACACACACGCAGCTATTATATGTAAATGTATGTCTCCAACTGCACAATATGAGTTCGATTTTCACGCAGTCGGTTTTTTTTAGTAAATAATTTTTTTGTTAATTATTTGTGAAGTAAGTCTGCGGATTTGACTGTCGAATAATATAACAATTCTTACATAATAGTCGAGTTTTATAAACTTCCAATTTGAATTTTATTTATGGGAATGCATACCTGCTATCATGTCCGCCACTTGAACATAATTAAAGAGAATTTAAACAACTACCTAATCTTATAATTAAACATAGTAACTATTTTTTTAAACTATCACCAAAACTGCTTTTTAAGTAAGAAAACCGAATCTGAATCGGTCCATCCACTAGAGAACTCCATTACCACAGACACAAAGGAGTCAAATTTATAATATACAATTGTAATATACTGAGACACAAACAAAAGTAAAATGTCGTGAGTGGTTAGAACATACGCGCGGAAAGCAAGTAAGAATATCCCAGTTACTGGATATGTATCACTTTATGAAAGTGTTACGTGATAGGATAATTAATTTATTTGTTTTGTTAGTGTATGGCGTGAGCCAAAATTAGTAGTTTTTAGTGACTCAGAGAGAGGTGCACTAAAAGACTCCATACAATGCTCTAATCAGCGTTATAGGGTCGTAAGTGTCCCAAATCTGATCACCAATTTTATTTTTCCTCTGTGCGATCCTCTAATTTGTCACGGCTAAGAGAAAGAGTTTGAGGTTCTTTCCGCTTATTACTTTTTAGGGTTCCGTACCCAAGGGTAAAACGGGACCCTATTTCTAAGACTCCGCTCTCCGTCCGTCTGTCTGTCTGTCCGTCCGTCTGTCACCAGGCTGTATCTCATGAATCGTGATAGTTAGACAGTTGAAATTTTCACAGAGGATGTGTTTCTGTTGTCGCTACTATAAACAGAATAAAATAAATATTTAAGGGGGCTCCCATACAACAGTGATGATGTTTTGCTGTTTTTATAGATAATGGTACGGAACCGTACGTGCACGAGTCCGACTCGCACTTGTCATTTCTTTCTTGGATGGGTTTAAATATCTTTAAAATGTATTTCTTTTAACCTATATAGCTATTGGTTGCTTACAAAATAATTTTTACTAAAACTCTTATCAAGCATTTTTACTTTCAATTACAAAATACCCCCAAGCTTTTAACCATGTCTGTATTTAAAATTATATATGTGTAATGTGTATATCCACTATCTGGTATCCATAACACAAGCCTCGTAGGTTACCATGAAACTAGATGGTGTCGTGTTAATGTCCCTACATATTTATATTGATTTATTATATTGATTGTCGAATGGTTTGTATGACAAATTAGAGGATCGAACAGAACCAATGTGGAGTTCCGAATTCGCCGCCGGCCTCGGGACTTCGCCATAGACAAGTACGTCGCATCAGGGTACCTACTAGCTAGTGTAATCAGGGGCGGATCATTATACTTATATGGGACTATTTTTGCCCCTATTTTTGGGCTGTATCCCAGGGCAAATAGGGGTATTTGCCCTTATTATATAATATTTTATATAATATTTTACTTGTAACAGGCCCCCTGTTGAAAAAAATAGATAATATTATATATTTATAAAATAAAACATCCAAAATAACAAAAATGCGTGCGTGTAACGTTTACGCGCGGTTTAAGTAAAACTTCTTTGGCGCTGGCAGATACCACAATTAAATTAAAACAAATCAAAATATAAATATTATAGTTGTTATTAAATTAATAGTAATATATATTCATTTTTATAAGTAATCATTATTATAAAATTACAATAAGTTAATTAGTAATCATTATTATACTTAACTAGCGACTCACTTTGTCAACTTTTCACTTCACTTCACTTCACTTCGTCCCTTTTAATAAAGATACATTTTAACGGTAAGTATAGAATACGGTATATACACATATATGTACAATGTGTACACATATGTATAAAAAAGTAAGTATTATATTATATTATATATATATATATATATATATATATATATATATATATATATATATATATATATACCTTGAGAAATGTTTGATTCAGTACTTTTTGCGTTGACTTAGTTTTATTATAGGTATAGATAGGTAGGTATAAATATTGCGAGTGTAACTTAGGAGATAGACATATAATACTATTGAGAACTTTTCTTTAGGCCTTTTCAAGACCTACCATTTTTTATACATTGTTTTGATGTGTCTTAAGGTTTAGCCAGCGGAAGGTTTCTAAGGAGGATTCGATAAAACCAGTTACTGTGTATTCCCGTGGGAAAGAAAGAATTTCTTGAAGTAAAAGGTATCCTAAATGTTGACCTGAGTAATAAGTTATCACTTCACTCAATTTCGTTGGAATCGATTCATTACTTTTTGCGTGAAACGCGCACGCACACACAAACAGATATATAGACAAACAGACAAAATTAACTATGGTTTTGGGGTCTATATTGTGTACGTAATACGTTGCAGTCATTGTTTAAAAAAAAATTTTATGTACAGATTTTGCTAAGGTACTGTTTTATTATAGTATAGATAATTATTATAAAAATAACTTTATATAATGATTAATAATATCAGGGGCGGCCTTAGCCATTGCGAGGCCCCGGGCAGGAGATCTTTGCGAGGCCCTTGTCTTTTATGAAATTTATGTGAATTGAAAATATTTTTAATGATGGTGCTTGGCGAGAAATGTAAAATTTATAAATAAATAAATTTAGAGTTTTAAAATTGTATATTAGAAATTTATAAAAGTTAGCAACCACAAAAAAGACAAAATTATTTTGTCAACATTTTTAGGTTTTGTACGCAAAAACTTGCCATTAATTCTATTAGCTCATTTTGAAGAATTTTTAGAGATAGTGGACATTATTAGTATCTTTTTAGCAGCGCTAGATTCACACTAGGAGCATTCCGGGCTAGTGCTCAGGGCGGCAAATTTTTAGGGGCAGCAAAATTTGGAGGGTGGGAAAAAAATGTCTTCACGTTATCGAAAATGCTTTTTTTAGTTCCCAAAAAATGAATAATTAAAAAAGACTAAGTAGTAGATATATTTTTCGAACAAATAATATCACTTATAAACTATTATTTTTGCATTTAAAAAAAATATATCGAAACTATTCATTTTATGCAAAGCTGCGATAACAGGGCGGCATTTTTTATAGTGTCCAGGGGCGGCACTAAGGTTGAATGCGGCACTGCTCTTTAGAATTCACGAGCTCGAAGGACCTCGGTTGTTTGGAAGGCTTGTGTGGGCAACACCGGTCCAACACGTAGAGACCACTTAAGAGATTTAAGTGTTTAATATGACGCATCAACCGGCATCCATCTCTGAGTAACCCATAAGGAATTGCGTAAATATGGTTCCGGACAATGCGTAGGGACTATGGAAAATATGGAAAACTAAATGAGTCTATGGAATGGAATTTGGACGGGCTAAAAACTGGGATATTGGATGAGACTACCGAATGTCCGCCTTCTCAACAGTCTCAGATTCAATATTTGGCAGACGGTGACTCGCCTCCCACTAATGGCATAGTGCCCCGGGCACAACATCAGTGTGGTTGGCTACGGTTATCGAGAAGTGTTCACCGGTTTCACCATCACAAGTGCTCGTGGGTTTCCCCGTTATTTTACAGAATGAGCACTTCTACCCTCTCAAGGATTTGGCTCTTGCGCTTCACTTTGGGCGGCCAATGAAGGAAAGCCTCTGGGCTAAAGAGTTAATAGTTGTACAGCTTTTTAATCCGTTCTCTGAATTTAATAATCCGTTCACAATCCGTTCTCTAAATTTAACCGTTTTAACATACAATCTTTGTGCAGCCGAAGTCGTGAAACTTTAAATATTTACCCAAGTGTTTCCAATTGCAAAGTACTGCACTGGACCCAATTCTTTATATTCTATTCAGAACAATCGACAGAAGAAGTAAATGGCAAGTTTTGTTTGTGAATAAATCATCCAGTGCTTGTCCAATTTTTCACCATAAGCTAATATTTTAATTGTAATGATACCTATTCACTGAATCGCCGTCCACTATCATTTACGGGGAAAAAATCTGTCTAGCGCGGATTGGACCTTTCAATGAAATCTCAGTTCGGTTTGCATCAGTAATTATTGATGGTCATAAACCTGGGTCATTTTACGTATTGAGTATAAGATATTCAATTCCGCCACTCATGGATGTAGACGTAGATTTACTCGTAGATACGTATTTCTGGCTGGATAGTGTTGACGACGGCGGCGGCGGTGGAGTAACAATAATGTTGTTCACTTACTATTATCATCGCTAGGTAGTTACGGCATCCCAGATGATGTCGATAAAAATATTTCAGCTGCCTTAGGCTTAGAATGCAAAAACATGTCACTTTTAGTCACTGAAAGGTCTTAAGGACTTAGAAGCTTCTTGACCATCACCTTTTATATATTTATATATAGACTCATACAGATTTTCTTCTACCTGCTTTCTTTTGATGGCTTGGTACCTTTTTGAACTACCAAACTCAATTTTTCTACTGGCATCACAATCGCGCGAACTTATTTAGAAAATATTTTTTGCACATAAAATTAATTAAAAAAATACAAGCAGTTGTACGCAGTCTTTTTACTAATTCATTCTTTACTATAATTACTATAATAACGTAAAATTTAATATTAATAGCTTATTGACTTAAATGCTACATGCTTGTACTGGCGGGATGTGGGTTTTGTTATGTCCGGCCTAAGGCAGGAGATTCATCAGAATCAACTGAAACCCAAGTGTATCAACACTTGGGTTGTTATGCGAAGGCGCGAGGCCCCTACAAGCGCGAGGCCCTGGGCGGTTGCCCTGCTTGCCACCCCCTAAGGCCGCCACTGAATAATATATTTGACTCACACTTCCGCGACACTCATTTTTCCAAATAAATTCATAAGAATCAGCCTAATAACCTTGAGATCATTTAAGAATCAAACAATAGCGTTATCTAATTTTCGTCTATATTATATATCTATCATTACTCGTATAAATTTTATAAAGGCAAAATGACAATATATACACTTATGTTTAGGCCCCCAAGAAGTATTAGCCCCAGGCCCCCCAAATTAACGGTCTGCCCCTGATTGTAATATACTTAATGATACTTAACAATATTAAAATAGATAAATAGTATAGTATAATTATCTAGCGGTAAATTCATTTGTTTTTACTAATTATATATGTTGTATGATTTTATTTTTAAATTAATATACTCAGACTTAGGCATAGTAGAAGACAGAGTGTTATAGAAATAAATATGAAGCCAAACAATGTCTTAAAATCTATACTAGTAAATGTAGAGCCGATTTTTTTGTTCGGTTATACTGCGATAGCTACTGAACCGATCGGAATAATACTCATATAATAAGATGTAGAGTGTTTTGGAGAAGGTTTTAGTATAATATGATATGTTGGTGATTACTTATCCGGAACCTATATTTTTTTTGACTTAGAAGTAATGAATTTTTATAATATTATAATTAGTTTAAATGGTTTAATACATTAATGTACTAAGCGGGCGGAGCCGCAGGTAAACGCTAGTAATATAGAAATGACAATTTGTATACTAAGTGATAAGTAAATATATGTTAATAGATAAAAACAGCAAACAAATTTTATCACAATAAAGAGAAAAAAATAGATACGCTAAAATTATGCTATCTCTCTTTCAAGGGGGACAGAATTAATGATTAAATAATATAAAAGAATATAGTATTATTTTTATAATTCTCATTTTATTCTCAAAAAATTGTTTAAATTAACTAATACATATTATATAAAATGTTACTTATTCTCTGAAAAGGTAAAAGCTCTCTATTGCATAATCGTGAATAGTAGCATAAACAGCAAATTAAGCTACTATATTTGACTTTGACATTTATTTTGGCGGACTCCGTCTGTATTTTTTTTTTTAGGCTGAGGTAATAAAATAGTAGTAGGTTTATGATTGTGATAGAACTTAAAGTTATAATAAGATTGTTATTCAAAAAATTGTGCAAACAATTTCATGCAGTTTTCGATACGACAACGAATTATTATTAGTGTGTGAATTTTGATTCGAAAATATACTTTCTTATATTTTCTTATATTTGACGTTTTAAATAAAACTATCTTCTCGGATATCTCTGCGGATTTATTTAGATATTTGGTTCCCGACTGTTCAAATGCTTTACAGCATCATGGTCACGGGAGAGAGACTGATGATTGCTGTAAACTGTAAAGCATTCGAAACGTCAGGAACCAAAAATCAAACTAAAATTGAAAAGAAAATTTTGTTTAAAATGTCAAATACTCAATTAAACTAAGAAACTAAATATTCTTAGTTAATTAAGCTGCATGTTCCATCAATCATCTATCATTATCCATCCATTCCATCAATCAATTCTAGAAGTTAATACGACGATATTTTAATTATTAATTAATATGTATATGTACTTAGTTGTAGAAAGTAGTGGCAAGCGAATGTATGCGTGCTGCTTTATGCTCAGCGAATATATTTGTATAGAAACATAACCTCTTGAAAACGAAATTAAAAATGGCATATCACAAGGTATTTACGACGATACGTTTGGCTCAGTTTATAGCGACCCTACTTGCTGCTGTGCCAGCGGTCGCGGGTTCTAGTCCCGCTGGGAGCATACATTTGTGTTATGAGCACGAATGTTTGTACTCCAATCGTGGGTGTTTATATTTATAATATGTATATATTCAAAGTTATATATGCGTAGTGTATCAACTATCTGGTATCCATAACACGAGCCTCGTAGCTCATCATGGAACTAGATGGTGCTCGCGATGGAATATGTGCCATTAACACACAGTCAGTCCCAACATATTTATTATAGTCAAATGTAACGTTAGATATTTATATATTTATGTGAGCTTACAATTTATCCTTATAATAAGTTTTAATTTACATTCGCATAATATATTTTAACAAGTAGCAATAATTGCCTCGATACAAAAAAAATTTCTTCTTATTTTTTTATATCAAATATCTTGAATCTATTTGGATCAAGTAGTTACACTATGTAGAGTTAATAATTAATCAGGGTTGTTAAAAATTTAACACAAACATATGTATACGCTATTTCTTTTTAAAATCAAATGAATTAAATTCTTTTGTAATTTCCTTCGTCGTACACAAGATACGACGAACAGACAAACTAACAGAATGATTTTTTTATTTTTAGTTTGACTCAATTAGTTTTTATTTTATTATTTAGAAGCGATTCGCTCTCGCTTCGCTCGGGTCCGTCACTAGATGATCCTTTAAATTGACATAACTTTTTTATTTCATTGAAACGCACAGATAAACTGACAAAAATTTAAAAAATCATTGTTTTGGTTTCTGTTGCGATAATAAAGACCCCAATAATAGTTTTTCTCAAATATTTTGAATGTACAGACAATGATCAGTTACAATTTTATCATATGTATAGATTTTATTTAGAAATCCATATCAATATGTATGTATATTTTTGACAACCCTGTCTCTATATCTAAAAATTATTATATATATTATAGTCGATATCGTTAATGTATGTCGTAGTTTACGTAGCGAGTAGCGACCACTGTAAGCTATTTAGTATTTACACATAATATATCACTTATCGTCAAAGAAACAAACAAACAAACAAACAAACCAACAAACACACAGTATAAATATATAACAGGAGATCGGTTTACAGTTAACAGAACGTTGGACGGACGCCAGTCCTGGCCCTTGAAGCAAAACAACGAAGGGTGAGTCCACATCTCTCACTAATTTATTTGTATTATTATTTATATAGTTCTAATAGATCTAAGGCTGTTGCTATTCTTACTTAAAATAAGGATGAATAAAAAATAATTATTCGTCCAATAATAGGACGAATAATAAATAAAGGAGGCTGTTGTTATTCGCCCGATAATAATGAATATATATTTCTTATGAATAAAAATATATATTTTTTAAAATGTTGTCAGTTTGTATGAATATTTCACACATTTTTGTTTTCTAACGTAAAATAATTGATTTTTAGGCGCAGGAGTTTCTATAATAGTATGGTTTCTGTTTCTATAAAAAAATACCTTAACCTACCGAGTTGAACCGAGATACTTATTCTATTTATTTATTAATCTATTCGCCCTTTCTCATAATTTTATATTTTATAAAAGACGAAAAATTATTTTTTATTCGTCATATTAAACGACGAATAGTAGTAGACGAAAAAATATCCATCTAAATTTAACCCCATGCTGGTACTACCGCGGGGTTTTATTTTAGATTAAGGGGCTTAAATTTACCTCATGAATCACTCAATAAAATAACATCAAACACTGCTTTTGGTCTTGGGTTCGAATCCTACTTTATAGAAAATCTATAAAGGCAATAAAATAATTCATTTTTGTTGTCTAAAAGAATAAGACCGTGAGTTGGACTGAACTTTTTGCATGTACATACATTATTATTATGTATATTTAACATGATGCTTAAGTATATAAAGTTCTGTTTTTTGTGCATTTATGGAGACATGTTTGGCTCAGTTTATAGCGACCCTACTTGTTGTGCCAGCGATCGCGGGTTCGAGTCCCGCTGGGGGCATTCATTTGTGTGATGATCACGAATGTTTGTACTCCAGTCATGGGTGTTTATATTTATAATATGTATGTATTTAAAGTTATATATGTGTAGTGTATCAACTATCTGGTATCCATAACACAAGCCTCGTTGCTTACCATGGAACTAGATGGCGCTGTGTGTTAATGATCCAACATATCTATTTATTTATTATTTTATATTTTTATGTATCAAATACAATATGTTTCAATTGAAAACAACTGCCTGTTTGTTGTTTGCAGGTCCGCGGCGGCCGTACAGCAATAGTCAAAGCTAACGTTAAGTTATTTAAGTAAATCGAATCTCAAGCCCCAGCACAGTGCCTCCATTCCCATTAACATTTCCAAGTAATCGAGAAACAAAATCTACTAAAATCGTATCTATTACAACCTCGATATAATACATATACTATGTATCTGAACATATAAATATACCATAAAATAAGTACCACTTTTTTTTCAAGCGATCGTTGCCAATTTGACTTTAATTTGTGCATTTAATTTTGTCTCCAAACGATATTAAAAAATAAAATATACATAACATATATAATACATGTGCGATTTCTATTTTAATTTCCAAAATGGAAACTTTTTTGATAATCAATTTTCCTCACTTATAGTTTAAAAGCTTCTAAACAAAAGCACATGAGCTTTTATCCTAAAAGCATTTACGAAGTCACATTGGCAAGTCGCGGAACTGTCATTCTATAACATGTAACTAACTGTACTTGCGGCATACTAGTGTGGTGTTGGGTGCTCGTTACATTAACTAAACAACTCCCGCGGGTTCGTCCGAGTTTATATTTAAGTACTTTTTTCTATATCTTAAGGCAGGGTCTCTCAAAGACTTAACTTAACTCTTCAATTACCCTGGCTCTTGATTGGTCGTAGCAAATGTATGTACTAAACGTATTTCATTTAAAACTAGTTTTTCTCACGGTATTTTGTATGCTATATACATCGATCAATAAAGCACTACGAGATACACAATCCCAGGCAAAAGTTCTCTTAAAACTGTCGCCAATTGCATTTAGGTTTATTCTAGTTGAAAGAAATATACGACAACGTAAATTGAACCTTAAACGCAATGCTTAAAGTTGTTTTCATTAAAAATGATTAAAAGCGCGCTCAAATGTTCAAATGAGCGCGCATTCGGTGAGGACATTTTTAGTGGCTGATTGTGTATTTAGTACGTGTGTGATCGATGGCTATAAACTTAATTTTTTATAACATTATGTGATATGTTTATTTCTATTTCTATAAAGATCGGTCTCTACCATATGTATCGATATTTTTTTAAAGAGATCAAAATCGAAATTAAAGCATTATTAATAAAAGTTTCCAAAAATCGTTTCTTGGTAGCTTCGAGAAGTTTCATTGGGTAAAAAGAGTTTATTAGATATAAATTTTTAGCGACCCTGCCTGAGAGCGACACCCACAGGACGGCTCTTGTCCCTACATTGTGTCCGGGATGATCCTACTATCCCTATCCCTCAGAGCCGTGTCTTCAATTGCTAATTACATCATACACTCGGCACTAAAGCAACACACGCCCAGTCTCTCTACAATTGTAGCCTCTCTCGTGTTCTCATTTGTTGCGTATTTATTGTAACTGTAAATATATGTGTAAATAGCAATTAAATTATGACTTTTATTTTTCTTACCCTTTTATTTCCTATACATTTAAAGTAAACATTACAAGTTACTTAACATTTAATATAGATTTCTCAGAGATAAGATATTTTCCCGCAGTAAAAATCCTATATGTTGACCCGGATAACCGGATAACCAGCTATCATCATACGCAATTTCATCAAAATCCCTCCAGTGGTTTTCTTGTGATGCGTTCCCTTACATACATACATATAAACAGACAGGCAGACAGAAATTTTAAAAACTATAGATTCGGCCTCTGTATAATAATGTCTATTTTAATAAGATTTTCCAAAAAATATTTAATGTACAGATTCGACTCAGAATTTTATTATATAGAATTTTTAATATACTCTGATGTACAAAACAAACGTATGCGTAATTATTACTGTACAAGTCAAATGGACCGGATTATCCATAAGACACTGTAGGCATCTGTCCAGGGGCCTCGCATCAGCTAGGGGCCCCACGCACCGAGAAAAAATATTTAAAAATGTTTGATTGATTGAAAATTTAATTTGAAAAATAAAAAAGTAGGTGAGAATTCCACCACGAGAACAAGTACAACAGCTAGATCTCTATTTAATCCACCTAATAAAATTGCATTGTGGTAGAAAAAATGTATTTCAATAAGTTAGAAAAGGATGAAGAGGCCCTAAGAATTTTATTGCCTAGGGGCCCCCGACACGGTTAATTCGCCCAGCAAGTCATGTTCGCGTGGAACAGTGGCAAGAATGCTAGCCGCATTCCCCCGCTGAATGGAAATGCCAATTCTTTGGGAGAAAAACGAGTCAGCTCTCCCGTCAGTAGAGACGATGAAACGAGGTGTTACGCATTTTGAGAAGTGCTTAGCAGTTTGACTCCATGGGCCAAGGGTTTCTAAAGGGTATAAAAGTATAATTTTAAGTATGGAAGGCGTATTTACGCAACTTGAATAGTTCATTCATTTAATGTGCATTTGATAAAATTCTAAAGTTCCCTTGCCTATGCCTACACAATGTATCGATGTTTCGAATTATATCGATTATTACTACATGTTATCGATTAATATATCGATTAACTGAGAAAATAAAACAGCAATAAAAAATTTTGGGACGCAGTTTTAAAATAAATTTGAACCATATACCTTAAATAGTTTTCTGGCACTGTTTCAGTTTAATTTAGGAGCCAAAGCTCAAAACAACAGGTGACCGACTGTTCCGTTTGTCAGTCAACAAGGCACAAAGCTGGGCATAAGTATCTGTCTAGTCTGGTCTATACTCTTATTATTTATTATACCGAATAAGCTCCGAAACTACTGGACCGATTTAGGTGAAATTTGGTAAGAAGAGAGAGAGAGAGAGTTTGAGACCCTGGAAAGGACAGAGTTTTAATTTTTTATACCGGTATTCATCTGGATGAAAGTTTGTATGGGCCATCAACTTAGGGACGAACCCGAGTAAAACAAGGATGAATTTCTAGTGTTATATAAAAATGTAAAAATGTTTGTGACAACACAAATCCATATTATAGCAACTATTAACCTTAATCCTATATTAGTACTTGTATTCTACCAAACATTTGGTCGCCAATCATTTGACATTGATTGCTATAACACCTGTTCCGCTTTGCAAAGATGCCAAGAGCGGCTCTTGACGTAATGCAACTAAAAACTATCAAAACACTGTATGATTACGAGCTGCAGCTGACAAGAAGAGGCACTCCTGCTACAGATGTGGCAGATCTTGCAAAAGGCATTATTAAAATGGAAGTGATAGCTCGCTGAGTCTAAAAGTAACATACAAAACACATAAATAAAAATGTATACTTTGAAACAGTAATTACCAATACTTTTGTTCAGTGTCAAGAATCAAGAATTCTATTCTCGAACAAGGCATGTTTATATAAACAGTAAACATACATATATTTTCTTACTAGCGATGTCGCTCGCTCGGGTTCGTCCCTAGATCAAGATGGCGGTAGCGGGTCCAGCCAAGTTCGAGCCAAAGAAACTGTCGATGCAGCACCGTGTGTATATTTACACGAACCATTTGGAGCCACTTTTCACCTCGTAATAACTCAAAATCTAATTAACATAAACTCATGAAATTTGGCTCATATATTGAATGCCCTTAGATTAACTAGAATCCTCAATTTCATAAATACAGCTCAAACGCTTATTGAGATATTAGCGTCTAAAAATCGGCATTTTTATCACTGACTAACATACAGTAGTAAAACATAACCCGCTTCCAGATGACCTAGAAAGTTGAAATTTGGTGTCCAGATGGGTTACATACGAGTTATCTTATATATATTTTTTATGCTATACGCAAGTTAGTGTTTTTATATTGTAAGGTCAACATGTCGCACTTTTATAAAAACTTGATTTACTGGTAAAAACTAGCCAAGTCAAATCTTGAACTTCAATTAATCCTTTTTTTTTTTTTTTAACGTTGGGAAATGCATTTACGCACGACGTGTGGGACTCACCGGCGTAATACAGCCAGTACTACCCACTAAAACCCAACAAGACCTTCCCCCGTCTTAATGGGGCGTCGCAGGATCGCTTATGCATTCAACTACGACGCCCCGACGGCAGGTCTGCCAAAGCAGACCACCACAACCTTGGGGTTGCTCCAAGGTCCACTCTGCTATCAGAGAAGTACCAGGAGCAACCCGCAAGGCACACCGCCCCCCGAAGAGGGCCACCTCCCACCGCCCACCGAAGTGGGCAACCTCCCTGTGCGTTTCTTAGCTTCGTACTACTACTACTGAGCCCCCCCACCACGACAAGGTGAACGCACGTTGGGGGGGACTTCAATTAATCCTAAGTTATCTACTCTGTGTAAATAATTTGACTGTTCAAATTTCGGAAGTTCTATTTTTAAATAGCAAACAATTTTGTAGCAGGACAAACAAGAAATTGTTTTTAAATTTATTTTAAAATGTTGTATGTTCTTACGAAAAAAATTTAGGATTATCTACAGAACTTGGCACTATTTAGATCTCAATTCTTTTGTCAGTGAAGTTGACAACCACGCATATTCCTAATATTGAACTTGGCTCCCATTTTCACATTTATGTTTTTGATGGGATACGTTTTAACTGTTAGTATAGATTTCTCATAGATGAGATGTTTTTCCGCAGTAAAAAGTATACTATATGATGACCCGGATAACCAGCTATTATCATACTAAATTTCATCAAAATCTGTCCAGTAGTTTTCTCGTGATGCGTTCTCAGACAGACAGACAAAAATTAATTCTAAAAACTATAGATTCAGCATTTGTATCGATAATAATGACTATTTCAATAAGACTTTCCAAAAAGTATTTTATGTACAGATTCGACTCAGAAATTAGAATTTTATTATATGTATAGATTTTAAACACTAGCAAGAATAAATGTCTTGAAGTTATGCAAGCCTAAACTATCTGTGGCGGTTGTGAGGAGCGAGGACGCCAACGACCGCGACCGTACGTCAATTTCTAACTGTCACTGTTGTCACACAACGACCGTTTTAGTTGTTTTGAGAAGATTTTTGTATATCTCAAGTGAAATTTAAAGGTAATAGTATTGTTTTTCTACTAAACTTCATATTAATTTAGTAGCCTGCATGTTAAATCGATATGTTATAGATAGAATCATTTTCTCATTTAACATTATTTGTAGTTCGCCTGACCTATTTACCACGCCCTAAATAGTAAGTGTCGATCAATAAAATCTGCATACCATATATATCTAGTGCTTTCGATGCATTTGTCATGCGTCAATAGTAGATAGCTCTCGAAGGTTCAAATAGCTGAAGCGTTATTTCTTTCTTCGGCAGGTCCTAATACGAAAATGTCGGCATATGACTCTCACGCTTACTTTACAGGGAATGGGACGTACAAATCTATAAATCCGATTATTTCTAAAGTGGGTGACTTCACACCGTTCTATATTACTATAGCGATCTGCTCTGTGATCTTGGGTTGTCTCCTTATTCTCAACTTTGTTTGCTGCTGCTCTAAGTATTCTGAATATTGGCTGGACCGACACACTGGTGAGTGGTTTTACTTCATCTATGTATTGTATTATAATATAATGAACTAACTCATTGACTCCTATAAAATACTAGAAAAATTAGAACAGAAAACCGAAATATGATTGTTATAATTGAAACAAATAATGTTTCTTGTTATAAATAAAACAAATTACAGTTATCTATATTTGTAAATGTCTTTATAGGTAATCGCTGGGTGGTATCTATTTGGTCAGCGACTCCACACAAGCAGCCCCCTCTGGACTTCACTGAGCTGGAAAGCCAGTATCAGCAGGTGCAGTACATCCACCCTTACCACAGTGAAGACTACCAAGACGTTCATCACCACTCTGAAATTCCTGCTTCTATCTCGCGGCAACCTTTAACTACCTCCCAGGAATATTTAGAATTACATAAGCGGGAGAGTGACATCTAAAATGGCATTTCTTATGATGTACCCTGCTATAGCAATTCTCTCCTTGTTTGTCCTGATGGTTATTATATTGATTCTAAGGTTTGGCGCACGCTGGTGCAAACTCCGTCACTCTGCATTCGCAGAGCATGAGTTTTGGAATGAAGATGAAGCTTATGAGCAGAAGGTTTCTTACGCCTAATTTTTTAATTTTGTAACCCCTCCGTCCAATTTTAGTTTTCTATATTATAGTTTATTTTATACTAATTTTATATTAGATTAGGAAGAAAGATTGGCTAAGTATACAATGAAGAGTGAGAGTGAGGCAAGGTGGGAAGGGACCTCGAAGGATGTAGGAGACTAAGTATTGTAATAGCTGCACAAGTTCAGGTGAATATTCCAAGGGCCCGGACGAGTGTGTGCAGAAAATGATGATAGTTGAAGAAGTAAAGTATTCCATAACAGCATGAAAGTTAGAAGAGCACAAGATATATTATCAATGTCTAAATGTTATATGTATTACTTCTAAAGTAAGCTTAACATATGAAATATTAAGTGTCTATACAAATATAATAATTATAGGAATCTTTTTTTAGTCACAATTTTTATGAGCCTGAGTTGCCTCTTTGGTGAGTAAAGAAAGGTTCTCGGTGGTGCGCTGTCTGCGGGCAGTGTTGAAAAGGAAGTGAAGCATTTAAATGGAATCACAATTTTTCTAACTACCAATGGTGTGCTTGCTCTATATATTTTATACTTAAAAATTTTCAGGTAATTATACTTCAAATTTGTGAAACTCATTTGAATATTTAATTTAATGTATGACAATAATACATTCACTATTTTTATACAAGAACATTTTATTTTGTACAGAGCGGTGGTGCATCATTGTTCGTTAACTAGCTCATTACTTTTGTAACCCCTCCGTCCAATTATTGTCTGATATTTTAGTTAGATTTATATTTAATTTTATATATTTTTAATTCACTTTTAACTTAATTTCGTTTATCTTTTCACTTTAAGTGCACAAATTTAGCCCAAATCTTTATGTAAGATTAATATAATAATGTAATATCGATGTCTATTTATCATCAGACCCCGGGCGACAGTGTCTTAGTGCGTAGAGTAGTCTTAGTATTTACCAATTGATATCAAATAAAGTGAATTAAACATTTGTTTATCTTTTTATTGAGTTCTCCATTTTTATACTTTAACATTTAGTATAGATTTCTCAGAGATGAGATATTTTCCTGCAGTCAAAAGTATACTATATGTTGATCCAGATAACCGGCTCTCATCATGGCAAATTTCATCAAAATCTGTCCAGTGGTTTTCTCGTAATACATTCCCAGACAGACTGTATTGATAATAATGACTATTTCAAAAAGATTTACCATAAAAAATTTAATGTACAGATTTGAATCAGAATTTTATCATGTACAGAATAAATTTCCTTCATTAATGAAGATAATTTGAAGGAAATCTCAATAGTAAGATTAATATTTTTCAATGTGATAATTTTGCCAATTATTATTCTTAGGTCATCTTTCATGCTTCCCTCTATAAAAGCTGGCTCTACATCAGAAGCTATTTGTTATATAAACATAATTCTCTATTGTATATAGACTTCAAATAATAAATATCCTTATATTATACTAGCGACTTGCCCTCGCTCTGCTCCGGTATGTCTATTAGCTGAAAAATTAACCAGTCATTTTTTTCAGACTTCAATTAAAGTTATGATTTCCGATAGTAAAAAAAATTACTGGAACAAAAAATAGCCTACAACTTGCTGGTAATATATATCCCCAATTTAGTGAAAGAATTTTTAGTATCGGGTCAGTAGTTCCAGAGTCAACCCCCTACATACAAAGGTTATCTCTATAATGGTAATATACATTACCATTTACCACTTGGTTACATTATATACTGACAACAAAAACCCAAGTTCGTTGTAGTCTGTGAAATACTTAGCAAAAAAAATTGTATACTTAGCAAATCTAGCACTTCTTACAACAAACATTTGCTGAAGCCTTTTTCATTATTACATATACATTTAACTTGCAACAAAAATTAATATAACCGTTGTAACTTTTTAAAGCTCACTCTGATTAAAAAAAGCAATCTGATCGATTGTAATAAAGCTGCTGCTTAACTGCTGTAGAAATGTATTATTTGAAATGAACAAATTTTTTGGCATAAACAAAGAAAATTAATGTACCTATCTTGATCCATCACATCATTTTTAATGATGTATATATACAGGGTCATTTTTAATTTACTGAAAACCTTTTGGGAATATACTGTTTACATCATAACAACAACATCAGTAAAAAAAAATATATTTCTTAAACTTTTATTTTCATACAAAAACAAAATATTTTTATTGCTCCTTCTAAACAGTAATAGTCCAGCATTAGCAAAAGTGCGTGACCGGTGGAGGGGGAGAGGTGGAGGGGTGTAGGAAGTGGCCCTTACTCGTTTAAACTTGGGAAGATGCTTGGCCAGGTGCAATAAAAATATTTTTATTTTTTTAAGAAAATAAAAATTTAAGAAATATAATTTTTCCTTATAACATCAACTACCTACCAGTGAAAGTCCCGTCAAAATGGGCCAAGCCGTTTCGGAGATTAGTCGGAACAAACAGAAAGACAAAAAAAAAATTTTGTTTTTCTTATAAATACCGTATATAATTTCATATGCATTTAGTAAAAATCTGTTATTTTGCAATTACAAACAGACACTTAATTTTATTTATCTGTATAGATGACACTCGCGTTATAAAGATGAATTTAACGATGTAGGAATCATCGAAATCCGTTAAACTGTTTAGTAATTACGAGGGAACATAGGGTTGGAGATACATACATACAGGTCAAAAACATAACCCTCCTTCGGCTTCGCTGTAGTTGGGTAAAAAATCTATAGTTACAAATTGCATTGATTTTGAGGGAAATAAAACAACACAGTTATAAAAACACTTGTTTTATTTAATTAAATAAGACCACTCCATAAACAATTCATAAATCTTATGTATGGGATAATTAAATATGGTAGATATTTATAGGTACATACAGCTGTGTGGAGCATCGCCGGACGACTTGGTATGAGGCAACCGGTTATTGCTGGCGTTGTACTCGTATTGCGGACCAACGGACCAAGGGACCATTATGTCACCGGGCCCCGGATGATCGGACCACCGGACCTTGCAAGCACTCTCAGACTATATTCGCCGGAAACCAACATTTATACCGTATCAACATTCATTGCGATGGTTCACGTTGTACCGCCAAAGATGGCGTTGACATTACAGTATATTTTATTATAAAAAACCAGTGACATACAAATATTCCTCGTATATATATTTAAAAAGAGTGAGTTATAAAAAGGAATGAGTGTCAGAAAATACGTGTAGAATGTCCGAGTGAAAGTGCAAGGTCTGTTTATGTAGGTTCCTCAATAAATCGTCAATCGACTGTGCGATTCGCGCTTGGCCGCGTCGCCGACCCCCCACCTGGCACCCCCGCCAGCGACACGCGACTCACATCTACATATCGTCCCACATATTATGTATATTAGTACATAAGAAATTCACCTCAATGGTTTACAATGTTAATATTAATATGTAATATCAGAATATATGTTTTCTATCTGAATCCCATTGTGTAGCGGCGCACGAGCACCATTTTTGTGTTGGGAAATGCATTTACACATATCACCTGTAGACACACAGGTGGTTATGTGGGACTCACCGGCTCGAAAAGCCAGTACTACCCACTAAAACCCAACAAAACCTTCGCATCTCAGTCAAATGAAGAAGTAAATTTTAAGTTTCCTGAACTTTCTTTACGGCAGTGTTTCAAACCAAACAAATTACTTATATAACCAATATTTTCAAGTGTATAGTTATTCCAAAACAGACTATTGCTAATGATTGAGAGGAACCAAAATTATAAACTATTTTGGTAATATCTCCAGACGATAGATAGATACGAGTCGCGTATCCACGAGTTACGAGTGACCCTACTAGCTGAGAGTCAGTTAGCTATATTTAAAACTTCGTAAGATTTATACATAATTTGTAAACAATATCAAAAAGTGTTTATTGTAACACGCTATATGTACGTGTAGAGTGCAGGATTGGGGAGGGCGTGATGAGGGCGGCATCGACGGCCAGACGGTACGTTCTAAATTTACCTTTTATATGCTAATAAGAGTATAACGATTATTCACCTAAAATCTCCTACTGTATCTAAGCGTTGCTCCACCATCGTGTCCGTGCTATCAGCTCTCCGCTAACTTATACTCTCCGACCAAACTGTCGCATTCATCCTATTCACATATAATCTTGTAAAAGAGCCGATGGGAAGTTCTAACGATATTTTGAAGTGTTTCATTAGTAACCAAAGCCAACAGTGCGCAAGCGATGATTGCGACAAATAATAACGCTTTATTCGTCCCATGAGAATTGTCGGTACTGGTTCCTACTGGTGCCTTATGGTCTCTACACAATACACACTTCAACTTCGCATCGGACTAATATTATACGAAAAACTGCGTTTGATTTAATGATTCGACGAATTTTGCGAATACTGCGGATGCTAAAACGGATCTCCAGCGTTTATATCTTCAGGAACGTCGCCCTGACACGACCAGGCGGCCTCCCCCCGCGAGGAGGCATACGCGGGAACAAAACCGGCAAACATCAACATTTAGTCAAAAAAAAAACAACAGTTCTATGTCAATGTTCGGCTGAAATTCACAACTCGAACCTAAGTAAACTCTTAATAGTTAAGGTGTAAAGTGAAAAATTCTTGATAAAAGTACAATAAACTTAATCTAGTCTATGATAATGATACGACAACGTATCGACGTAACGACGAGGGAGGGGGTTGTCCTGTGGGGGTGTGGGCTGCGGGCTAGTGGGGAGGGGACGTGTGGCGAGGCTCTACAGAACATTATCCCTATCACTAAATGTCATATTGCTTAGATGTTGACTTCAGGTAAACGTGAACGCTTTACACTACGATATAATATACGTATGTATGTATGTATAATATATGTATATCAGTTTGAGAACCGCTGTCTAAACTCTTTATAACACATCAAAAAGTTACCCTTACATGCTAGGCTAGCAGCGAGGAGGTCTCTACGATTACTGTCGAATATCGAATCACCGTTTGGAAGACCTGGTCTGACCTTTCTATTGCTACGTTCGTACTATGCTTATTTTACGCCACGCGAGTAGTAACATACAACACACGCTAACGCCTTACGTTTGTTTTCTATTTATAGGAGAAGGTATAGACGAGAGAAAGAGAGGTACATAATAAAATAACACGCTCGAAGGACGCACTGTTACATATAGGTAGTAAGTACATACAAATCTCAAATGAAACAGCGCAAGCGCAGCACTTTGGGGGGGGAGTGTGTAGTGGTGGTGGGGGAAGAGGGGAGTCATTAGACATTGTATAATCAGTCTGTCGTCGATTGCGGTCGTCTATGAGAGGGGTTTCCTATCTCTATGTTAGTGTTACTTATAATCGTATACTAATCGAGGTAACCGATGCGACGTGCTGAGGTCACGCCGGTGTAACGTGTCAGTAAGCAAGCGAGCAAACTATTGAACAAAGCGTGTTACATGCTGCAAGGGGGAGTGGGGGGGGGTATAGTAAATGGCGTGTTTGTGGCGTTTCGAATTGTCTGATAAAGTTTGTATACACTAACATGTACACGAGCCTGAGTGCATTCACTAATTTGATTTTAGCCAATTTTTTTATAAAGAACTTTAATTTTTTTTGACAAAACTGTTTTCTGTGCTTTGTTGGTTAGTATTTTTTTTAATTTGTAAAAGGCTATAAAGATATAATTCATTTCGATCTACCTACACTGTATATACTTCTCGGCTCGTGTACACATTATCGATATTGTGAGACTACCTACACTACACATGACTTCATATATACTTAATATCTGAATGAAAGCGTACTCTGTACTCAATACTACCCTATTTTGAATGATTCGCTCAAACGTCGCGAGCGAGTGCGCATAAAGAAATAACTATACAGTCACACGATTACTATCAAAATCGGAACATTATATTTGTGATGACATTGGACGCTTACGGGCCGTTATGATTCGACTAGATTAACTTATCAATACGTGAAAGGGAAATTCGAAGCGAAGGAGTGAGTGAAGTCGCGTGAAGATATATACATACATATACAGCGTGATATAGTGCAATAGTATCCACTAGGAACCACCTGTATAATAAAATAATATGAAAATTATAATGTACGTCCGTACGCGTCCAACTGCCAGAGCTACAATGTGCCCACCGTGAGAGCGCCGTGCGACGGGCGTCGTGCAACCACTACCCTAACTGTAAAACAAAACTTTAAACCTACGCGATTATAAAAACTCTAATTATAATATTTACATAATTACATTTAAATTCCGAGAAGTTCCGAACAAGTAAGAAAATATGTCCATTTGTGTCAACTAATGTTAAAACGTTTCACTCTCTCGATATACTCTGCATTACAGGTCAGATAGCGCGTTGCAACGTGGACCTTGCGTCCTACGCGCCAGGGCTCACTTCACAACGCCGCGGCCACCGGGAACAATAGATATACAACAAAATTTGAAAATAAAGTCCTTAATCGAGATAATATTATTATTAATTAACAATTATCAAGGTACGAGGTCTCCCCGTGACGTGCGTCAACAACAACCAATAACCGCACGCGCGTTCCTGACGCGTTCCTAACGCGTTCCCGACGCGGAACATAACTTCCTATCAATTTGGTTTAACACTACAAGAAATAAAAAAAATACCGTACAACAAACGCTCACTGTGGAACCAGACTGTGGTGCGATTTGTATCACAGAAAAATATTAAACAAAAAGAATATCCATAAAAGCCGCGACAATGCATAAAGGAACAATGAAAATTGATCGATGTGTAAACAAAATATCAAACAATATAAAAAAATAAAAGTCCTACGTGACGTCAGACTCGTCGCCTACACCAATAGCAGGTCGACGACCCTAACCACATGGCGTCACTTTGTATGAAGTAAGCTTTTCCATAATACCGAGCTATAGAAAAAAATTTAATAATTTTAAATAAATCTATCTTTTCGGATTATTTCGCGGATTTATTTAGATTTTTGGTTCCCGACGTTTCGAATGGTTTACAGCAAACATGGTCACGGGAGAGACTGAGGTGTTATAGACATCTCAAAGGTATTGTGTAGTTGTAACAGACAGCCGCGAAAATAACCGAAAAGATAGTTTTAAATTAAAATGTCAAATATTCGCGTAAATCTAAGAAAGTATTACATTTAATAATATTAAAAAACACGGAATCTTCCTAACAAAATGTTACATACGTACGTGGTAACAAAAAAATATCACTACAAGTCCATAACATTTTATAATAAATGCTCCTTTCGATACAATAAACTCTAAGAGGTAGGATCGGGAAAGGGGGGACCAAACGCACTCGCCGGGCGGCCCGCCGGCCAGTACGGGCGCGGCTAGACCCCGAAAAATGAAACTTTTTCTACAAAAAACATCATGTTTCCGTAACAGCAGCATTGAGGGTATAAAGTCATAGCCACGCCATCGTAGCACCATACTAATCTCATGAGGAAACATAAAGCCGACCCTATATACAACAATATATCGCAAATTTTTATACATATATTTATATATTAATTTTCTTCATATTATAATCTATAATTTAGATGACTTTTAAATTACTTTTCTTAACTTTAACGATCACGACCTCCTATCCAATAACACCCTGTCACTCTGCCCGAGTATAAATCCTCTAATAGGGCACATGACTTCACCACATTTATACCAAAAACAATAAAAATATACTGTGTATATGTGTACTTATGACGTCACAATTTTATAACGTTGTACATAAATAATTAAATAATAATATTATAAAGAGAGAAAAAAAGTATTTTTGTTTGTAATTGATAAACAAAAAATCCATTGAACCGATTTAGGTGAAATTTGGTATGAAGAGAGTTTGAGATCCTGGGAATGACATAGGACCATCCCTTCAACCCTTCGATCACGCCTTAAAGTGGTAAAAAGAGGGATAAAACTTTGTATGGGGATTCAATCATTTCTCAAGTAAACGATATAAAACTCATCATTTACCACTACGTATATATACATAAAAAGAGAGATAGAATGAGTGACGGTGACGTCGCTCGCTTACAAGGCAATTTCCATTGGCATAAAACCCCTTTTTAGTATGAGAGTGACACCAGTTTCACATGTGAGCAAGTCACGTGATCTATTGAGTAGAGAGCGGGCCCGCGCGGGGCGTGCGTTTGGTCTAACACGAAAGTAGCTTAAACTAATCCGAATCTAATTTGATAGTGTTGCCTTAACTTATGGGTCAATGTCGATTGTGTTCAGTTAAAATTTTATAATATCACAGTTTTGAAATGCCATATTGTATTGTTTTTGTACGTCGTTGAATAATAATTTATGAACTATTGTGAGATTGTAGAATTTAGAATGTATGTAAGAGCCGGTGGCTTGTCGCGTCGCAGCCGACATTGACCTGCTTAACCTACGGTGTTGTATCTGTCTGTCTGTCACGTCATAATTACCAAAACTAATATCAATTCATAAAACGCCCCTTAAACGGTTCAAGACGTTTGTGATTGATTTTGTATGTTTGTTGCTTCGTTACTCTAAAACACATTTATTTCATATAAAATATATTCACAAAATACAAGCGTATAAATGCAAAATATTGTAAAAAACTTTAAATATATATTATAAAAATGCGGGCGGAACCGCTCATTCTACTTAATCTAATTTCATCATCAACATTATTGCTTAATCATAGTGTACATATATAGATAATCCGATAGTTTTGTTATCTGTTCCACCGAGCCTATAGCACTTGGTCCAATCTAGTTCCATACAGAAGTGATCAATGAGTGAGCTGCCTGTGTTTTGTTCAACGAATATTTTTATTATATCACTTATCGGTCACTTGTATGAGATATTTATAACAAATAGACTGGCGAGTGAAGTACCACAGGGTCGGACGAACAGACGAGACACCCTAACGCTAACATATGTGTATATGTAGTTTAAGGGACGTTTTTGAATACAGCACATAATTAGACATCAAGTTACATATAAAAACGATGTTCCGGGCGCTTTAACTTTAGTGCTCAATGCCAAAAATCGAACCCGTTCAATGAAAATCTGACAGAAATATGTAATACGCACAATTTGTTTTCCAATCTCGTAATAACAATTTAAAAGCATTTGATGCTGACATATTATAATAATTTTCCATAATATGTATATAACCAACAGGGCCGTATCGCTCTGCTAAACTAGAACTCTGATCGCGTAACCCTTAGCTTAGTATACTTCCCTCACAACTATAATATATTTATTGCAAATTTCAAATTTCAATGACAACTTTTGCTATAACTTTGAACATTTCGATATTAAATTTCTTGTATTTATAATAATATATTATAATGTACATTCTGACAGATTATCACATATACGATATATAGAGGACTATTGTAGCCTAATATTGAATATCTCGTCAATTGATTTCATTTATAATTAACATCTTCTTAATTGCCCGCTTACATAACCCGATGTCTAACGTCGGAGGCGGCCATGGCCGTGGCCTTGGCCTGTGGTTGCGGCGTGTCCTGCCACTGGCATGGCGCGTGCTGCCACGGTTGTGGCCGAGGCCACGCCTGGGGCTAGATCTTATAGGGGTCGGTAGCGGCCACGCTGGCCAACGTCTTCTTGATGCGGAGGGCGGTGAGACGCGCCGCCGGGTTCTGGTACCAGCATTCTTTCATGACCTTCGATATGGCCGACAGCACCTACAGTTATATTTGATATGTTAAAAGTAAAAAATTTAAAGAGTGCGTGTATGAATGTGTACACGCGCAAGAAGTAAAACTTCTGTATGTTATCGGTACTCTTTATGAAATTCAATGTATGTTTTAAACAGTTAGGATAGGTGAAACACTAAAAATAACGCATATTAGGCATATTACAATCGTATATTTTTAGAATATCATTTAAGGAAAGAAAATAATATCATTATATATAATTTGTCAGACAATAATAACATGGTTACCATGGCAACGAACGTACATACATTTTTTCGTAACGCATTCACCAGCTCACCCTCCCAAGTCAAGCGTAAAGTGTGCATAAAGAAGTTTTACTTCAAAAATAAAATTGTACATGTACTATACAAAGTAGTATTCTATATTATAATATAGCTATGCCACGTGCACTGAATGAAGTCGTCGATACACGTATTATATCTCACTTATGTCAAATATCGCATGCATAAACCCAATTTAGAAGCAAAAGGACCAGTTAAAGTAGCTATCATCTAATAAAATACATAAAGACATTTGTCTCTGGTGAATGTATGTAAAATCTATATATACAATATACATATATCTTATTGTACATATGTAAAAAGAAGAACCGCCTTCCGAGTCGGGTGTAGCTTCTCGGACTTACATACCCACACTTGATTAAAAAATTTACGATTCCAAATTATTTGGAAAAGGTCGATTTCAATAAAATATATTTAGATTTGTTTTAAAACAATAATAATTTAATTATTTAAGTATATACTTATTATGCTCTGCTTGATGTTGGAGATAATGAAGACTTGGTTGTTAAACTTGGCTGATAAACAAGCTGTTGGTACATAATAGTAAAGAATAAAAAAAAAATATTTCAACTAGCGATAGTATAAAAGATAATACGTTTAGTATGGAATAGATGAAAAAGATATAAACTATATATATATATATATATATATATATATATACATAGATATGTATAATGAGCTATTGTAGGTTGTATTATAACGCGTTTTCCCGTGGGAATGAGACAATCTTAAATAAAAAGTAGCCTATGTCACTCTATTTTGACATGAAAGAAGGACAAACAAACAAACGAACACACTTTCACATTTATAATATTAGTACGGATTGTTAACTGTGACAGCGTTCTCTCTTAACAGCTATACATATACTATACCGATCGTTCACAAACAACAGCACTCACCGGATCCGAATGCCACCTATTGGGCAGTACTGGTCTACGCCTCTCTACACACACGACGCGGCGCATGTCCTCGAGCGCGGGGTCCGGCGGCACGCAGTCGTAGTATGGAGGCTGGTACTCCTCGTGGCCGCATCTTCGTGCCATCTCCCACAGGACCAGCCCTAGCGAGTACACGTCCGACCGCTTGTATGGGTCGAACTGCCGCCCGTCCATGCTCTCGTCCAGGACCTGGACAAATTGATTCGGTTTAATAGTCTCAAAATGTCAATGCCACTGTAATTTGTTTGTCATTTTTAGTAATCAGGTTTGCTTAGAATACTTTTTTAGGGTTCCATCATCAAAGGGTAAAACGGGGGTCCCGTTTTATTACTAAGACTCCGCTGTCCGTCCGTCTGTTTGTCTGTCCGTCTGTCACCAGGCTGTATCTCATGAACCGTGATAGTTAGACATTTGAAATTTTCACCAAGGATGTATTTCTGTTGTCGCTATAACAATAAATACTAAAAAACAGAATAAAATAAACACTTAAGGGGTCTCCCATACAACAAACGTGATTTTTTTTCTCGTTTTTGCTCGATATTAATAACGGTAACAGATAAATGTTTGATACATTCACCGAATATTTAGTTATACATTCACTTTAAAAATAAACAATTAAATTAAACAAATATTTAAGGGTGGCTCCCATACAACAAACAGAGCGGAACGAAGCCCTTCGTGCACTAGTCCGACTTACAGTTGTCCCATTTTATTGCATTTCATTTAATGAAACCCATATTTATTACATAACTTATAAAACATCAAATGAGAACAGGTGAGCAGCTTAAGCATAGCAGTCATATACAAATCACAGCTAAAATGAATACTTGTCAGCAAAATCACAAACCATTTTGTTAACGATGTTATCAATCACCTATATACATATTTTTTAAACCATACACTTAAATATATTTCAACTTAATATACATACAAAAAATTAAGCTTGCTTTAAAAGCATATGTAAATACATTGCATCACCACTCATTCAAAATCATAGAAATAAAAAATATATATAAATGAAACTATAAATAAATATTGTTTATATACATCTTCCAATAGTTGCAGAATAAGGAAAATAAGTAAGTTATTTACATATTAATAAATCACAATTTTTCCTTTTCTATGTATGTATGTATGATTAATTATTTTATTTAAACTATAAGACTCTATAAACTTTCTGAAATGTTTATACATATATTATGAAACTTAATGTTTTATAGTACCTAATTAACAACCATAATGAACATGATACACAACAAAATATGTAAACATAATAAAAATAATCCTCCACTTGCTGTATGTACGAGTATATACTATACATATAATAAAATTCTGAGTCGAATCTGTACATTAAATATTTTTTGGAAAATCTTGCATGCATGATGCAGAAGCCGAATCTATAGTTTTTAGATTTTTGTCTGTCTGTCTGTCTGTCTGTCTGAGAACGGATCATGAGGAAACAGCTGGGCAGATTTTGATGAAATTTGGTATGATGATAGCTAGGTATCTTGGTCAACATAGGATACTTTAGCTGCAAGAAATACCTCATCTCTAAGTGATATACGTTAAAACGTAATTACTATTATAGTATATTACTGTATATATATGTACATATTAGTGAGAGTGAGTTTCTAGTTTGAATATATATTTATAACAAAATAGGAATTTGTTGTTAAAAGCGTTCGTGTACACAACGCAACAAACAAGTCAACAGTATCTTAGTTTTATAATATTAAATGAATAATTATTGTATATATTTATATGTATGTATATAAACTTATTTCGCGTATCTCGGAAAAGGCTCTAACGATTCGGATTAAAATATATATATTATATTTAGATATGGTTTTGTTTTTAAGTTTATCTATAGGTGTCCGTTCTGAGAAAACACACTTTTTATATATTTTCCAAAAAACGCCGAGCGAAGTTCAATCACGCAGATATTATCATTTATATGTAATTATTCCACCATTAGAGTCATTGTTTTTTATTTATTTCATTAGGTACTAGCGACTCAGCCTCTCTTCGCTCAAGTTCGTAGGTACGTTATGACGCTTAATATGGAATAGATTTTTATTTTCAATTTTTTTTTGTCAATTTTTCGATGTTTTAATGGTTATACTGCTATTCGGGGTAAGACAAATCCAACAAAACAAATATCATAAAAATCGGGCCAGCATTTCTCGAGTTATAAGTACTGTAACAAATCTGACTTTGTTCTATTATTGTATATAGATTTGTATGGAATAAAATAATTTATAACATCACATGTAAGATATAAAAATATTGACATATAAGGAATTATCAAAGTTACTCTATGCTCGAGCGCTCAGTGAGTGCCAAACAGTACTCTATGTGTTACATCAAGTCAACTCCATTCTCTTACTAATGAGTTTAACATGCCAGTTGAGAACAGATCACTTCCCCAACGTCACGTAGGATGGAGAAGACACGAGGAGATTGGTCGAGAAAATAAGATTAATAAACTACATTAAACCACTAGCAGATCCCGCGGTTTCGCCCGCGTTCAATCTACAAAAAAAAACTCTTTGGCTTTATATTATATAGCGATTCAACCTCGCTTCGCTTGGGTTCATTGCTATGTATTTATATAATACTAGCGACTCACCCTCGCTTCGCTCGGTGTCGTCCCTAGCTTGATTCCCCATACAAACTTTCATCCACATTTTCACCCCCATATGGGATGATTTCCGAAATAAAAAGTATCCTATGTTCTTCCCAGGGTCTCAAGCTGTCTTCTCACCAAATTTCAAATTTCATGTAAATCCGTTCAGTAGATCCAGAGGTTACCCCCTACAACATCACAAACTTACAAACTCACAATTCACAAACTTTACCTCTTTATAATATTAATATAGATTGTTCATAGAAAATACTAAAATCAAGATTAAAAAATGGGGGGTGGGGGTAGGAAGATGAAAAATATTTTATTCTCTATACCTTATTCTCATAACTACCAAATATACAAAAAAAATCATTAAAATCGGTCGATCCTTTTCAGAGGAGTGCGTAAAAATGATTCTTTATCTACCTATGTAATAAATAATCAAATCTGTCCAGGCGTTTCAGGAAAAGTAACACACACGCAATAGCCTTTAAGACATATAAAACCTCAGTCTCTCCCGTGACTATGATTGCTGTAAAGCATTCGAAACGTCGGAAACCAAAACTCAAATTTATCCGCGAAAAAATCCGAAAAGATAGTTTTATTAAAAATGTCAAATATTCGCGTAAATCTATGAAAGTATTGTAAATATACCATCTTTAAAAATATGTAATTGTATAAAATTATGTTAACTAAAATCGACTATTAATGAGCAAAAGTTTTATCTATCTTGATAGACAAAACTTTTTCTATTTTGGTTTTATATTTGGTTTATAAAGTATGAAGTAAATAATTTAAATTTTTATCAAGCTGCCTTTATTTCGGCTAAATTGAAGAAGATCACACCCACGTACATAAGGTACATATATATTCTGTCAGGTATCTACGCTCAAAACAATATACCTAAGTTTAAAAAAAATACAATTACAAACAAACAGCAAATTACATGTATAAAAAACAACAAAATGTTAGTTATTCTTGAAAAACCACATATAATACCACCACCATACACAGTACAACAACAACAAAATTCAAATAAACTTATTAAACCAAAAAATAATATAATACGATTTCAAAAATTTCAAGTTAATCAAATTAAACTAATTTTGAAGATGTCACGATATTGATAGTGCTTATCAGTAATCGTAAAACAAAAAGCCAATGATAAGTAAAAAACAACATCATATTAATCTATACATATTATAAAATTGTAACTAAGTCGAATCTGCACATTAAATATTTTTTGAAAAATCTTATTGAAATAAACATTATTATAGTTTTTAGAATTTTTGTCTGTCTATCTGTCTGTCTGTTACCATATCATACAAAAACCACTGGAGGGATTTTAATGAAATTTGGTATGGTGATAGATGGTTATCCGACTTATCAACATATAGGATACTTTTTACCGCAGGAAAATGTCTCATTTTTGAGAAAAAATACAAAAACTGCAATGTAAAAGTATATTAATATGAAAAACTTAACTATTGGGTTTTTGGTCATGTGAACGCGGGCGGAGCCGCGGGCAATGCTAGTAATAATTATATAATCCTTTATCTAAAAAGGATTAGCTACAATAGATATTATTCGCAATCGCGTCCGTGTCGTACATAGCAAAGTCACAAGTACAATCGCCTGCCAGCATTATAGCAACAATATTAAACAAACATAAAATTCACATTCGCAACATCTTAAAAAGTAATGTTGATAAAAGAAATATACACACATATGATAGAATTTACAAAAATATTTCAAAATACCTACAACCTTTATATAAAATTATTTTGTTTTTGATTTCATTAATTTCAGTAGTTAGTAAATAAATAAATTTAATAAAAAAAACAAGCAACTACTTTCGCAAAAACAAAACAAAACATCATACAAACAACCTAATACACAAACCCCAAGTCACAAGTCACACGAGTTAAATTTGGCACCACTTGGTACCGCAGAGCACGCCTTTGGCTTATTTACCCTAATAATACCGTAGGGTCAATCGCAGGGCGGGTCCCTAGATGTGTAGCAGTAACTTATGTTTAATTCCAAGCTATAATTGTATAACATTGTACATATTAAACATTCAAATCCATCTTTTTTTATTAGTTACATTGGACACAATGATGGATTATGAAAGGAGACCCACACCCAGCAAAACGTTAAAAATAGGGGCTGAATGGTACCAGCATACTAACCTCAGGCGCCATGTACCGCTTGGTGCCGACTCTATTGGTGGAGGGCACGTCTACCGAGTCGCTGGCAACGTTGTGTCTCACCGCGAGTCCCAGATCACCGATCACACATGTCAAATTCGATTTGACTAGAATGTTCTTCGACTTTAGGTCACGATGTGCGATCGCTGGTTTACCTGGAAATTACATTAATGGCTTTACGCTTTTGTCTCTTTCAAATTCTGCGACAATCAGATAGATGTTAGCATAGGAAATTGGACCGGTGTGATAATTACAAAATTTTAATTTTAAAGGTGCTTATAAAAAGAGAATGTTATAGTTTTGAGTATATATTTCACGCAATACTTTCTTCACTGATTAAAAAGTATACTTATTTTCTTTATTTAATAGTAAATAAACAAAGCTTAGAGAAGTACATTAACAAAAAAATATTAAGATACATTGAAATTCCTTTAAATAATATGCTATTGTATAACATAAAGAAGAGTTCTCATTAGAATATTAACCTTTAGTCCCTACGATGTCCATATGTAAATGTGCGAGACCAGTAGCTATAGATAACGCCATCTTGACGAGCGTGTTTGCATCTATTGTCCTGGCGGTGAGGAAATCGAACAGGGAACCGTTCTCATGGTAGTCTGTGATCAACCAGAGCTGCGTCCAAGTGCCGTTATCTGTAAACATTTACATACTAGCTACAGTCTCCTTCTTTTTGATGTCGCTAAAGAAACGTATCATACCTTGCCAGCCGCCAACGTGCAGGGGACTGTGAGAGTTGAGGTCCTCATTTACAATAACCCTACAATGTGTAGGATCGCTTGCGCACACACTGCAACACCCCTAGTTACAGTCCCCTGGCCAATTTCATTAGTTGTTACTTGTCACTAGGTTAAAAATAGTTGTAATGTATAAAAGTTCCTCATACAAAGCAGTTTCGACAGCCGATTAAAATGTAGATTAACTTTTAAAGTTGTATGTATGAAAAAAGCTCATTAAAAACTGACAGATGGACAAACATAAAATATAGTATTTCTTATACACGTACCTATATCGTGTATTTAATGTTTCTATCGTGTAGTTAATAAATTTTATTCGAATTATAAGAAAATAAAACAAATTAAAAAGAACTAAGTTACAATATCATGGAACTAGAACTCAGAATCGATATTAGTGGAAAGCGAGACTCGAACCCGCGACCTTCGCAATAGTGACGGTATGTTTGTTTTTCGAGAGCAAATTTTAAATTCGACGAGTCGACAATGACCGTCACTCGGTTTAAGTCAAACCCAACAGTACTTTTGAATATGTAGATCTGAATCTCGTCGTACACTCCATTGTTTTGCATTCATTTACATTGCATCAATAAACATAAATCATCTATTTTTGTAATAAACAATCTTGTTTGTTATTGTGCAGTGGCGTTATTGTTAAATAATATAATTATGAAAATTTCCGTTTATCTGTTAATGGCAACGAATAATTTAGAATCAGACTTTATTTACACTACTAACACTAGCAATACCCACGGCTTCGCCCGCGTTCTAACTTCTGTGCGCTAATGAGCTTCATAGGATCACCTGTTGGGCTAATCTAAGATTGCCTGAAAATTTCATCAAAATCGCTCCAGCCGTTTTGGAGTCAATAGAGAACTTACATACACACATCGGTTTTTATATATGTTGATGTCTTCGATTTTCATGGTTTTTTTTCCAAAAAAGAAACAATAATTAAGGATGAAATAAAAATATATTATACGTTAATAATACATGCGTATAGATAATAAAAATATTTCCAAAAATTACATTCATAAGAGAAACTAAATATCAATACAACGTAAAACAAGTCGTGTGAGGCAACTCAAGGCGCCGCAATGCAAGCACACCGCCGCGGCCGCCGTAACACATTGCAAGTTATTATCGACAGCACATCGATTGTGATGTAAATAAGTAATCGTTATGAAATGTGAACTTTTACACAGTTACACACACGAAATGTGACAGTTACACACACGATATGTGTTTAACACCTCCAGGTAAATTTCTAAGAAATCAATTAAAATTCTAAGAAATCTATTGTTAACTGACACGCCGCGCCGGCGTGTCCGCGCTCGTGGAGGGATTAACATGTGGTTAAAAGGAACATAGCCTACTTTACAATATTGGTACTTGTAATTGTAAAACTTTAAACTTTAATAATTTTATTAGAACACTGTTACTGTTCAACTAATAACTTATACAATACTAGCGCCTCATCCTCGCTTTGCTCGGGTTCGTCTCTACGTTTTCGGAATAGCTAGATATGTACATATATACATAAGTATGATGAGTTGTTGTGCGTTGTATTATAACGTGTTTTCCCGTGGGAATGAGATAATCTCACACGGTAAAGTAGCCTATGTCACTCTCACGCTATCCCGTCACTCTATTTCGACGCGAAAGAAGGATAAACAAACAAACAATCTACCAAACAAATTTTCACATTTATAATATTAGTATGAGTACAATATACACAATTCAAGTAAACAAGCAAAAGAACAAACCTTTATTATCGGCAGCTATGAACCCGAGTATGTTCTCATGGCGCAGCATCACCGTCTGGTATATCTCCGCCTCCCGGAACCAGGAGGACTCCTCACGTGAGGAGAAGATCTTGACGGCCACATCCTCACCCCGCCACCGGCCGCGCCACACTTCACCGAAGCGACCCTTACCTATGATATCCATCAGCTGGATCTGGCGAGCTATCGACCGCTGGACTAGAAGCGGAAGGCCTGCAAGTGAGGGGTTTAGCTTCGTTAGTGAGACATATGCCATAGTGTTTAGTTAAATAGGGAAAAATAAATTACATTACGTTTTAGCTATGGTTTAAAGAAATATATAAAACTACGCTGTCCCTTGAAGTCCCTCACAACGTCGAGCTTCTAAACATACTAATTAATTTTCCACTTCTTCCTAAAAAATGAATAAAATGACAATAACTAATACCAAATAAAAAAAACGTTTATCAAACAAACTCACCCGAGCCGGACCCGGAAGTGGTCAACTCGATCATATCACGTATGGTGGCCGTCATCATAGGATGCCGTGTCTCACAGAAGGAGTCTTCTGGAGCGAACAGAGACCTGGACTCCCGCTTTTTGGTCTTCGGCGACCGTCTGGCCCACCAGAAACTGATCGCCGCACAAACGCTCAGCACCATGAGCCCAAATATCCATGGCAATACCTGCCATGCTGTTGCTGTCTGACTCGGCTCTTTATTTAACACATGCAAATATTATATGGGTGTTTTAGACGTTGGGTCCATAGCTTTCAATATAGGCAAATACTTAACAAAATAGATATTGTATCAGGAATAGCATCAAGCCTTTACTTAACGGGACACTCAGGGACAGTTGTATAAAATTAAAATAAAAAATAAAATTAAAGATTTGTTATCAGTCATATATATCCCACCCCTTCACCAAAATACGGAACATACAAACGAAATCAGGGCGAGAGCTAGTCTTGTTAGTTTTTTAACATTAATTGATTTAAGTGCAATATACGATAGCATGGCAATATCGACGGTACTGATTTTTTGCGAATAAATAAACATTTCGCATGTCGTTACCGCGGGGCATGTTTATAATGCATATTCAAATATCCACAGGCATTGGTACCATTGCATACATTAACAGAAGTTGACAGTGGTTCTGTGTACCTACAATCGAGCTATTTCCAATTAAACCGACTGGATAACGAGACTAACGCTGCCCCGACTGCGTGTGTACGTACATTCTAAACTGTCCACCGGCTTTAATTTATAACATTGCAAAACATAAGAGATATCTACAAATATTTAAACATAATGTAAAAAAATGTAAGTAAATAATTAAAACCAACCACAAAAAGTACATTCGAAAGAATCAAAGTCACTACTCATAGTGCACCAACATGCAGAAGCGAAAAACAAGACATTAGTTGCCAAGCATAAGACCATACCAAAAATTACACCTTCAACCCCGTCTTAAATAAATTTTTACCTTCACGTGCAAATGCATTCTGATTTGTGTGAAAATTAAATTCAAATAAAAAGAAAGTGTTGCGCGTATGTGTTACTACAAATTTAGCTGGTCTATTAGAAACAGTTCCACTGGACCCGATGACCCCTCACTGCAAGGTGATCTAATATCGACGGTTAGCATGCAATTAGTACAAAATAAGCTCATGCTGAAAGAAATACCGGCGTATGATCACTCACGTACCGATGTGTCAGGACAGTGCGTTTACACATCCGTTACGTAATATAATGAATTACACTATTGCTTCGCTACGACGACATTGTTCTCTCGGACATTCCTATAAACGTCATAAAGTTACACCTAACGAGATCGTTACTGTACGCTTAGCATAGTTACATTACGGTTAGCTGGACGGACAGGACGGACGGGACGGACTTACAGAGGACCCATGGACATCACATTCAGCTTTGAGAGGACCTAACCCATTGTTACCCCCTTTAGCATTACGGCAGCGGGACAGGACATACACATTGGCGGGTCGGAAGCGCGAGTGTATGTATCCCCTGGATGTAACATCTGACAACCCATGCATGCATATAATCGTATGAGTTTATGACAATATATATTATTGAATAATTGGATGACGTCATCGCAATGCAATGCAATGATAATATATTATATATGCGCTCGGATGCGGTCGGACATCACTAGCAGCGATACAAAGCTACCCACTGGACGGCCCGACGGACATTGCTTACATTTGAGAATCGTTCGTGCCGTACCTGCGATGAGGGCACGGTTACAGAAGTCCGTGGAGCAGCAAATTATATCCGGAGTTTCCTCCTCCCGACACCATATGGGCCTGTCGCCGGGGGGGAAAACGGTTTCCTGGTGCCAACATCTATATACAATTATCGAACATTAGTGGCGTGACGTTGACGCGGACGTGATCAATGCCGGAGAAGGAGATTTAGTACTATTAGAACACAAAAGAAATAGAATAGCCATGCGGTGCGCGGTGCGAAGCGGTGCTACTAGCGACACGTCGGCTACCTGGCTGCTTCGGGTGAAAGTCCAGGTGCAGGTCCTGGTTGCACATGTCGCGCGACTTACAACACTTTATCACCACCGACTCATTTCTAGTTCTCGTTGTGGAGCAACTGAAGGGATGCTCGATGGGGATCAGTGCTTTGAGCTCGATACAGCTGCGCGCGAGTGGAACCACCATACATCATGTTTAGTACGTTAAAGCGAAACCAATGCACACTCGGAAAATAGTGTTTGTTAACAGATGGCACATCATTCTCACATGGGCCCGCGGCGGCCCCGCGCTTAGTAGGTACATATCCAAATCACTAACTCGGAAGCGCTGGTTAGAGGATTGGCATTTCAACACAAAACTTAAGGTCGTCAATGGCAAGGCATTATTTCTAGAGTACACGCCCACTGTGAGAACTTCTTACCCACGGATGAGGTTGCTATTTTTTCTCGGTAAGCCTCATCAGAATTGCAGAGATCATTTTTACAGCAATAGGCTCTGGGATGTCTGCATTTGACTGGATAGTCTGGAGGGAAGGCTACATGTCTGTGCAAACAGCTTAAGGCCACCTCTCTACACAAGTCAACGGTTTGACACAAATTGATTAAAATCATACCTTGGAGCCACCAAATTGATTGAGATTTGTGTTGATATTTTGCCAATTGTTTCAACAAGTTACAACAAGATCCACTTGAAATTCAAAATATGTACCTCAATACATGTTTAGCTTTTCCTGCACTGTGCTTTTTACAAACATTTGTGGCATGTTAGTAGCTCAACAATTTATTTACTTTTTGAAAAATATTGCAAACCCAAGTAAAAGAAGTTTGTAGAAGGTACAGTCAGTCACTGCCATTAAATGAACCCTCAAAAATTTTGACAAATTGTAATACATGAAACAAATAACAAGACTAAAAGATTTACTCACTGGTATGTATATTTAGGTAGTCCGTTGTCAAGAGTGGTGGAGGAGGCGTAGCAATACCCATCTGTCTCACATGTAGAGTTGGGGCAACTGGGACTGTCACTGTTGCAGTAACACTTCAGTCCTAAAGTTCAGGCATATACACATTGAAAATTATACAATTATGCCGAATTGTATTTAGAATTGAATATACCTTTATAAGTACATTATAATTATAACCTAAGAGTAAATGATAAAAAACTATAACAGTTTCAATGAATAAGAAGCAAATATCCTAATTATTTATTTACAAACACTCCACTGAAGTTATAAAAATAAATCATGTGTAATATTAAATTAAATAACACAGTTGTATGAGATGTAATTGTGAATAAACATGAGGAACCTACATAAATAACGCGGCGAATTGATTGCACTCTGATCTAGCGTTGACATAAGCTACATTATGGTCAACTTAATCTACATCGAGTTGTATAAGCACTTATAAATAATAAACCTCATAATGTTATTTACTTATTGTACTCACCGCTTACTGAGGTTAGCTTCCAGCAAAGCAGAAATATGATTAAATTAAAGCCTTTCCTCCAATCTAAACAGTCCATAATCACGTTTGTGAAAAGAAACATTTCGATCTAATCCCATACGGCCAAACACTTATTATTGACGCTCGGGCGATACGGCCATTGGGTTGTTCTAAAAGGAACATATGACATTTTTGTATCAACAGTAAATATTATTGCTATACGTTCTTCGTATTTATCTTTATACGTTAATATAAACGCTGTCGAATATACACAATAGAAAATCAATGTACTAATAAAATAAATTCTCTCCGGTAGATAAATAACTTCGCGTGAAAACGTCACGGATAGAATGTTAGTGTTGCCACATGCCACTGCCAGTTGCTACTACAATGGCGGGCGCGCCGGGCGGGCATTGCCATACTCTCATAGATAAAATAATATATTATTATGTGCACATTAATGTCTGTTCCATGTCAGTTAGCACAAAAATTATATAAATACAAGTACAGTGGTTTATAATATTTATATATATTTTTTTACAATAATATAGAAAAATATAAAGTGCTTAAGTTATTAATTATTATTTTATTCACTTCCTTCTGTTTAAAATTGGAAATAATTTACAGGTTTGAAACCAAATCAAAATAGTAGAGATTTTAGCAATGGGTTTTAAAATTCGAAATGACGGGTTCTCGTGGATAATTATTGAATTTTAATATGTTTATTATTTTGTTTTTGATCGAAAACGAACACATTGTTTTTGTAGCAACAAACGCCCATAATATTGTTGTACTAACAAGTAGTGTAACTTTTTAAAGGAACAATTTTAGAAAATAACTAGCGACTTACCCTTGCTTCGCTCGGGTGCCTCTCTAAGTACCTTATAATGTCCTACGTGTTACTCCATGATCATAGTCTATCTATAACTACACAACAGACAAACAATGCAATAATTATTAATTATAATTTTAATATAGGTACAATATTTGGTACAATGCTTACCTACTAGAATCTAGATATTTACCTTATGGTTGTCTTTTAGCTTGTTCTCCATTTAGTGAGCAGTCAAATTGTAACAATCCGAGAGATGACTTCGCCACAGTCAGTTACTTACAGTAGGTATCTAATAAGTGATAATTATAGTGAAGACTAGAGGTCTCGTCGTTTGTAAAAATTTAAACAAATGTATGCCGGAAGTATCTCGTTTGATAGCAACTGCTCGATAACATTAGCGTAACGCTTTAAATTTTGTCAACGCCCTTTGTGTCCTTATTTCAATTTTGTTTGATATTTGAACACAGAGGTCTTTAAAACGCCTTCCAGTAGCAAAAGGATATTTTATTTAGATAAGGGTCCCTCTTAGATCAGCGCCTCTTTCATTTCATTGCGTTTTACTGGGTAGTCTATATTAAAGATCCTAATAGGTACATTATTATAAGACTAGCGATTTCGAGGTGATTCTGTAGTGACATAACTATTTATTTACTTACCGATTGAAAAAAAAAAAATTAGTAAAGCTTACCAGAATATATTAGTGAAAACCGTACCCAAATCTGTTAAGCCGTTTCTGAGATTAGCGCGCACAAACGCACAGACAAACAGACATAAATTCTAAAAATCATTGTTTAGGTTCTATTGCGTGAATAAAGAACTCCGATAATATTTTTTCTCAAATATCTTCCATATACAGACATCGATCAGCTACACTTTTATGTATATGTATAGATGCTCGAATCATTTTCAAATATACGACGAACAACGTATGGTTTCATTTAAAAGTGGTAAAAAAGGCTGGTATTCTAAGAATTAACTAGCTCTTAAGGTTTACGAAGATTTCTCATCATATTAACAAAATCAAGAAAATTAAATAACAGATTAGTGTATAGAAATAAAAACAACAATTTGACACAACAATTAAAATTTTATTTTTAAATGTATCAGATTTTTACAGAAATAACATGGGTAAAGGTAAATACAATGTCAATAAAATAAAACTAGGTACATATTGTTTCCATGTGATAGATTTCATTATTTTTGAACTCCAAATCAACCGATGTTTCTGCGGTCATTAAAAAAAATGTCTTAGCTGACCTATGTATTTATAGAATAAAATTATCCAGACTAGAAGACACTGAATGAGCAACGTGGATCAATAAAGAATACTGCATCGTGTAAACTACAGCTACCGTTGAAACTGTAAAATATAACTATTATACATATATGTATATAAACAACAGCATCAATTATTAAGGGCAAAAAAATTTGGGCATAAAATAAGCCTTTAAAAATCGAGTATTTAGTGATGTATCAATAATATTTCGGTGTAATAACACAAATTGTAAAATCTAAAATAATTTCTATCGACATAATAAGATCGAATTCAATTAAAAGCATAGAAAAAAATTCCAGTCGTAGTTATGGCAATACCCAAACGACTGCAGGTTTGGAGGTGCGCCGTGCGAGTATATATGTATATTCCACTTCACTTATTCGAACACAGCGTAATATTTACAGTTCCAAGATCAAACCTAGCAAACTGCCATGAAGCCTAAATATAGCTTCACGTCGTGTTTAACAAATACGTTGGACACAATACGTAGTAGATCAACCAACAAACCCTGGCCCCTGTACTGGACTGTAGAGGTCGATGGAATAGCTCCTACATGTGGATTGTACCTAATATGTTTACCGAAGGCCAATTATCAACCGACGACCTAAAATAGCACTTCAATCCACAATCTATGAAGTGAACGTGTGTTAGTTTGTTTATCCTTCTTTCACGTCGAAACAGAGTGCGGGATCGGCGTGATTTTTATATGGGGATTAGTTGGAGGGCTTGAGGGTGGCATAGGCTACTTTAACCTTTACTTTTTAGCTTTTTAAGAGATTTTTTTTTTAATTTTACTGCGAGCGAAACCGTGGCTTCCGTTTCGCGGTACTTAATAATTCAGACTAAATAATGTAAATTATTCTCTTTAAACTATTATAAAACCTACAAAACCTGTAAACTAAAATAACAAAAATGCACTGATCACTTAAAATTACTACAAAATGATTTTAAGGAATGTTCTTGTCGGAGGACCCTGTCGGTTTGATGATCTTTGTGGCGTACCGCCTGTTACGTCGGAGGTCACACATTCAATCTTGCGTAGTGTTAATGTAAGTCCCGATCTGGTTAAAAAAAGAACTAGATGCGTGTCTGATAATGGAATGCGAAGAGTGTATTAAGGAGTGAATATAACCTTCCGAGCAATTGAGAGAGTATGATTAGTATAATTCAGAATCATTCCCAATTGGCGCTGTGAAAATGAAAAGGCTCACGAATATATGTAACTGATAGTTGTTTCATATTCGAAGCAGGGTATTGAAGCCCACATAGACCGAAAAACGTACTAAGATCCAACGTAAAGTTTGCGCTAATATCGGAAATGAACGAAGGAAAGGGAAAAAAAACATTTATTATTATTACACTAGATTTGGGTTTTACGATATGTACCAGAAGTTGACGAGAACTCGCGCAGATGACGCATATACGCTGTATGACGAATGAATTGAACATTCCTCGAATATAACATGAAATTAACAATCCAAAAGGAAAAATCATAAGTCATCTATAATATAGATATGTATAATAAAATTCTGAGTCGAATCTGTACATTAAATTCTTTTTTTAAAATCTTACTAAAATAGTCATTATTATCGATACACAGGCGGAATCTATAGTTTTTACAATTTTGGTCTGTCTGTCTGGGAACGAATCACAAGCAAACCACTGGACAGAAATGTATGATAATAGCTGGTTATCCGAGTCAACATATAGGATACTTTTTACTGCGGGAAAATATCTCATCTCTGAGAAATCTATACTAAACGTTAAAACGTTTAAAGTAGATATGAAATTAATAGAACGATATGGAGGGTTTAGTATAAGACAAAAGGTGTTGCTATGGAGGCCTACCTCTTCCTATGCCCTCGATGATATGGTCAATAATGCTAATAAAAGAATAATTATATAGTAAAGACAATGCTAAAAACAGTAGTAATACACTTATTATTATGTCTACTACTAATACATATAGATTGATTTCAAAAAATTTCATTGAAAAAAAATGTATATATGTATGGATACGTATGTATGTATATGAAAATAGCTGAGTTTGAATATAAAACGTCTAACCGTATATATGTAAGTAGAGCACCAAAATACTCTTATGTACAGTCATTAGCACGTAAAGTGTATACTTGATTAGTTTATTTGGACAGAGAATATCGAATAATCGACATCTATAAGAGTTACACGTAACTATATAGTATATAGTTGCCGTTAAACATTACGTTACATAAGATAAATATCCATTTAAACAATTGACTAAACTAAGTCAGCAGCCCAAACAGTCTCACAAACATTTTACATTATATAACCATCGATTAAAAAAGTATATACATTACACAATCCCATGCAAATGTTCTCTTAAAACTGTCACCAATTGTGTTTAGGCAATTATTCTAGTTGAAATAAATATACGACAGTGTAAATTGAACCTTAAATGCAATGCTTAAAGTTGTGTTTACAAAAAAAAATTAAAAGCGCGCTCAAATGTTCAAACGAGCGCTCATTCGGTGAGGATATTTTCGTCGCTGATTGTGTATATACTAAGCTGTACTTTTTTGATCGACGTTTATAACTTATACAGACAGAAAGGCCGTACAGTCTTTTTAACATCGATACCATTTAAACATTTAAAATAGCACAACATCGAGTAGAATGTTAAATAAGTAATTAAATTAGACGTTACATACGCAGACAGACGTTACGAGATTTGAGCGTTCATACACACATTCACAACAATGTACGTGCGTACCTCTGTGCGACTCGGTTCGTTCAATCTGCGCTTTATTGTCACCTATTGCTAAATATATGCACTTCAAGTCGGAGCTTATAAATAATTTACGCTAGACGCGCACACAGCACACGCAGTAGGTGCACTCAGTACACACAGTGTGCACACAGCGCAGTGGCGCGAGTCGAGCCGCTGATCAGCGATCAGTGACTGTCTAAATCTTGTAATGGACAGAAACCGACACGCGCCGGGCCTTAAGAGTACACAAACGATAATCTCTAACACGTACATATAACAATATAAAATATATAAATATAATTAAACGCTGCCGCTGACTGTTTGTACTCAAGGAGCTCGCGTCGGAAAATACATGTTTTTTTTAATAATTTAAACTTGTTGAAGTGAAACTTCTTTAGAATCGTTGTGTTTTGAAACTCGATGAAGCGAAAATGCGACACTAAAAGAGACAGACACATAAATATATAGGGGGGTAATCCGGCGAGAATGAGATAGAATACATTGCCATGTTGCCATGGTAACCGTTGTTATTGTCTGACAAATATATAATATTATATTGTTTCCGTATATGATATTTTATAAATATATGATGTAATATACCTAATATGGCTTGTTTTAATTTAATTGCGATATTTGCCAAAGAAGTTTTACTTCAACCGCGCGTAACAGTCACACGCAAATATTTATTTTTTTATTTTTACACATACCCGTCCGGGATGCACAGTCTCGTCGCCACACAGACCTTATTCTCTTACTTCACGACATCAACTTAGCCCCGTAGGACTTATTTCATTAAAATGTATACCTACATAAATGTATCCACTAAGTATATAAATACGTATTTTTGTTTTCCCCAATTAATTATTACAAAATTTTCATTTGGCAACGAATACAATAGAGAAATTATCGCTAGCTTAATTATAATTATGTAAAATAGATCTACTAACATTGAGAATAATGAGTGTATTACAAATCAATTAAATATCACATTCACGCATATAAAGTCCGCTCGAAAAGTTCATCTACCACCTAACTAGCGAGCACGGTCGGCTGCAACCCTCAAAAACTTTATCAAAAACAACCAACACGACGCACGAACTCGGACCAACCCGCTAGTAGGATTGAGACTGTATATTTATGTATATAATTCAAAAATCGTTTTATAATTTCATCGCTTGCAGTCAACAATATGTATGTATGTACGTCCTTATTATACTTATCTGCTATATAATTTAGAGACCCTTCCTTACGTTTAGTAACTTCCTTTCACTAGGTATTTATTATTATTATTATTATTTATTATTATTATTATACCAATTTCAATATTAATTCGATTAATCCATAAATGCTGAATATATATTGTTATATAAGAAAAAATCTCTGATCAAAAAGTCACTTTGATCAATAAATTCGATTCGTCTTCTTACACGTCTTTTTAAACATATGCGTTTAAAATTTTTGCCCGAATGCATACTGGACAAATAACTAAGATGACATTTACTACGCTTTCAAGGGCCATTTGTGTTCCTCGTTACACGCTATAGATAATACATATACCATATTATCCTAAAATTTAATCTCTGTAGAACTGTAAAATATCTCAAAACCCCTGCTTTGAGTCGAGGATTAAAGTTTATATTTATACGTTATAATTTGAGCCGAACAAGCCGCCACTTGGCCACGACACGACCACGACGTCGCCACGAGGTTACCACGACACCGCCACGATGTCGTTACGACACCGCCACGACGTCGCCACACTTATTACGCGCGAGTATGCGTTTACATCACGCTGCATCTCCCGCGTCCCAATCTCCGCCTACATTTGCTAATTGCCATCGGACAATTAGCAATAAGCATTCCCTAGTGATTCTGTATGACGGAGATGTGGACCAGCAGCGAGGACAGCTCCAACTCCTCGGAGTATCCATTGGTGAGGATGACGCTCCTGTAGCCGGTGCGCAGGCAGCGCAGAGGGTACGTGGCCTGCCCGATGAAGTTGGGGTCCCCGAACATATCCTCATCCTGCACGAGGAACCTGATCAGCGCCAGGTCCGGGTTGTAGACCTCGAACTCGCAGATATCATTCCATATTGGATTTATTCCGTTGTCGGCTGAAAACAAGTAGAGTGTTAATTATAACGACTAAAAATCAAGCGATGTAACATACTAAAGTTATAGCCCAGATGTCAAACAAAACAATGTTGTTGTTGTTTAAAAAACAGTAATATTATATCTGCAGGTTATTGGACTCGAAGTTACTTCATATTTAAATGTTATGCCGACTCGTAAGCTACGTCCCGAGCGTGTGAATAAACCACTGAATAATATAAAACGTACATTACACTGGATTTAATTGATGGAAGAAAATTTTTAGAATATTTGACTCTTTAAAAATAGAAAGAAAGTGTGTGTGTGTGTACTTATTTCTTTAGTCTTTAAATAAAAGCTTATTTTTTTTAAATGCTTACATTTAAATACTTTTTTTTAAATACTTATTTAAATATTATTTTACTTTTTTTCTTATTTTTCTTAGCAAACCCTTTCATTTGATATCCATATCAATGGGGGTGCATGAAATAACAGTCCGCCGTCTTTGGGGGTCCACTACAGTTGAATTTGAATGATAAATCGTCATTTTGTAACATAACGACTAACTTCATAGTGTAATCTAAATCTGTCATCGTAAAAAAAATCAATCTCATCTTTAACTTTTCATAACGCCAAAAAGAAATATAACTTCAAAAACAATCGGATTCTATACTTATTGGTAAACAATTTTCCAAATTGCTTGTAGAGGGAAGATTTTGAAAAATGATAAATGTATTACTAAAAGAATTTTAACATTAATATTATATCAGATATTCGGTTTGAAGACGACATAATATGTAGGTATATACTCACTGACTGTCTTGGTCGAGAGGCGCACGCAGTTGTCGTACTCGGCGCCGATGATCTCCACCTCCACGAAGGGGCTGGCCGTGCCGCGGCCGGACTTGCTGAGGTGCCGCGCGCCCACCACGCGAAGCCGCACCATCACCGGTGTCACCTTCTTCTCCACGCTGCGCCTCTCGTACGGGTTGTAGCCCTCCTCGAACATGAACTCCGGCTTCAGCACATATCCACACCCACCATTTTGGCGGAACTTGCCCGCGTTCAGCTGCATCGGCCGGTCGGGCGTCTGGTAGTTGAGCGCCACCATCTGCGTGCCCACATTCCAGAACGGCACCGGGTTATAGTTGGAGGAGTCGATGCGTTGCCCCTTGGGATAGACGCGACTGAGCTGCACCGCGTGGTAAGCTGTGAAAAAGGTTGCGTCGGGCTGACACATGAGACGCTCCGCCTTGGTCTCTGGGAAGGAGGACATCTCGTTGTGGACGAAGCCGGTAGCGCGCAGCCGCTCCTGGCTGAAGGTGACGGAGCGGCAGTAAACGATGAGGTCGGAGATCTCCTTAGCGATGCGCCAGGTGCGTTCCATCTTGCGGTGGCGCAGCGAGCGCGCGCTGGCGCAGTGGGCGGCCTCGCGCACGGCGGCCAGCCACTCGAGCGCAAGCTCGCGCGTTGGCGCGGCCATGTCGAAGGGCGCGCAAAGGGTAGGGCTGTGCACGCGCACAAGCCAGCGCGCGCCACCACTCTCCTCACCTACCACCAGCTCCACCACAGCGCCCACCACATCCACCACGCCCTTCTGCAGCGACCCCAATGCCGCCGACTCGCCCTCAAGGCCGTTCTGGGTCAGAAGATACAACATATATAAGGAAAATCAACACTTGCCGACTTTTTGGTCTTGGGTAAACTATAAAAGTTAATGGCGACTCAGTTTCCAAATCATGTCGTAAAAGTCAAAGTTAGTATATAAGGAAAATCAAAAGTTGAATACTTTGTTTTTGGAATGAAGTAAAATGCGTTTGATTTGTCGCATACTGAATATTTCGCACCGCGCCCTTCTAAAGATATTTACTCAAAAAAATTCAATGGCCACTGCTTGTATATAAAATGTAGGATACAAAACAGTTCAACAAAACAATTTATTGATTTAATCTGATATTAAAGCTCAACCAATGTATATTTTCAAATGTTTCCAGGACACCACCAGCACACCTAAATATAAAGAATAGAGTATCGCTTACCTCAATACATTACGCTTACCGTAAGAAATGATATACTCGTAAACAAATGGTGATGTAGCAAACACTAAAGCATTCGACATTCACTGACGAAAATTTTTATTTGATGGAAGGGTTTGAAGTTGTTTTTACAAAGTATTACTCACAATATCGGGCACGTGGGGCGTCTCTATCTCCTGCACATAGTTTGCTGGGAACCAGTGGTGTCTCTTTCCCCCATAGTCCCCCCTCCACCACCCCTCGTCGGGTTTGTCCACGTTGGTGATGATCGCGTGCTTGCAAAAGGACAGCTCGTCGTCCTGTCTGGCTCGGTAATCGTACAGCGCCTTCACTGTTATCTATTGCCGTGGAGTAGTCAGTGCAGCGATCACGCAGATTTTTTACAGGCCGAGTTTATTGTGTTTGAGAGTGCTTATATATTATAACGTATTTATGAATTATAGGGATACTTCCAAGAAAAAGATACATTTCTGGTTGACAAAAACATATTGATACGAAATATCTTTTTCTACGATTATGTATTATCTGTTTTTGCCACTAAGGTGACGCCTATGCGACTTTTTTATTTAATATTTCTGACTGTGTAGAACTTTATATTTTTTATAAAGAGCTACTATGTAGATATATAATAACTAAATCAATGATGATTCATAAAGAGTACGAGCGTTAAAAGACGAGAATGTTGGCCAACAAAAAATCTGCAGCGATTTTATGATTGTTATAAAGTGAATCATAAACTAAAAAAAAAAAACAAAAAAACACGTCGTAACAAAATTAATAGCGATAAATAAAATAAGGATAAAATAAGAAGTTAAAATTATGAAAAAAAATAAAATGGAATAAAAAAAATAATAAATATGTAAAATGAAAGCGAAAAGCTTAAATTAATTTGCGGAGCGATGAGACCAAAGATTTAAAAGAATGACCAACATATTATGCACGTGCATGATATATTGGTAGAATATACATAGGTTAATAGAGAAGTTTCATGATGCTCATAATATCATATTTAACGCAATGGAATAATAATGGTTAAAACTAATGAATCAGTGTTTTTTTTTAAATATATCAATAAATGATTGAGAAATTAATTTAAATTTCGGTCTTTCAAGTCGTGTGACTTCACGAAATTATTCTTGTAAACACTCCATAACTTTATCATTTATTGAGATATTTTAATAATCCTTTCATATTTTTGTTATATTTTTTTTTAATTCTTATTATTAATTTAAAAAAAAAGTAGAACTTCTCCATTATACTAATGTAAGAAAATTAGATACTATTTAAACTATGTTTCAATAAAGAGAACTACTAATCAAGTCTGAAAGGGCTTTAACACCAAGGCACCTTTGTATATATAAGAAAGTGGTCCAGTGGGATGAGACGAACCATCGAATACATTGGCATTTATGAATGTGACTCAAACGTGCAAAAGTGCCAAACTCTATCTACACTACTATTATATACTATTATAGAGAGGGAAGATTTGTATTTTCGTAACGAATAAACTCAAAAACTACTGGACCGATTTAGATGAAATTTGGTAAGAAGACAGTTTGAGATCCTGGGATGTCCATAGGATATTTTTTATTCCGGAAATCATCCCTTAAGGAAGTGAAAATGGGGATGAAAGTTTGTATGGAGAATCTACCTAGGGACGAACCCGAAAGAAGCGAGGGTGCGTCGCTACTCACATTTAGAATCAATGCGGTGCCTACCAAACCTAGCTGAAATTACCTCATTACCGTGCAAATTTGAGGGCCTCTCACGTTGCAAGAAGCGAAGCAGCAGCTCAAAATCGTTTAAGTGTTTGCTTAACTATGTAGGTGTTGTAAATATTAGTTCATGTAAGCTAGGTCACGAGATTATTTAAAAAGATTTAATTCTAAACATTTTTGGATAAGTAATATGGTAGTGAAGAGCTTCGTGAACTAGGTGAAGTTATTACCACAGTATAAACATCCATACAGTAGCTAAACGTCTTTGATCTTAACGGCAATCCCGCCAAAAAATAGAAAAGCGGGATCACCCGGAAAGTTACAATTATACTTGTCAAACCTAAATCCTTCTCTCTACTGTCATATAAAAGCAAGTATAGTAATGGGAACGTGACACTCACCCTTTCCTTGTCTTGCTTTACTTAGACGATTGTACTAGTTTAGTAGATTGTGACAAAAGTATAATTTCTTGTTGGGACAAAACAAACAATACCATACTAAAGGCAAACAGAGCAGCGGATTAATGACTGATTATTATTTATATGGAGAAAGTTGGGAGGGCTGGAGGTGACATAAGCTAACATAAGGAAAATTGTTATTCCCAAGGGAAAACTCGTTATAATAAAAGTCATTTATAGGGAATTTCAATCGATATTATTGTACAGAGGTTGTACGAGAATTATACTGGTTTGTTGCAGTTTATTTTGGGGACGAACTCGGTCGAAGCGAGCTAGCGAAACTAGGCTCATTTCTGAGCTACAATTCCTTACACTGTTTAGTGTACGTTTAGAGAAACAATCAATAAGAGCATGCAACGGTCTTCACACCGGCTGACACTCCGTCTCAACCACCCAGTATATATGTATATTATATAAATTATGAACAACCAAGTGTCGTAAATCGGAGCCATGCGATATATTAGATCAATCACGACAAGATGCGTCGATTCAATTATTAGTTATGCTATATGGGTCAGAGTAATTTCGCATGCGTAGTGCGAGTGTTCCAGACGTACACAGGGTGTTCAATGTTCATTAGTTATATAAGTGCGCATGCGACTATATTTACTATGTGCTATTTAGTTATATGCATTAGTCCTTTATGAATCTTATTAGCTGCGAATTCCATTATCCATTTCGTTACCAATATATTTTGTATTCAGTTTTTATATTAAAAAACAGCATCAATGCTGAACTGGAAGCCATTCTTGATGTTTCCAATAGTAAGGTCCAACGTTAGTTTAGCATAATATATATGTTAGTAATAAGCGCATTTGTGTTAGGTTTTTCCTCGACATACATATTTACATAATTCAATATATTTTAATAGCATTATAGGCAATACTCTTCAACAGTTTCGATACTTACCTTCGATGTAAAAGACGATGGATCCATATACCCTGGAGTTCCATACACGGAATTGTCATCTGGCTCCTGTTAGAAGAATCATCGGAATTCAAGAACACATTTACTATTGAACACATATACATACCTTATTGCCTTATATATGTAAATGCTAAGAAGCTTATGTATGACACAGTGAGCAATGGGAATCGGGACTATAATTTCGCATAGTGAGCGTTATTGTAGACTATATACTACCTATTTGTATAGTACGATTTTTACAAGTACTTCGCGATAGAATATAATAGTGTCGTAGTGGAAAATTAACTGTTGTTTTGAAAACAACCTGTATTTACACACTTACTCGTAGCAGCAAGTTAAACTAAAACCTAATTTTTAGAAATTTCTTTTTACTAATTTCAATCCACGATTTCGCTCTCCGGTATGCGGAACGGGGATAAATGGTAGCATACGTTACATCCATCTCAATGATTCAATCTATGTCGTAACCTTTCATCGAAATCTCGTTCCGGTTAAAGCGCGAACAGACTGACAGACAGTTACTTTAAAAGTTATAATATTCTAGTCTAGATTACACGTGTAGTACCTACTTAAATACCAACGTGTATTTATGTAATTTATGTAATAATTAAAAATTAAAAAATTATCGGTTGCGAACGAATTTGTTCACAATTACATAGATTTTAATTTTTTGCGCGGAATACTAAATCTTTGTCTAAAATAAAAGTAGCCCAACTTACTCCTTATAACATTAGCTATCTGCCAGTGACTGTCCCGTCAAAATCAGTCCAGCAGTTTCGAAGAAAATTGTTTTATTCAAGTATCGTATATAATAATTTCATATGCATTTAGTAAAAAGTTTTTATTTCGACATTACGAACGGACACATCAATTTTATTTATATGTATAGATGTGATATATTCGCGTAAATCTAAGAAAGTACACATACATATCATGTTTCAATTAAAAAAGGTACACCAACTTCATAATTTCGAGACAAATACGATGTAATTATTCCTTTAACCACTTAGAGGTAAAGTTTATCCTGAAATTTTGAAATGATGACACTCGGGATTATTTCTATATATATATTCAATTTGCGATGATTACGCTTGACATACACATAAAAAATATATTTTATTGTACCTATTCTTTTTAAAGTTGGTAAAAATCCCGATAAAAAGAAATGTAGCCGTACTTCTATTTCAAATACCAGTTTCTATTTATGTTTGTTTATAACTTCTTCGCACTGTAACGGCTAGATAGAGTATGATCTGGAGTAACATATGGGCTACTTTTAGTAATAACATTTAAAAAAAACCCGGATAAGTGCGAGTTAAACTCGCCCACCGAGGGTTCCGTACAAATTTGTAGGAAATCTGTTTAACTTTAATTTTCAACTTTTTTATTTTTTGGAATTTTTCCTTTATTTATGCTGTAAGCTTGCTTTCTGCCAAATTTCGTAATTCTAGGTCAACGGGAATTACCATATAGGTTTTCGACCCATACCTATATGGCACTTCCGGTTGACGTAAAATTGTCAATTTATGTTAAAAGCAAGATCTTACAGCACAAGTAAAGGGAAAATTACGAAAAATAAAAAAAGTTGAAAATTAAGGTAAACTTTGGTACTTATAAGTTTTTGCGAAAATCTAAATTTTCCCATATCTATTTATCGTGTTGACTCAGGACCTTGATTTTTATACACCTAAAATATTGACTATAGAACTCAGTATCTGGTATAAATTTCAACTTGTTAGGTCTACCCGTTCCTGAGAAAATCGGTGGTGACAGATGGACAGACAGACGGACAAGAGAGTGATCTTATAAGGGTTCCCTTTTTATCTTTTGAGGTACGGACCCCTAAAAAGGTGGCGTTGCTTGTACGCATTCTAGCGAGTCTACGGTACGTTGCTAACGAAATATGTATCAGCCATTTTTAAAGTCCCACTGCTGGGGGTGGCCCTCCCTTCAATGAGGAGTGAGGAGGCCACAGTCCACCACGCTAGCCAAGTGCGGGCGGACTTCACATATCTTATGAAAACTTGCTAGGTTCTCTCAAACATGCCAGTTTCCTCACGATGTTTTCCTTCGCCGTAAGACAAGTGGTTATCATGTTGGAAATGATTCGCAAATGAGAATATCAGAAATGCGAAATCCGTTATTTGAACCCGCTTCACTCGATCTCCCAACCGCGTTACCACTGCGCTACCACTGCCTTTTCGCTAGCGAAATATAAAATATTATAAATATAGTACATACCATCATAATCTTCCTAATGACGTCTTCACTGATGGGGAAACACAACTTTATCTTCTTGTACAAAGGTTGTTTATCATAGTATAAGACCAAATCCACTAGACTCTCGAATTTGACCGTGCCGATGGAGAAGAGTCGCCCTTCGTGTCTGATGCGACAGTGTTTGATCTCTCTTTCACATCTGTATACAAATTATATGTTTAATATGTATGTATATATGTGTGTATGTGTATATTACCTATGCAAATTGAGCTTGGGGTAAGCAATGGTATATGACAATAGATTGTTACTTTAGATATTATAGTAGTAAATTTCAAGATAAAACGTAAAATTTTAATAAATATGTACAAATGTTATTATTCAAGATGTAATAACAATTTTTAGTTATAACCGAAACTCGTGAAAGCAAATTAAAAATTCTAATTAAACTAATTAAAAAATAGGTACATTTTAATATTTGAGCCAAACCCTAAATCTTTTTCTAAAATAAAAGTAGCCTATGTTACTCCCTATAACATCAGTTATCTTTCAGTGAAAGTCCCGTCAAAATCAGTCGAGCCGGTTCAGAGATTATCCGGAAGAAACAGACAGACAGACAAAAATAAAAAAAACATGTGTTTTTCTTCTAAGTACCGTATATAATTTCATATGCATTTAGGAAAACGCTGTTATCTTGACATCACATACAGACACTTCGATTTTATTTATCTGTATAGATATAGATACCATTATATTTTTACTAGCGACACACTCTTGCTTCTTTTTTTAGGTTGATCTCCATACAAACTTTCATTTTCATTTTCACCCCCTTAAGGGATGATTTCCGGAATAAAAAACATGCTATGTCCTTCCCAGGGTCTCAAACTATCTTCTAACCAAATTTCATCTAAATCGGTCCAGTAGTTTTTGAGTTTATTCGTTACAAACGTTCATAAATACAAATCATTCTTCTTTATAATAGTATAAGTATAGACTACACCGGCAGATGTGTGTGAAATCTAAAAACTACTGAAAGAAGAGTGATGAAATTATCATTCAATCACCTGAAGCTAATGGCATAAGAGCCTTGTTCCTTCTCGCTGGGCCTCACCAGAAAAGCACCATCGATATTGGCCTTTCTAAGCCACTCCTCTGCCTGGGCCCGGGAGCAAGTCGGCTGCCACCATTCTTTGCCTTCGTGCTTTTTCGGCTGGGGAACAGGCTCCTTCAGGGTTATCAGGAACTCCTGTTAAAAAGATAATATTCTGATGAATAAGCCATGGCAGTATTGTTGGATGTCTGTCACATGCTATAGGTATGTCAATGGTTGTATGGTATGGGAATGATTTGCAGCTGTTGGTATTAAACGAAAGAAGCTGGAGTAATTAATTTTGACTGGAGATAGTAAGGAGACGTTAGGTACACGTCGTATCGCAGAGTGAGTGTTACGTAACACATGATTATTTACGTTCTTTCTATATATTGTTATACAAAAAACCATAAACAATTACACTAGATTAGTAAGATTAGCGAAAGAGAAAGTAAGCACAAAAAAATGATTGAGAAAAAGGCTGACCTGACTTCTCAGGGGGTGGGTCCTGTAATGCGTTATGAGGCTGTAGAGGCTATCGAAGCACACCGTATCAATCAGGTAATACTTGGTGACGCCCCGCTCTTGCTTGAGCTTTATCCTGCAATGGTTGACCTTGCCCTGTCGCCAGAAGGACAGGCAGTAGTCACCCACGAAGGTGACGCTCTCCCTCACGAGGAAGGTGCCATCACCAAGGTAAGAATGCGCCCGCAGCAGCTCCTCAGCCTCCTGACGGTTGCCGGCTAGCTTGCCGTGGAACCAGCACTCCCCGAAATGCAGCTCATCGTGCGGCACCCCTTCTTCTCCCCCATCACCCTCACCCTCGCTATCCCCATCCGCCTCCGCCTGAGCGCTGTAATGCTCCGTGTAGTATAGTTTGTTCTCTGTAAGGACGAATGCGTGTGGATTCCAGTCTTTATCTATCGGATCCTCTAGAAGAAGGATGCCGTTCTTGATCGTGTTCCTAAGATCGAGGTCCTTCGCTTCCTCTTGGCGGATTGAGAACGAGTTCTCTTCGGCTCCTTCTGGAAGCTTCTTATGTTTCAATATTATCTTCCGGCGTAGGTCATGCGGGGAAGGCAGGACCGTCTCGTTTTTCTCATGAGGCTGGACCACTAGCATTTCACCGAAGACGTCTTGGAAAGCGCTCGCCATGCGCCGTTGTTGCGGCAAAGAACAGTTGTCCTCGATGGAAAGGATCACGGGGTAATCGGACACAACAAAAGCATGTTCTTTGATTGTACGCAAGACATCCATCAGTTTAATTTTAGTAGTGAGCGTGTGGCCATGGTAAATGAAGGGGGTTCCGTCCGGTCCGTCCCAACAATCCAGCTCGATGCAGCGACAGCCTGCCCTCAGACAACGCACGTACGCCTCCAACGAAGATTCACTTGAAAACTGATCTCCGGTCAAATATCTACAACATCAATATTATGTATAAATGATCACGAATGTATAAATCTTAAATATAATAATAATATTCACCCAACCGAAGCCAGACTCGGCGGCCCTTTCTAACGAAACAAGCTTGCAATGGAGATATCATTGTTCAGTGTCTGTGAAGGACATAAAGACTCTGCACTCTATTAAAGTGTCCAGTGGGACGACAATCCGTCCCAACCTATGAGAGATCAGGCGCAGGAGCCTTTACGTATAGACACCAGGTTTTCTGGTCAGTTAATGGGAATTTCTTGATAGAAAATATTAGTAACTTAAATACTTAGTTTGCCCCGGGATCGAACCCAGGACCTAAGGATATATAAGCGTACCTACAAACGAATGAATTGTCAGGTTTCATTAGCTATAATGTATACTTACGTATTATGGGAAGACGAGATCCAGTAGTGCGCGAGAGGTCTCGTCATATCTTGAGTTACTTCATCGTTTTTCGAGTCCCAAATAGAATTTTGTTTAGAGAATAACATCTCAATGAACTGCAACAAAACATCATCAAATTATTTAATCACTATTATAAAAATGGTAAAGTAAATTCGTGTTTGTTATTCGTATAATGCTTTACAGCAATCATTCTCTTCCGCGACCATGATTGCTGTAAAGCATTCGTAACGTCGGTAACCAAAAAACAAAATAAATCCGCGAAATAATCCGAAAAGATTTTTATTTATTTATTTTATTATTTATTTAAAACTAGCGTATAGTGTTAGTTATGAATACAGATTTCATTAATATAATTTATTCTTGAGAAAATTAACATTTTCTATGCGATGACATATTAGTGACGTATAGAAGACCCATACACGGAGAGAAGGCACTGAGCATTACCCTCATGAAATTGCCCACTCTCTAGAAAGAGAGAAAGCGAACGTGCGGCCAATGGGTACCTGTCTTTTATTCCAAGTTGAATTTATACATGGAATGAAAAAAATAATTATGGAAAATTATAATATTACAATTTCATGTAAAATGGTTTATTAGAGATTAATTGTATTTCAATGAACACAGAAGACTTCTGGCCGCACATTCGTTTTGTCTCGGTCTCACCTCTCTGTCATGTAACTGAAGGCTGGCAAAGAAACACTTAGTCTACTCTCTATATCTATGAGAAGACCAGACATTTGGCCACATATACCAGTTCATTTTTCCAATCACGGATTTTATTAAGAAAGATTTACTTTAGCATTAGAAATAGATTACCTATTTCGAGTAGACGGATGATGACTAAGTAGAATGTAGCAGGTAAGTAGTTATTAAATATTCATCGATTTAAAATCGGACTAAATATAGACGAGTCTAAAAACGTCATTCATGTGGGGTGTGTATAGGTGGCCGCCTATGTGGGACATATTGTGCTCAGTTTTTGTATTTCACTTTTACAGTAACGAGGTGAGAGATTAATGGTATCAAAAATAATTAGTCATAAATAACTATTATGAGTATTATAATATATAAATGTGAAAGTATGTTTGTCGATTTGATTGTATCTAATGAAGCAATGCAGAAAAACTATGGATAGTGTTATAGAATACTTTCTTCTATCCCAATACCAACAATTGTTTTGGAGAAATATAAGTTTATAAGTACCATAGAGAAGTAAATATTATCGGAGCATCGAAACGCAAGACATTCTTACCTCGTAATACTTTCTTGGATTTACGCGAATATTTGTCATTTTAAATAAAACTATTTTTCGGATTATTTTACGGTTTTTTTTTTAATTTTTGGAGGACTCTACCGTGATCATGATTGCTGTAAAGGATTCGAAACATCGGGTTCCAAAAATCATAATAAGTCCGCGAAAAATCCGAAAGTTAGTATAATTTAAAACATTATTACCTCATTTAATGTAAAGTAGGGCTCCGCGATGTCTCTCTGCGGGTCCTTTAGGTAGTCACGTATGAACTGTGACGCCCGCACTTCCTCGTCCCCGAGCCGGTCGTGTTGCTCGACCAGCAGGAACCTCTGAAACTCCCGCAGCGTGATGGTGGACCCGTTGGCGCAGTACAGGGAACACTTGTCGAAGATTTCATGGACATTCTGCAACAACGTAGCCAAGTTTAAACAACTATCTATCATGTTGAGTGCATTTAAAAATGCTTTCACAATCTAATGAACTTTGTAAGGAGCCTTAGCATCTTCGGAAAAACCTGTATTTAAACATTTTTCTTAATATCGGAGTGGACTTTCAAATATTGTAAGAAATGATTTTTCTCTGAAAGCAAGTCGATGAGTATTTTATTTTATTTGATTGCAAGTCTAAGCGTAAAGTAACGATCTAATAAGATATATTTTTCAAGTGTCTTTACGTTTTATAACCTATGCATTGAGGTAGATTATGGGCTAGGTAACACCGGGTACAATTATAAACTAAATAGCAGAAGAAAGCTACAAAAAAAAACTCTAAAATGGTAGGTTTCATAACAAACTTTCATCCGTTATTTTACCCCCATAAGGGATCAATTTCGAAAAAATCTAAAAATTGTAATTAATTGTTTGAAGAGCATTTATAATACCAAGTTTCGAGTAATTCTGATCATAAATATTTTTTTGGATTGTATTATAACGTGTTTTCTCGTGAAAAAGTAATAATCTGCCGCGATAAAAAGTAGCCTATGTCACTCTCCAACCCTCCAACTATCCACACAAAAAATCACGCCAATCCGCTAAGCTGTTTCGACGTGAAAGAAAGACAAACAAACAAACCAACACACTTTTAAGGTAAAAAAATAGTAAACATATATTAACGTGAAATACCAAAGTCAATGATGTCAATCAATATGATTCATTAATTCATCGAGTCAGTCACTATGTTACCAAAATGTGATAGAAATATTTTAATAAGAGGTTTTCGCAAATATAAGGATCATGAAAAATATAACTTAACACCTCCAGGTAAATTTCTAAGAAATTAATTAAATTTCTAAGAAATCTATTGTTAACTGTAAAGGGGGGATTAAGAAAGTTTATTTCATAGATTTTTTTTACATCAAGCGCTATCCTTCTGGTGCGAAGACTTAGATATAGTACTAAATTAATTATAAATTCGAAGAACACAATATACGCTGGATATTTCATTATGGCATTAGCGGACTAAGATCCCGCTGCAAGATTGCTACGTTCATAGCGTATTTAATCAAAATCAATTTTTTACATACAATAGTAAAAGAGACAATATATTTTGACCGGGTTGCCTATTAAAATGTGTCCGCTAGTAAATAAATACTTGACTTTTTGGAACGAAATCGATACATTTGTTATTAGAATGAATTATACTCCACTTCACAGAAATATACGTAGAGATCTTGAAAAGTGATAGCTGCCGTTGCGCACTTGGCCGCAACCTCTTCGCAGCCAGGTCATATTTTGTTACATTTATACGTTCATGGCGTATATTTATTGTTTATCATTTATATATCAAATTAAAGCATTTTTTCTGTGCATGATAAAATACCACTACCTATGTAAAAGTGGCCGCAAAGGAAAGAACAGAAGGAAAGAATATAATATTATATATAATTTGTCAGACAATATCAACGGTTATCATGGCAGCAAACAGTTAACTAACGCGCTAACTCTCTTTCACTTTAATGTATCTTTGACATGGTATTTTTTTAAATTAAAATTTAACTTAAATTCTGATTGTTTAAACACAAATTCGAACTTACGCGTATGAAAATATTTATGTCACGTTATAAAATTCTCTTCCGAAAAGCAATGGTCGCCGGGAGTCAGGCAGAATAAAAACTACATACGGGTCGTTGTTATAATTATTTTATTTTATTAAGAAAAATTGTAATTTGATAATATTGCCGTCGAAATTGCGATTACACTAGTTTACATGAGTTTTGTTAAAACATATACGGTTACGTTACTTTGGGTCTTATCTATCAAGGATAAATATAAAAAAAAAAATCGAATTGTGCGCTCTTTTTTTTAAGACACTTTTGAGACTGTATCTTGAGTTTTTATGTATCAAAGATGCTAGCGCTTCCTTTGTCCGGCATTTATATTAGTTAGTACCTGGACCACCGAGCATCGCTCGGAGTTTTCGGTTAAATAGTACAACTTTCTTTAAAACAAAAACTTGAATAAATACCAAACAACACAAATAAATTATACCTTTGTGTCCGACCGGGATTCGAACCCGAACACCTATGATTGTCAATCTGGCGTCTTTTTTTTAAAAATAACTAAAAACTTGAATAAATACTAAAAAAAAACAAAAGTAAAAATTTTGTATGCGACCGATTCGAACCTGGACACCTGTGATTGTTGATCTTGACCACGATGCTTATTCCCGAGCGTGCAAATTACCGACTATATTTTGCGTGAAATAGCAAAAGAAAACTGCATGAAAACTCGAAAACACGCGTTTTCTCAGACAAAAGACTAATCTAGGCCCCGAAACACCTGTATACTAAATTTCATGAAAATCGTTGGAGCCGTTTCCGAGATTCAGATTATATATTGATATATAAATATATATATATATATATATATATATATATATATATATATATATATAAGAATTGCTCGTTTCAATATATTAGATTTATACGTTTTATATTTCGAACAAAAAAACATATGGGTAACATGTAGGATTCGAAGTAAGGTCGTCATTCAATAAACTACTTACCGCATTAAATGTATTTATATCGCACATACATAGGGTGCCTATAAAATATAGACCCTAGATTACCTTTGTTTTTTTAATAGATTAGCTGACAATTAACTGCTACGCCATCTTAATATTTATAATTCTTCTGTACGTGTATTTGCTAACCTACTCCTCCTAAAGGGCTAGATCGATTTGGATGAAATTTTGTGTATATATTTCAATGGGCTCCTGAATGGTTTGAAAACGCAATTGAACCCGGTAGATGGCACTGCAGTCGTTGTGCCACTGATCATCTCCTAAACGGCAGGGACAATTTTAATGATATTTTTTGTGTATGTTCGAGTGGGTTTGGGCCTGATAGGTCTGAATTCACAAATGGGTCCGGTACACTGGGGGCATTCATTTATGTGATGACCATGAATGTTTGCACAGTCATGAGTGTTTATATTTATAATATGTATGTGTTTAAATTTATATATAGTGTACTAAATAATTTGGTCTCCACAACACAAGCCTCGTAGCTTGCCATGGAACTAGATGGTGCTTTCTGTTAATGTCCGAACATATTCATTTATTTATTAATTATTTATCTTAAAAGCTAAATGCACAATAAATTACAATTATTTTAATTATGTACTTAATTGTGCTACTGTTTGATGATAGAAATAAATGAATGAAGAAAATATCATTACAACACAAACATGAAAAAACTATTATAATATATTCTATTAAACTTCATATAGAAATATACTTATACTTACATTTTCATCAAAGATCAGCTTATGGTATAATACAGAGAAATCATCAAAGCCAATTTCTCCTCTCTTTCCATTGTCTACTTCTTGGAAAATATCTCTCAATTTACTTGTTGAAATTTTGCAATTTATTTTAGGTAAAAACCCTTTTACTTCCTTTATAGTAATCCTAAAAAATATTGTTATTATTACCATACTGCTGCATAAAATATCCATACAATAAATCAAAATTAGAATAATATTATCAAAGTAAAATAAACTTGAAAATAATATAAACATAAGCTGCCTCTATCAACTTACTTTTCATTTGAATTCTCAATGGAATAAAACTCCTTTCTCAACCATCGCTCAATTTGCAATGGATATGATGCATTCACCGCTTCTTCTATCAAAAAATGCAATCCCTGTCTCCAAGCCTCACACTCTTTGTCTGTTTGAGCTGTTATCAATAAAATAAACTATAAGCTATGTTGTGATCATGTATGCTAATAATAAGTTAAATTTACAGAGTTTGCAATATGAATACTTAAGCAATTTTCTCTTAATAGAGTTTTGAGCCAATTTAAAAAGAAATCTATAGTATAAACCTATTAGTACGGGACTCACCAGCAAATGAAGCTGATCTAAGCTTAAACTCTCCTCCATAATATATTGTAAAGCACTTGGAACTCTCTAAGCGTTTGGCCTCCTCCGGCCATTTCTCAAAATCCCTCGAAAATTTACCAGGCCGCACTTCCTTAATGTCCCTTATGTCTAAACAAGCTTCGTATGCATGCCGCTGTGGTGTTGTTGTTCTGAACCAAATTACTTGATGCGTTTCACGACGGACCGATAGAGTACGACGTTCAGGTCTTTTGCGAGGATAAAATTTCAGAACTGTGGAACCACGCTCTATGTAAGAAATTAATTGATCTGCTTCGTGGATCAGCCGATCGTTCCCACCATTAAAGCAAACCGAATTCATGACGACTGGTTTATTTATTTCATATACTTGGAAAATTACAAATGTTTAAATGGAATTATTCTACACTGTATACTCTGCCGGTGATAATTAGTAACTCAATGTAAGGAGACCATATCAGCTCCAGTGCCACTACAGTACTGAGCCGTGGTGTGTCCGACACTGAACTGAAGTAGTGAAGACTGAAGACTGGAGTCGGGATGTATTTGTTTGTTTGACATTTACAAACTTAATCGGATTATTGATCGTGCTTGTTCAGCAACACCCACGTAAAAATTGTATCACACATTTTCACAACGAAACCTTAATATTTTCATGAATAATTTAAACATAGCGACTTGCAATTCAAATATATATTTCATGGTTTATTTTAATTCGTGTCATTGTGATTATAGAACAAGCGTTGCCATTTATTTCCATTGCAATTTGCATTTTTGTTTATCAAATATCAAGTCACCAAGTGTTGCCATGAAAAATATTATTCGTTTTATATTGATTTCAAAGAATGAGATTTGTTTGATAAAAGACACACACTTTCCCGAAAAAATTACATACTTTAACTCTTTTGTTTTTTTAGTTTAGGGTTTCAACTTTCGTTATTTAAAATACTATAATTATTTTAATAATTAAGCACACAAAAATATAGTCTGTGCCACAGATAAGGACGTGCAACGTAATAACTCTATATAGCTTATATTTGATATTCACGGAGTGTGATAGAAAAATAGAGAGTACACACAATTTTCTAAGACATACACTCCTCAACACTTATGAACGCCTGGTGTTGTTGTCACGAGTAGTAGGGGACTACGAACCTCAAGGAGTGCTCATTATATATGAACGGCCCCGTCAAAGAGTGCATACGACCTTCTAAATCTCCACTTATGCTCGCCTGGTACTTGTGATGACGTCACATGGGATGCTCTTAGTAAATAGTAAAGCATAATTATATTTTCGTTACGTGACGATTTATACCTGTCAACTCCTTTTTTCAGGTTTTCTTATTCGCTAATATTATGTATTTTATACAAAACAATAATTGTAATTAAGTAAATTTGATTAAAAGATGTAAAGTTATCATTATGATATAGTATAATTTTTAACTATTCATAATATTATATCTTTTAAATTAATTATTAATTTTAAATTCAAAGTAATTTTATTTATCAATATATCATGATAATCCGATTTATTCGACAACTTTGATAAGTGAAATAACATCACTAGTTCCATCATTATCACAGATAATATAATCAAAAAGTGTCACAGATAATACTGTATTTACAAAGTTTATTTGTTTGGGCCGAAGCTTCGATCAACAATACTGCTGTTGATCGAAGGGCCGAACTATACATATTTTTTAATACATGTATTTTTAGAAATATCTTAAAATTTCATTCCATTTTTTCATATCTTTTTGGTAAAGTAAAAAATACATGTTAATATAATGTTTTCTCTTGAGATTTTGGAGAACTAAGAAATACAATTGATTCGTTTTCATCAAAAGTAAGGCAATGTTTTTATTAAATGCAGTCCAAGCGCTATACTTTATTCCAAATACTTCAAACTCTGACATGTTATCGCGTACGTACGTACAACGGACGAGTTAAACGTTTCCTTTTTGCTTTATTATCTATATTTTTTTTTTCTTATTATTAAAATTACTTAACAATATTATATGAAAATATGATTTGTAAAGACTTTGTTAAGTTTGAAAGCTTAATAGTTGGATATTACTCGCAAAAATCTTATTAGGTTTAACATTATATCAATGCGTAGGTTCCATTGCACATTATTGATTTCCCCCGTGCAAAGCATTCAACAAAGGTACTTCATTTCAACAAAACAATAAAATACAACCTTGAATATTCGCACCTGCGCTTTAAATATACTATGTCTGTGTACAATAAAACAAATGTATTGATTTAGAAATTTATTTTTCCACTACGAATTTATTAAATGTACGACACTTATATTTTACATATCGCACACTTAGTTAAAGAGCAAAAAACCCAAATTCGAGTTATTACTATTAGAGGAATATGCGTTTAACACTACATAAACTATAAACTACATATGATTTTGCCATGATTACTAATTTAACACGAAAAAATAAAAGTATATTTTGAATTGTTGGTGTTTAATATACGGTTGGTAAGTTGGTGTTCCAAATAATTATCTTCAAGTTTTTGATTTTGAGTTAGTTACTAGTGATACTGGTGTTCGATGACAAGCCATTGATCAAATAAATATCTTCGTAGAATTATAGACAAGAACACAAGATTATTTCTAATATATCAAATAGAAAAAGAGTAAAACGTTTCTTTCTATTCCTGAAAAGACATATTTTGAGTTGTGCTACTTTTTATCTAGGTGTGCGATATGTGCAACAGCGAAACTTTAAGTACACAGATTTACCACTAGCCTACCGACTACACAACACAATTTATATACCTAAATAATTAAAACAGTAATAACATAACTTAAAGTTTGCACTTCTTTAGATCAATAAGTAAATTGTATAATCACAGAAATTGAAAAAAATCAATCACTACAATTTAAAAAAATTATTAGTCTTACAACTATTAAATACATTTAATTTTGACGGATAACAAGTAGTTAAAAATACAGATTAAGATACGATTAATTATAAATATATTTCTATTTTTATATTATGTATAAATACGACAAAAACCTATCACGAATATTTGGAAATATTCGCCAGTGTGTGACATCTACAATACAGAGAATGTAAAAATTCTGAATTAGTAATTTAACACAATTTTTTTTCTTTTATCTATAATATACATAAGATTGATCTTACCTTTACTAAATTATACAAAACAGGAATATATTACCTAACGCCATTATAAGGCTAACAGCTACATTATAACAAATATTTCGTACTCCGAGATCGTTTCTAGTAATATTATAAGTAGTTATGAAATAATTATGTCTTATATAAATATTAAGTACATCTATGATTTACTTAATAGAATATATATTTTCGAAGAAGTACACGATTATTGATATTACAAATTATCCATATGTTGCCATAAGGATTACACACTGACATGTAAACTAAGATTCCTAAACGATGGTAGTGTTGTATGTGGTAAAAAAAATTGAACATTAATTTATCATTAAATATTAATGCGAACAGACATTATTAATACATTTGTTGAAATATATTTAAATTTATTTAGTCTGAACTGAATAGTGAACTTTTATAATTTAATCGACACAAGTAGGCATTTAGCTAAACAATAATCCATTAAAAGTTTAGAATCATGATAAAAATATCTTATACTCTTTTTCTTATTGATTATTCTATTTATATTCACGTGAAGCGCGCGCTAACAGTCAGACAAAAAAAATATTTAAATACATTTACTTAGACTTCTACTCTATGGTACTTCACCATAGTTTTTAGTGAATAGGTACTATAGATAACACATGCAGACAGATAAAATCATAAAGAAAACTGTCACAGTCATGAGTGTCAAAAGTTTCGATAACCTAAAGTTATGACAAAATACATCACATAGACAAATTTACAAATACAATTTCCTCAATATGTCTTAATCTTATAAGGTAATTATTAACTATGACAAATATGTAATTTATTTTGTTGCTTAATTTTGTACGGCGTCCTTCTGCGCGCGCACGTCGCTTCTGCGAATCCTAACGATGGCAAAGGTTACTAACTATACTTGTAATAAGGACTTCACTGAAGTTCCGAAAGATCTCCTTTATACCTAGAACTCAGAAATAATTAATTAAGCGTAGGCAATTGAGGGCAGCTTGAAATGAAATGAACAACATATTCAATACTTTATTTATTTAAAAAAAATACACTTATAACAAAATTATTAAAATAATTGCTAAATCCTGGATTTCCAATTTTAAAATTTGATTCTATCATTCTACATAGATCAGAATTTGCAAGTCGACTGTACTAATCGAAGTAGATAGGTGCTGTAACACCTACTATTATTTTTTATAGGGAAAAATATTTATGATTAAAACGATCGCGTCTAATACGGCGCTAGAGAAGTGCCTTTGTGCACTTTTAAACGTAGAGTGCAACACTGAAAAACATCGAATGGTATGATGTGTGTTATATTCACTGTAGTCTATATCTATTGTACAAATTCAGATCTACGGGAGTAGCGACGATACAGTCGACCTCGGGAATACCCCGGAACACTAGAAGTGCGCACGCGCAGACACCTACCGAGATATTCAGGAAGCGGAATGTATGATCCATACACGAAAGTTGTTTGTGTGTTAGTTTGGAATGTGTTGCATTTGTCGTAGGCGGCTATTCACTAGACGTGTCGGAAACTCACTAAGACCAAGTGGTGACACGTTAATTACGAAAATAATAGAATTGTAATCGCGCTAAAAAAAATTTCGCGGCGACGAAACCCCGATATAGTCAGGGGTTCGTATCTAAAAATGAGATCTCTTTAAAACACAGTGTTTTATCGTATTCCTAAGAGCGAGCCACTAAACACATAAAATGGCATCTACGAATGCCTAGCGCATAGAGTACGCACGGTATGTTATTTAATGTATAATATTGATGAGTACATTTATGAGAACATTTATTTGGCTTCACTCAATAATAACAATAGTGAGGCAGTCCCTGAACTAGACACTTCCCACTGAACGTCCCTTCACACTGTAGCGTCGACGGCGCGGGAATACGGCCGCGTCGTCGCCCACTGCACCCCCTGCCTGAGTTATGGCTACTGCTACGCAGAGTCACTCTTTGGTGAAAATGAAGAATGGCGATAGTCTTCATACACCAATTTCTTTTTCTTTTTTTAAATTTTATTATTTAGTGTCTATTTTAAGCAAGCCGTCGCTTAACGTTCACCCCGGACGACGTTTAGGGGGTTCGTTTGAGAGCGAGCCGGATGGGGTGGTGCATGGGCAGGGGGCTAGGCAGGGCCCTCTCAAATAAGAACTTCAAAAGTGCTTCATGCTGTAGCGAACAAAGGTAACAGCATTCAGGCACAAATGAAGATGGTAGGCGACCCTAGGCGCTCGAAAATGACAAGTTCTCCCGATCAGCTCCAGCTGCAATCATTACTTCGGCAAAGGCGCCATCCAGACAATGCTTTAATTCGGCGTACGAAACCACCAACACGCTCTGCTCGTCGCGCGACATCAGCTCTACCTGCTCGTACCAAAAGCTTTTGAATACACAGAAAAGGGGGCAGCCGTGCACACAGTGCCTCCAGCTCGACAACACTCCCTACACGACGCAGCCGCGCCGAGGCAGCCGTTGCTTACGGACACCTCCCCTACTTCAGCAACTTAATAGTTTACTGATCAAATATTAAGTATTGTCGAGGTTATTTCACAAGAGCAGATGGCACGTCTGCCTCGGCACGGCCACGTCGAGTATTGCTGAGCCGGCTGTGTGCGCGGCCGCCCCGGGTGCTCTCCCGACTCACTCTCCACTGTCGCCACCAACCTGATGTTAGTAGAGCGCAATAACATTCAATTTGCGTTTCTGTATAACGTTCTTCGTTATTTTTAAAGTCTATATAAAATCTAAAACATGCCATAAGAAATAAATTTTAGATAAAACTCTGTTAAAACTTAATTTTACAAGCCAATGGTTCTTTAATGTCTGTCGTCTAGCACATGTCCGATAGAAACTGCATTTTTTTTAGAATACGAAGTAATTGTAGTACAAAGTGTGGTAGTATTCTAGTAATACTTTACATTTCTCGTAATAGATACTTGAAATATAACCAGCGTTAAAAATCGTAAGACTTTTAACAAACATGAATTATACTGCACTCTACTAAGTGCAGATATGATTTTAGACGGCTCTTGATTGAGACGTTCTTGAGTTTAGACAAGAAGGTACATCCATACAACTAGACGTATTCTGCTGTGCTGCTTCGAATGATCCATTATATTTAATGATTAACTTGAGAAGAAGTATTACTTTTTGATTTGAGGAGACTAAGACAGCCAGACAGGACACGTCCAGTTCCTGATATTTAGTTTCGCACTCACAAATGTCATAGGACGTAATGACATTCATGAGCGCGTTTTTGAACCCAAAAATGTCCGCTTTTCGCCTCAAAATATAAAACAATTTTTTTATGAATTTATCATTTACAAATGTTTCGTTACGGACCGTACGGTAATAAATATAAACGATGGCTCAATGGGAAAATAGCTCACGTTTTCGTTTATTTACTTTTACAGATTTCAAAATTATATCGAACACCCGTCAGGTTTGTACTGGTGACAACAGGGACGAACAGATGGGATATCCCGGGACCATCATGTCGCCTCAGTACCAGTCTCGCTGACACCTGCACCACCATTCATCATGCACTACGGGCCCTATCCTGCAGATGTCAGGTCTGACACGGCGACGCTGTGACATTGATGAACAAGGAAACCTCCCTATTGTTGCGGAATATCCCAAACAACAAAGTAAACTATCATACCGTCGCTTAGCCAACGCTCAATCGTGAGCATCAAAATAATCTATTACAGGACGTTAATAAATAACGAAGCACATTAAATATATATTAAAGCTATAGCTTTGGTAAGATTTACTTATGTATACTATCCGAAACATATTTAAATTCGCTCGGCGATAGAGACACGACGGTACAACATTATATGTAGGGATTAAGCCCGATCGAACATTCAGACATCGACATATATCATATATATTATATATAAATAGTACGAGTCATATCACAATATAGTCATAAGCACGACATTGACCAATGGGCCTACCCTGCACATTATCCATTTCAAACCCCTATCTCGTTGTGTGTTATGAGTAATTTGTATCAATTAATTTATAGATTTATTTCCAATAAATTAAAATATTACTTTGTTTTATTAAATGTAAGATAAAAAGTGACTAAGCCAAAGTCACATTATGGGTGTTCATAATTGCAATTGCTACTATTGTTATTTTTTATAAAGGTAAAACTTCATGCTATTTCCCAACAAAGGCATCAGTTAAGTTTGTGATGTCCCTGTAACTGGTGTCTCTTATTATAGTATATAACTAGCAACTCACCCTCGCTACGCTCGGGTTCATCCCTAGATAGATTTGAATTTTTTTGAGCGGAACCCTAATTCTTTTACTGAAATAAAAGTAGCCTAAGTTACTCCTTATAACATCAACTACCTGCCAAAGAAAGTCCCGTCAAAATCGGACCAGCCGTTTCGAAGATTAGCCGGAACAAACAGACAGACAGACAAACAGACAGACAGACCAAAAAGTAAAAAATTGTGTTTTTTTTATAAATACCGTATATAATTTCATATGCCTTTAGTAAAAAGATCTTATTTTGACATTACAAACAGACACTTCAATTTTATTTATCTGTAGATATATTGTATTGAGGAGGTCCAATTCCTAGTCTTGTAGTGTAGTGTATATTTTACATTGAACCTTGAGGTGCCAACAACAATTTTGTTAAGAAAATTTTTCAAATAGGTTTAACGGTCATTCCGTTATCCGAGCCAAAGATATATAATAAAAAGTTATAGTGGCCTATAAAAAAACGATTATTATCTTTTTATTACTTTGAAATTAGCACCTCATCGTAAAAGTGTATAAAATATATACATACATACATACATTCATATATACGTACAGGACGGACAGGCTAACTAAATTACACGGCACAGCCGTAGCTACCGCGTCCGGGTGAGCGTCGCCCTTTTCCCAAGTGTTTTTTTTACAAAATAAATAGAAACAGCACAGAATAAAAATCCATACAGTAGGCAATCAGCCATTTGTTTTTCAGTTTTAACGGAATTATTGTCAAATGCCAGGACTTGCGAAAAGTACGAATCTTTTTTTTCATGGAAGAGGAAATCGAGAGGGTCCAGTTTAAATTTATTAAACATTTGAATTTTAGGTGCCTCTCTCTACATCAAAGCTGCCCTGCTGTATCTTCTCTCGCAAGCCGTCGTTTATTTAAAGACCAAATGTTTTTATATAAAATAATTAATAATTTTGTTGACTCCCCTTATCTTATAAGTAATATACAATTCAGATGTCCCAGCTTCAACACTCGTCGAAGAGATTTGTTTTGCATTTGCATGATTTGATGAATTGTACTGTAGAAAATTTCAAAAGGAAAATTAGGAATGTACTTCTCCTAAAAGATTTATAATTTAACTCCATATCTTATATTAATGCATTTTCTGCTAACATAATTCTAGTGTTGTTGTATTGTCAAATCACTACTCTTTTACTGTATGAATTGTTTGTTTGCGGAAACTTTATTGGTCTATGTACTATTTTTATTGTTTTAAGTTGTTTGTGTTGTAACACTGTATGTTTCCCTAATAATAAATAAAAAGAAAAAAAATAAAATGTGCAATTCACACATCGTAGAAGTGAAACTTCAGAAAATGATATGAATATAGAGTATCAGGAGTAGGATAATCATAAGGATTTTTTTATTTATATTATTTTTACCAAGTTTAAAAGTTATTTTACATTTTATTTGACATAAATATAAACATAACATAATAATCAGTAATGAATTTTATTATTTTTCACTTCCTTTGTAATGTATTCTATCAAATAACAACGGTTACCATGACAACGGTTACCATGGCATCATCGCAATGTATTCTATCTCATTCTATCGCCGGCTTAATCCTATATATTTATATGTTTGTCTCTTTTTACTGTCGCATTTCCGTTGCATCGAGTTTCAAATCACAACGATTCTAAAGAAGTTTCGCTTCAATAAAAAAAGAAATAAAAAAATTGTATCATATAAAAGTAAGTACGACATTTAACAACATTCACCTCTCCCACCGCATTCACACCCCACTCAATTGACGACTGTATGGATCAGTGAACTGGGCTCACAGTGACTAAAACCAATCCGTCCATCTTGGGTGGCGAACGTAGCCCCCCGGGCCGTCCCCAACATCTCGGGACTGAGATTCCGCGGGAATAGCTACGTCTATGCGAGTGTATGAAACATATACATATGACTGATTAACCAGAATTGTGATCACCTTTTTTGTTTTGAGATCTGTTATTACGTTCTTCTTTGGCGGTAAGCGGTGGTTGCGGGGAAGTTTTATCACTACCTAAGCATCATTCACAATAAATAAATAAACACATATACATACATTCATTTATTTATTGTCACTTATGGCGTCGCTTATTATAGTAACACGATCGTATAAAATTGATACTTTAAATAATAGCAAAATCGATCCGCCGAATTTATATTATAATTGATTTTAACTGGCTTTAATATTATAAAAGTTCCGTTAATAACAAAGTTACAAATTGAAGATATATCACAACAACCCTTTTCAATAAAAAGTAAGGTAGTTTTAAAATATATATAGGAAAATGAATATATATTAGTTTTTAATGACACTACTCTCGCTAGGAGATATTTTTTTTTAAATATCAAAAGCGCTTAATTTTGTCTTTCGATGTATCAAAAAGGAGGTGATTCACCATCATTACTTAAATATTAAATAATGCTTATGTACAAACGCTTTAGGACCGATCCACACTATGATGCCGATCACAGTTCGCTCTCGGTCCGATATCGGTATAGTAAAGTATTACTATACAAGAAACAATGAGTGCATTCACACTATCGGTAAGACTCAAGTTCCGGTCGAATCACACTCCAGCAACGATTCGTGTATAAAAAAACTTTACCAGACCTATATAGAACCGACAACGGACTGTGATCGGCACTATAGTGTAGATCGGCCATTAATGCCAATTGTGAAGTTAAGCATTAAGTTTTAATGTTTATATACAAGAACCCAAAAAACATCCTATCTTTCTTTACAGGAGAAACAGTACACATTTTCAATTTTGAGGAGGAAAGGAAGAATATACTATAGTTAGGATTGATACCTACCTTGATGGCAGATCCGCAATCGAGATGGTTCAGAGCATTGGCGACGTGGGCCTGGTCGATCCAGGGTCTGCCATCTCCGGTGACCGAGTGGAATATGTAATCCCGGAACAGTTTGAGCATGTACCGGTCCCCCGTCTCCGACCAAGTCGGGTCGTTGTTTAACCTAGAATTGTGTTTACTGCTCTCAACATGTTCACAGTTTAGTGCTCTCGCTTCGGCTTGGACACAATTATTATAAACTAAAAAAAATGAATGCGTGCAGTATCTGGGTCTTACCATCCACAGTGTGAATATATGTCACAGTATCATTAATCAAAAAAATTACTAGGTACGCAATCAGCGACATAAAAATGTCATCACCGAATGAGCGCTCATTTGAACATTTGAGCGCACTTTTAATTTTTTTTATCAGTCTTTATTTAGAGACTTTAAAAAGCACAAGGCGAAAATGTCAGTTCCATCGTTCCCTAAATACATAAAATACAACGGCAATTTATTTTAAACAAAAGTATACTAGCTAACAATTATTAGTACTCACTATTTAAACTTAAAGTTGTATAGCATTTTAGCTGCTATCGAGATAGGTTCAGCCACTAAAAATATATCCACATTCATTGGGTTTATCTCAAATTCACTTAACAATATTTTTTGTGAAAACAACTTTAAGCATTGCATTTAATGTTCAATTTACATTGTTATATGTATTTTATTTCAACTAGAATAATTACCTAAATACAATTGGTCACAGTTTTTAAAAAACTTTTGCATGGGATTGTGTATTTAGTACTTTTGTTGATTGATGCACAGTATAGACATTTTGACAAAAAATAACTCTATATCATTTGTGGCGAACAATAACATTCACTGAAAGCTGTATTTTATAATTTCTTAAGTAACAAGTAAGACAGTGGTAGCCGATTAAGTAATAGTAATACGCTCGCTTTGGAAACTGAGTGAAGCGGGTTCAAATCCCGAGTCTCGCACCTCTGATATTTTCATGTGCGAATAATTTGCAACACGATTAACGAAATCGAAAAACATGTGCAGTCCGCCAACCCGCATTTGGTCAGCCACCCGAGGAGAGGCCCACCCTCAGCAGTTGGGTTATAAGTCTTACTATCAAAATCCAAAGAGCTGCAGAAATAAACAAACGAGGCAATGACACCTAGAATAGATAGAAAGGCACATACTCCGGGCGCTCGTTGACCACACCAAGCTTGACCAGGATGCGCAGGAGACGGCCGTTGTCTATCTCTCGAGTGAGCTGTTCCTCGAAAGCGTCTGCTCGACGCTGCAGAGCTTCCACCTGGTGGAAAATGGTCATTCTTCTTCAGGGATCGATGTGGGATAATTATGTTTTCAACATATATTCCACTTATACTTACATTTTCAGATTTCTTTTTAAATGTCACGTTTAATATTATTTTTTGCTTTATCCAATTGCTTGAAAATATAACAGGAGAACGTAAATTAAAAAAATATTAAAGCTACGAAAGGGACCGTAGATATATGTATGTACGAGTATATATACCTTGTATAGTATTACCTGGTCGGTGTCACACAAAACTGAAATTAAACGTGTAGGATAAAAATTATTAAAATCTATTCAATACACAACATATCGTATGACTTTGTATGTAAACAATATTTTTCCAACTTCCAAAAACGAAGATGACATTAATTTTAATTTACAAAGACATTTTTTTTATTATAACATCAAGAATATTATATTGAGAAACAGTAATCGCGAAAGCGTCTTCTGCTGGGTTTCATAATAATAATAGAGTAAAATAAAGTACCTACCTATATATTATACAATTTATGTATACATATGATGTCCATATAAATAAAACTATTTTTTGGATTATTTCGCAGATTTATTTAGATTTTTGGGTCCCGACGTTTCGAATACTTTACAGCATCCATGGTCACGGGAAAGACTAGAGTGTTGGACGTCTCAAAGGCGGTATATAATTGTTAGAGACAGTGCCTACCATATTTGAATTTTTGAAATCATCTTGTAAAATTGTGGGTAAGCACTGTCTGTAACAAGTATATAAAGAGCTTTAAATAAAACGAAGATAGTTTTATTTAAAACTAGCGACTCTCTTCCGACTCTGCTTCCTAATACGAACTTTCATCCCTATTTTCACTCTTTTAAGGGGTGATTTCCGAGATAAAAAGTATACTATGTCTTTCCCAGGGTCTCAAACTAACTTCTTATCAAATTTCATCTAAATCGGTTCAGTAGATACAGAGATTACCCCCTACAACGTCACAAACTCACATACTCACAAACTTTACCTCTTTATAATGTTAGTATAGACTAGCGGTTCGTCGCTAGGTACGTTTTAAATAGATATAAATAGTTATTAGTCAGCGTTAGCCATATACATTTTAATTTTTTTTTCGTTAATTTTTCTGTTTTAATACTTATTATCCTAAGAGTAGTCCAAAAAATGAAATATCATAAAAATCGGTCCAGCCTTTCTTGAGTTATAAATAGTGTAAATAACATGACTTTGTTTTATATGTATTTACCTTATTTTATTTTCTCCTTATTAAAACTTTCCGTGTACCTTAAGAAACATACGAAAAAAAAATTGCTAAATTGGTCGAGCCGTTCTTGAGTTTTGCGCTTAGCAACATTCATTTTTATTTATATAGAAGAAGAAGATAGAAAATGTCAAATATTCGCGTCAATCTTAAATATAATATTGTAAATAATACCTGTGTGTAGAAACGTGCCCCGATCATTGGCATGAGATCGGTCACAGAGCGTCTGGTGGCCGTCGTCGACAGCAAATACCTGACCGAAAACGTAAAAATATAGAAAAAAAAACAATAATACCAAATTAAAATCTAAACAAAGTACAATAATATAGATTCAGACATTTTATTAATTTGAACAAGAAGAATTAATTGACGAGAAAAAAATATAATAAAACAGATTTAGGGTTGCTTCTGTCTTATTTTTCAGGTTGTAGACACACGAGGGTAGTAGTTTACTAGGATGGGTGGGTAGGGACTGACACTCATACAACGGCCGTTTGAAAAAAGTTCCGTAAACAAAAGGATAAAATCGATGTCATCTTTGAACCCAATCTAAATGGAATTCTAGAACATAAAACCAAAACCATCAATCATTACAATTAAGGATTGTGCTCACAATATCACATTCTTGAGGTCTGGGGAATAAGTGCGCGTTATGAGGTCCATGCAGGCGGGGAGGTTCTCGCAGTGCACGGAGCGGCAAGCGAGTGCCAGCGCCAGGCGGCCCAGAGCCGTTAGGTCCTCCTGCTGGGCCTGCGGAAACAGAGGGATTTCACTCTTGGCTCAGCCCAAAACTCTAAAACAGTCGCCCAGCCAGGCAGCCAGGCAGCCAGGCAGCCAGGCTAGCCTAACTTATAACTAACCGATTATGTTTACCATTTACAGCATATATTCTTGTGATAAGGCCTTGTGTTAAAGATTAGCACTTAATATTCTATTCTCGGCCTTCCCATATATGTTTTGCTTTGTGATATACTCTATATCAATATTTTTTTTTGATTTAATCTTATTTAATATTATAAATGTGAAATTTTAGATGTTTGTGTATTACTCGATCACGCCAGAACGACTGAACGGATCTGGATGAAATTTGGCACGGAGATAGATTATAGATTATTTTTTTATCCCGGATAAATTTATTTTCAATTTATTTATTTTATATTTATAATCGCTTAATATATTATTAATTTACAAACTTAATAAATTGTAAATAACAATTTACTATAGCATTTTAAAGTACCCATGAAACCGGTGTAAGAATAAAATATTCTAGTTTTACGTGGCACATAAAAGACACCATAACAAAAGTAGCACAACCAGACTAACATCCGGTTTCTGAGATACTTTTATCGGCAGTTTATCTAATCGTTAGCACTATTGATTGGATAACATACGAAAGTGCGTTTCTGAATAAAGTAAACTCTGTTTAAGCTTAGGTTAACTTAACTGATCAATCTATGCCGTTTAGGGCCGAACCACACTATAGTGCCGATCACAGTCCGGTCTCGGTTCGATATAGGTCTGGTAAAGTAGCTTTATACGAGAAACGTTGCTGGAGTATTACTCGAATGGAATATGAATTTTACTGATAATGTGAATGCACTGATTGTTTGCTGTATAAAAATACTTTACCAAATAGTATCGGACCGAGAACGAATTGTGATCGGCACAATAGTGTGTATCAGGGCTTATTGGTTCCATAACTTTATTTGACATTTATTTTCTTAACGTAAGTCGACTATTAGGTATAGAGAGCATTATTGTGAACGTGTAATTTTTTTTAAATGAATTGCTGTTGATAATAAAATTAAAGAAAATTAGTAGCAACTCGTCAGTCTGATTCGGAATCACTTTCAGTAAAAGTTTACTACATTTTCCAGATTCCATTATTCACTTTAAATTCAATTCAAACAAACTTTAAAATCAAACAGCAACGCAAAAATAATACCACGCAAGAAAACAAAAACTATAAAATTAACATTTCTTTTATAACGATTTGACAAGATGGATAAGGATTTCGTCCATACAGCCGCAGCTGTGGTGATAATAATTAATATATAACAAATTATTGTATTTTATAACAAAAGGAGTGCCTCCCATTTATGTCTCTTCTGAACATAATATACTAAAACAAGTTTTGATGATGAAATGAAATAATATTAATTGAATTAAAACATTGAAAAACCCCCGACTATCTTTCGACCGATTTTGATCAAACATAGGTAAGGACAATCTCGACTAATTCACCTTTCAAACAAAAAAAATCAACAAAATCAAAATCGGTTTATCCGTTCGGGAGCTATGATGCCACACACAAACACACACAAACACGTCAAACTTATAACAAACAGCCCGACATTTTTGCGTCGGAGGTTAAAAAATCTATTTTAAACTATCCCTTATATAAATGGACTATCCATTTAGCGGCGGAATATCTATTTTACACTGTACTGGCTATCGGTTTTATAGTTATTGAACGGCCCGATGAGCATTCAGAAACACAGTGACCCGATATTAGAGAACTAGAGGGTGCCGGACACACGATACACGGGGTCAAATATTGTCCGTATTTTCCGTATAAAACTGATGCAGGGCAACATTTTTGTATGTTTTCGACTTAAGCTCAAGTGATTGTGAGGCATTTTTTATTATTTATAATTATTATAAATGCGAAGTTTCTGTGTACATATATTGGTCACTTCGTTGATATTGGTTTGAATGAAATTAAGATATAGGTATAATAATAATTTTGTGTCAATAATTTTAATTTGTAAATATATATAATTTAATGATTTTTAACGATTCCAAATAATTTAATAACTTTGATATGTTGTTTTTTTTAAGTAATGATATTTAACAGTTAATAATGTGTATAATACGTTCATTTATAGTATTTTAATTTATTGCTGTTGATTACTTGTTAAAAATCACTTTAAAAGATATAATGCATTTAGGATTAAGTTACATTGAGTTCTTATTTTAAAAATATTATTTCTATGTATGTGATTATTACTGGTGGAACTGAATAAATGAAATATAAAAAGAAACGGGTCCGTGTAACCTTTACGCGCCGTTGAAGTGAAACTTCTTTGTCAAATATCGCGATTACATTTATGCAAATCAATAATTAAATAAGTCATATTAGGAATATTACAATAATATATTTATAAAATATCATATACGGAAAGAATATAACACTATATATTTGTCAGAAAATAACGGTTACCATGGCAACGTGGCAATTTATTCTATCTCATTCACTCTCGAGCTTAATCCTATGTATTTGTGTTTGTCTCTTTTCAGTGTAGCATTTCCGTTTCATAGATTTTGAAATCACAACGTTTATAATGAAGATTCGCTTCAAGAATAAATAAAACAACGATACAAATAGAAGTACATACCTGTGCGATGTCCACGCTGTTGTGTTGCACGGCGTCGGCGATGCCACACCACGCGATGCGAACGCGGCAGCCACTCATTATCACCTTAGTTGGTTCCAGGGTCCTATATAATAAACATTTACATTATACTACTGTTAGGGGCCATTTAAGTATTACGTAAGCGGAATTTTAGTTATTATAATATATATATATATATGTATAGTAATATCGATTATTTACCCCTCCCTCCCCCTTGCTAGTAAAAGTAAGTAAGCAAATCTCTTACCCTATATGCTAACGTAAACAAGTTGTCACGTGTGTTTCAAAAACGTTGATTTGATAAATAAAAATTTACTAAAATCTTATTATTATAAATAAATATTGCTGACGTAACCACCATACAGGCCTTCCGGTCCCCCATATCATAAAAAATAAGCAAAACAAACACCATCTCCCTCCCCTTTTGGTGCTTACATAATATTTAAATAGCCTCCTAACTGCGTCGTCGGTTTAGGGTCTAGCGTGTAAGGTTCAAATCATTAGGTTCTGGGTTAGAGTTGGTTCTTTTGTGCCAAGTCCTTACTAAAGATTTTGTATTACCTACTAAAGTTTTTACCAAAAAAAAAAAATAGCGCGTGAATCAAACCCACAACACGTAGAATAATCCTAATCCGAGATAAAGTAAAATTTAGTTTTAGAGACATAGATGTAAAAACACCGCCAACATCCTAAGCCCGATCTGCCTGAAACGTAATTCGATCCAGAAATATTCTCTTAATAAAACAATTCGTTCGAGCTAGTCGCTCGACAAAAAACAATGGTCGAGTTTTGAAATCAATAATATTTAACAACAGAATTATAATATAGATCAAAACTAATAATAATACTCGTAAAACGGTGACATTTTTTATGTAATCTATCAAAAAAATGTGTGAGAAAGTAACACCTCCAGATGAATTTCTAAGAAATTACTTAAAATTCTAAGAAATCTATTGTTAACTGACACGCCGGCGTGTCCGTGGTCGTGGAGGGGTTATTTGTTTAAGAATTTTAACGCGCAACGATGGCGGTCTTATTCGAGTGTTTCGTCATTTACCTAGTCGAGGCCGTAGCACTACACAATATTTTACCTGATTGCTCAATTTCTTTCTAACTTAAGTTTCTTTTAAGTAAAATCCAATGAAAGTTTATTCAAACAAAATTATTGCGTACACTTTTGAAGTTCTTCTGTTCCTAGTTATTTTACATACAAGTGCTTGTTTTTTTTATTTATCGGTAGTATTATTTCTAACTTTAGTTTCAGTTGTGTGACTTGAAGAAATTATTCTTACTATTTCACAACTTTTTCATTTGTTGAGATTTTTTAATAATTCTTTTACTTTTGTTACATTTTGCTTAAATTCTTATAATAGACTAGTATTGCCCGCGGCTCCGCCCGCGTTCAGATGATTAAAAAACCAAAGTCTTAGGTTTTACATATTAGTATACTCTTACATTGCAGTTTTTGTATTATTTCTGAGAAGTGAGATATTTTCCCGCGGTCAAAAGTATCCTATATGTTGACCCAGATAACCAGCTAACACCATACCAAATTTCATCAAAATCCCTCTAGTGATTTTTCTTTGATGCGGTAACAGACAGACAGAAAGATAGACAGACAAACAGACAAAAATTCTAAAGACTATATGTATAAGAAAATATTGGAAATTTCTCCATTCCCAATATGCACAGTATGAACTGACCTGCAGGCCAGGCCGTGCGTGTGTATCGCCCTCAGGCCGGCCGTGAGCTGTACGATCATCGACCACAGGACCGCCTCCGGAAGCAACGCCCCGCACGCAAACGCCCGCAGCATCGCGTTTTTCTGTTAGACGACCCACAAATCAACACCAATCAGACACCATACCGTGACATTTTAAATAAAACTATCTTTTCGGATTGTTTCGCGGATTTCTTAAGATTTTTGTTTTCTATCCTATATAGATTTTTGTTTCCTATTTCTTATAAGTATTATTATTAAATACAGCAATGTCATTTATTTAATTTTGCCTGTTATTATTATAAATATTACATTTTTCTTAATCTTTATTAATCAATAATATTATTCAGTTTTCGTAACAACGGGAACCAAAAACCTAAATAAATCCTCGAAATAATCCGAAGAGATACTTTTATTTAAAATGTCAAATGTTCGCGTAAAACTTAAATTAAAGCAAAATAAATCTTATTTAAATACATATAAAAAAATTACAAGGATATATAACATATTACATATACAGTTATATATTCAATTTGCTCAAAAAAAACATGAATTTTGATTATGCTAATAGTTATTAAGAATAGATTTCTTAAAATCAATGAACGCTTAAATGACAGGATTTTAAATACCATCAAATACATTCAAGCAAAGGCCCTGAGGCTAATTATTGGAAAATTATTTATCAAAGAATTCATTACAAAACACAAAATAAAAAACAAGGAAACCTGAAAGACACGACAACACAACAAAAATTTAATGTTTCAATAAAATAAATAAATTTTCTTATTTATTTATTGAATGTGAACTTATAACATACCTGATGTGTATATGGGCGTGGGACACCGGGGTCCGGGAAAGGGTCGTGGAAGGCGCCGTTCGCGTCGGGTCCACTGCCGGGTGCCGCCCCGTGCAGATACTTGCTCATCAGTGTAGTAGACACTGGGTGGTAGTCGTACGCCATCACCAGGGCTAAGGAAACGAGGGTATATCACCGTTTTTGCCATGGATGTAACACCATGCAACTAACGTACAAACACTTTCCTAATAGATTTGCCAGAAAAATAGATAATTATTTCCGTTCTTGATGGGTAACACTCTCGCTTTCCTACAATCTGTGGAAGTAATTTCGTGATAAAGGACGGAAGTGTGTAACAGGAAGTCGAGAAAGTCTGCATGGACCCCCATGCGGGAGTCAAAAATGTCCAAAATTGTCCTTACGTAATTAATGAATATCACGTTAGTATACAAAAATCCTAACAACATTCAAAATTCTCATCGAACTTACTTTCGTTAGTTTAATTAGATAAAAATGGGATATCCAATAGTAAATTTTAGTTAAACGGTCTAATATATAATTAACATAATAAGATCAAATTTTACACATCACATGTGAGTACTGCAAGGCTCGCTCGTTTTTTTTTGTTATGGTAGCGATAAATATTTTAGTAATTCAAATTACCCGTGAGTAAACGACCTCGACTCTCATTGTTGAACATATTTAAATCTCATTTACTTGAAGAGTAAAAAAAAAACATTTTCAGTCAATTGAATTGAATTTTATTTTTTACCAAAAACCTTGAAAACATTTCTGTTTATTTTCTTAAAACTGGCGACATTGAAATTCCATCGGCGCAGCATCTTCCATTTCCGCTTTCAATAAAATGTTATATTTGCTTCAGATGCAACAAGCAAGTAGTTTATATTGGCGGGACATTTTATTACAGTTTATTCACTTTTTTTGTAGATAGGCGGAATAAGAACGGATATTGGATATCTAGTACGTAACTACTCGCAACGAAGAGACTCTTATATAAACCCTTTATGTTGTAGAGCAAAGGAACTAAATTATGTAAACAACTAACAACTAAATTATGTAACTTATTATCTATTAACTAAATTATGACTCATTAAATTCAACGTTCTGTGGCTGCGAGTAATCTACATCTAAGTTACCAGTAAATCTGCAAACAAGACATAGAGAGAGAGAGAGAGAGAGATTGATAAGGAAAGAGATAGAATGAAACTCACAGTGATCGCCAAACTCCTTGGTACTGAACACCCTGTGGAGGCGCACCACATTCGGGTGGTCCACATTCCGCCAGACATCCATCCGCTTGTTGGCAGCAGGCGGGGCTCCGCAGCCGTGCAGACGTCGCAGCGCGAAGTACTCGCCCGTCGTGCGGTGTGTCACACGGAACGAGCTGGCCAGGGCGTGCGGCCCAGATTGCTCCAGAGGCATTAGCTCGCCGTATATCTCCACCGTATCGGGGATTTCTGGCAGGAATTATACTTGGTCAAACGCGAATTTAGTTCCAAGGCTAAGAACCAGGGCTCGGAACCGATTTAAAAAAGTACGGTTTATTTCGGTAACGTTCTTTAATCGGTTAATGAAAACGAACGGTTTAGTGAAACATAATACAAAGTTTATCTTAGAGATAGGTTGAATTTCGGTTCTGATACCGAAATAAAACGGACAATTCATTCATAAGTAATAAACATACATATATCCTTCTATTACGCAAATAGCATTAGCAAAGACTCGCCGAGTGTAAATACACAAAAACTCATTTTAAACGGTTAATTTTGATTGTGGAACAAAAATTCGTAAAAACCGTTATCCGGTATTTAACCGGTTAAAGAACGTAACCGAAATCTTAAACTGAAGAGCATTTCGGTTTGGGGTCAATGACCAAAACCGGTTAAAAAATTGAATGGGTTTTCGAGCTCTGGCTAAAACTAGTGGTCAGATGCGAGTTTAGTTCCGAAGGCTAGAGCTAGATAGTCAATAGAGAACGATAACAGCCGTCTTGTTTAGATTGCATCCTTAGTTAGGTACGCATGAAATTATTGATTTATTATTCGTCCTTGGCGAGCTGAGGAGACTAAAAATTAAAGGGAAATTCTACAAGAGACTTTTTAGTTCTATAGCTCATAGATAATATTAAATTTCCGTTTATTTTTTAAAAGTAAATACTAATATATTTCACCCAATATACGTATCTAAAAAAGAGCAACGATGGCATATTAATCCATCTATGAATATTTTAAAGATATGTAAAGAGGTAAAACATAACAAATTGTATCTTCAATTTGCATAGCTGTCACCGTATTTTTTTAAATAGCTAACTGCTGTGTTCTTTACTCAGCGAAAAGCTGATATTTAATTAGAAATGAGGTCCCCCGTGGGACACAGTGTTGTCACTCTTTGCATAAATTATTAAATAAATTAATAATAAAATAAATATTTCTAAAAACATGTTTTTATATCATAATATAAAGATGGTGTAATGTAATAAATTGATGGGCCTGATTTAATTAAAAGTTTATTTTCTTCTTTTTAGAGCATATAAATAACAGCATATTTTTGTTTCTTTTTTTACTATTAATCTCTTTTTTAGTTATTTATTCGTATTCTTCTTGGCAAACCCTTTCATTTTATATCCATTTAATGGGGGTGCATAAAAAACACAGCTCGTCATCTTTGTGAATCCACCATATTGGATTTACAATGACGTCACTTGCAGTATTGCATTCAAAATAAACGTGTATGCAAAATTTCAGCTTGCAACCCGAACAAACGTACGAACATTGCAAGTTAAATAAAAGCTTGTAAAAAAATTGTTTTAAATGTGCCATAAAATGCATGAATTAATTATTATAAAACACGCTAAATACTTTGTTAGTCTCAAATATTGGCTTTCATAATAAATCATTCAAATGGAATGAACGAAAAGCTTATCGATTTTCTAGGGCAGGCTATTATCAGTATTGAATCGTGATTTTTTCCACTGAAACTGTGACGTCGTATTCCAATTATTTCTTTTTTTCTTTTTTAATTATTTTATATTATTTAATTATCTTCTGATATATCTATCCTAAGTGCTTTTTAAAATAATTTTAAGCGATAAAATTTCTAGTACATGAAAACCTTAATTTAATTTGTCGATGACCTATAAAATATATACTAATACTTTATATTTAAACATTGAACCATTATCTTTACATGGGTTTTTTTATTGTGCTTTACACAAATTATTTTAAAAGAGATAAGCGTATTCTGCCCTTTTTAACGTCCCACTGCTGTGGGTGGGCCTTCCTTTAATACGAGGGGGGTCAGGCCATAGTCCACCACACTGGCCGAGTGCAGAAGGACTAAGCATGTTTTTCGAAAACTTGCTAGGTTATCTCAGATATGCAGGTTTCTTCACACTGTTTTCATTCACCGTAAGGCATGTATGTGGTAATCATGCTATAAATGATTCGCACATGAAAATATTAGAGGTGAGAGACCCGGGAATTGAACCCGCTTCAATCGATTTCCCAACTGGGCTACCACAGCCTTTTTGAAAGAGATATCAAAAGATAAAATTAATTTATATTTTAAATAGTAATAAAAATGACAAAGAAAATAATCGTTGGGTTAAACAAAAAATTTATCCATAGGTATACCTTACAACGCAATCGTCATACTATGTTAAAAAGCGACCAGATCGACTAAAATACGACGCACAAAAAAGCTACTTGCCTTTTAAAAGCCTAAGATTTTCTAATATTATTTTTATGTATTGGATTATGTGCGTATTAAGTTTGTATAAAACTTCCGGTACACTCTACAGCAAGTTGCGCGCATCCGTTTCCTGTTTCCTCAGCTCGCGGCTACTATCTACACTTAATAATCGTTTGATGTGACAACACGATTGGCTCAGTTTGTAGTAACCCCCTTGCTGTGCCAGCGGTCGCGGGTTCAATTATGTGACGAGCACGAATGCTTGTATTCCAGTCATAGGTTTATATTTATAATATGTATGTATTTAAAATTATATATGTGTAGTGTATCAATTATCTGGTATCTACTATTCATAACACAGGCTTCGTAGTTTATCACGGAATTAGATGGTGTTGTGTGTTAATGTCCCGACATATCTATTTATTCCATTTTTTATGCGGAATCCTAATTCTTTTATTAAAATAAAAGTAGCCTAAGTTACTCCTTATAACATCAACTTCCTGCCAGTGAGAGTCCCGTCAAAATCGGCCCAGCCGTTTCATAGATTAGCCGGAACAAACAGAAAGACAGACAAAAATTTTAAAAATTGTATTTTCTCATAAATACCATATATAATTACTTATGCATTTAGTAGAAAGCTATTATTTTGACATTACAAACAGACACTCCAATATGATTTATCTGTATAGATGTATAGATTTATTTTATCTACTCAAGTTGAAATTAGATATAAATGTTTTAGATATACATCAACTAGTGAGGAACTATACAACGCTTTTAAACATTTAAGATATAAATAAAAAATATATGAGATTGTTCAAGACTCAAAAACCTGATCAAAAAAAGCGAGCCAAAGCCTAAACGAAAATAAAGCTAGCGATTTAAACGTACAATATCATCTTCACAGTTAAAAATGTTAACGAATTCCAGCCTAGAATTCAATCCAAAAGCCAATTATTCCTTTGGAAAAAATCAATAAAGTATCTCCGAAAGGCTTTTATGCTGTGTATTTTTAAAATACGTCCCAACCGATAGCAGAAGTTTCAACTGATCGATGGCCTGGAAATATTTGATGAAAGTTTTCTCAACATGTGGAAAAACGTAGCTATTGGAAACTATCCAGATAATTATATTTGCTAAGCCTGGTCTACATATAGTATATAGACGTATATCCTACATATAGTATATAGTGTATAGACGTATATCGTACATAGGTAATAACCAATTACGTCTAAATTACTCAAAAATCTCTAAAGTGAAAGAGATTATAATAGGGAAAATGCATGATTTTTATTTTTTATACAATAGACTAGCATTACCCGCGGCTCCGCCCGCGTTCAGATGACCAAAAAGCAAATTCTTAGATATTACATATTAGTATACTCTTACAATGCAGCTTTTGTATTTTTTCTCAGAAATGACATATTTTCCCGCGATAAAAAGTATCCTATATGTTGACCCGAATAACCAGCTATCACTATACCAAATTTCGTCAAAATCCCTCCAGTGGTTTTTCTGTGATGCGGTAACAGACAGACAGATAGACAGACAGACAGACAGACAGACAGAAAAAAAATCTATAAAATATAGATTCGGCCTCTGTATCGATAATAATGTTTATTTTAATGAGATTTTCCCAAAAATATTTAATGTACAGATTCGACTTAGAATTTTATTATATGTATAGATTACATCGTTATATAATTGTAAAAAAATATCCAGCTCCAAAAAACTAAAATTTACTTTAAACGCTCATCACTTCGCGCGGTCAGCGTGACGTCGTGTGTACAAACACAGAGAAATAACGACTCCATATTTTGTTAGCATAAAATCGCTAATCCCTATGTTATGATATAGGTACTCTGACGTCGAAATCAAAATAGACTTTTACAAGCTCTTTTGAATCGTCAATTTTACATATTAAATTAAAATTAAATTCCAGTGTAGTAGTCAGTTAAATCACACGCGTATTTCCTATTGCCCCTGAACAAGAAAAGGTCCAATGTTTTATGTTAGATTATTATCAATCATCAACTTAGATTTAGAGAAGCTTTAGCCAACGTCTAGCTTATAGAATAACTAATATAATTTAGAATAAATCGCTTAAAACTAATTACAGACGATCCCGCGTCGACTGGTCAAAGTCCCTAGCGATACGTTCAGTAGTTTTACGTGATGACGTGACAAAGGAAATAAATTAATATTGAAAAAAAAATATTAAAAAAAAAGGTTTTATATCATATAAATTGTATAATGTAATAAATGAGTTTGATTTAAAATATAGTTTTTTTTTGTTTTTTAGTTATTTGTTCGTATTCTTCTCAGCAAACCCTTTCCATTGATATCCATATCATGGGGATTGGGGGTGTATAAAATGATTAGTCCGCCGTAGTTAGGGGTCCGCCATGTTAGATTTAGAATTACGTCACTTATCTAACCATGCATTGTCATCTAAACTAAACGTGTATGCAAATATATTTCATCTCAATCGGTTGAAGATCCATTACTTACATCACTGCTTTAAAATCCATTTAACCCGAACAAACATACATACAAGACCCGAACAAACAACATTGCAAGTTAAATAAAAGCTTGTAAAAATGGTAAGTGATGGTCAAGTTAGTCGCTAAATTATTTTTGTATGTAGCAAGAACTTTCAACAATGTACGGCAAAATGGCCTCACTCACTGAATCTTTTCAGAAATTTTAGAAACCTATATATTTTCTAATAAAAAAGCAGTGATTATAAAATGAACTCTCACAAAGATGCGATATATAGCTTGCGATCGATACAATACATGATTAGACGAGATACTACACCGAGCTTGGCAGTTAAAATTCATTCAATATACTAAGTAGTGTCATAAAGTGCACAATTCACTTTTTGCGGATTCTCTAACATTTTCTAAATTTATATCACCCCATACTAATTTATAACCATAAAAAAATTAAAAAACCAGTCATGAGGACTGCCGACAGAAGTGAAAACTTTAAACTACAAACAAACAGTTGTTATTTTTGGATATTCAAATTGTTTGATTTTAAATTAAAAATAAATTAAGTCTGTTTACATTTATCTGGTGTCGACATCTATCGTCACTCTCGAGTGTTAACGTTAACACGTCACGTGACCATGTCGATGACGACTTACGTGAATTTACTCCCCATCCAAACCTGCCTATAGTAGTTTTCTGTGAAGTATTGTTTTATACATAATTTAAAAAAGTTAAAATATTAATTTAGATTGCTATTGTTTAAAGTCATTAATATATTAAATAATAATAATCTAAATTAATATTTTAACTTTTTCGAATTACATAAAACAATAATATTGCTTTAATCAATAATTAATATTTTTAAACTGAAATAGAACAAAAACCTCGTGAGAGCTTAAAACATTATTTTTATATTATTTCAATTCTTCTTATTTGTCTTAATTGGCTTATCGATTATTACTTATTACTGGAAAAATCAAATCAGTGGGCGGAAATTTTTCTATAAAATATTTTTATAAGAAATTCTATAGCACTAATAACTAGCGACTCCCTTTAGTAAGGTCCGGTCCACACTATAGTGCCGCTCACGGCTCCTTCTCGCTCCGATATCTGTCTGGTAAAGTATGTTTGTACAATAAACAATGAATGCATTCACGCCATCAGTAAGAGTCAAGTTCCAGTCAAATCACACTCCAGCAACGTTTCTTGTATAACTTTACATGAACAATATCGAACCGCAAACAGACTGTCATCCGCACGACAGTGTGGCTCGGGCCTAACAGTGCCCGCCGCAGGTCGCCATAATATATCTATGTATTAATAAGTACAATAACTTTCTCGGACTCTCGCTTCAGCCGTCATACATTTTCATGTTTCATTATTTTAATTTTCATATTTCACACGTCGACCTTCGCGTGGAGCGCGACGTGAGGATGATGTAAGACCGACACGTTCTCTATAATTATCTAAAACTTAAATCTAATAAATAATTATCTGGTGTCACGGTGTTTGTGGACGCACTCCTCTCCGAAACGACTCGACCGATTTTAATGTTTTTTTTGTATATTTGGTAGATATGAGAATATATCGCGAGACGAGTGGAGTAGAGAGACGCTAGTAACAATATATTTATCGTTGTAAAAATATTTCTTGTCTTTAGCAACCCCGTGCGGGCATCGAATCCGTTATTTGTATTAAAATCAAAACTTTTGTGTTGGATAATAAAAATATCGTTTTGTTTGAGTTCCTTGGCGTGTTCATGCACCAAATAATAAACGCAGGTTATATCTTTTAGAGGAAGAGGCTGAGCTGATTAAAAGTAATGAGAATTTTGCTTCATCGAGTCATATTAATTGCTCGATAAAAATATTCTCTAACTTAACATACGAGTATATAACGCTATCAAAACAAAGGAGTCTGTGTAAAATGTAACTCGGTGTCATAACAATACACATTCAACAAGCCAATCTGCATATGAAAATAGAATAATTTAATTCTACTGCGACGTTTGGAAATGCCATTCAAAACATTCATAGAACTGAATTTCAATCATCGAAATATAATCATGTATTTAATATGTTTTGTCTGGATACAAAAGTGAAGCCAACTACAATTTATACGCTACGTCAATTTAAACTGAAATAAAATGAAAAAAAAAATCCATTCTACAGGAAGCGTACATTTTCCTGGGATAAAAATAACCTATCTACTATTACAGATTAGAATACAGGAGGACTTCCGACGGAAATTGTTATCAGTGTGAAAATGGTAGCGGAAGTTTGTATGGGGGATCAATCATTTCTCAAGTAAGGGATATCAAACACAATTACTATATATATATATATACAATATATACCTAGCGGACCCGACAGACGTTGTCCTGTCTACACGTCTTTAATTTGAAAATTTCAAACTTTTTTTAATAATTTTTTTGATGAAAATTATTATTCAAATTGTGAATCTAAACCATTCCCAGATCCCCTTGAACACACACAAAAAATTTCATCAAAATCGGTCCAGTCGTTTGAGAGAAGTTCAGTGACATACACACTCACAGAAGAATTATATATATAAAGATATATATATATATATATAATATATATATATATATTCTATCTTATTCCACACTAATCGTGAAAACGTATTTCGCTAGCTCAAATATAAGTCCTTAAAAAGATATAAAATATAAATATTATGCACATTGCACATATTGTAAATTTTAATTTTGTTTTCACTCTGTTTGTTGACTTTCTGGTCTTGGTGGATGAGCGGGGCACCCAGTAATACGGGTCTACATCTAGTACAATACTGTACTACCCTGTAGTTAGGAATGTAATCTTTAAGCCAATAAATGTATTTTTATTTATGTTTTTTATTTAAAAGCTCTTACCTCCCTGATAGTTCGTGGCCTGCTGATTCAGATGGGGCTGGTCGTCCTTGTTGTATATCTCCGCCCTGATAGTTTCCGGCATATAGAACGATGCAGCCAAACCTGCCCGAACATACACACAACGTTATACAAACAATTCTAAAAAAATATTGTATTTCATATTCTAAAATTATATGACACTACACGTTTATTTTGATTTTTGGTCCCCGACGTTTCTAATGCTTCACAGCAATCATGGTACGGGAGAGTCTCCCGAAAGATAGTTTTATTTAAAATGTCAAATATTCGCGTAAGTCTATGAAAGTATTGTGTATTTAATATATTGTGTGTAGATTTTACCCATATTTCACAGATTCATATAAGCTTTTATTCGCAAATTAGAGCCAATCTTTAAGTATACGAATGTTTACATAAAGATAATAATACCTATATCAATTCAATATAAAAAGACAAGTACAATGTGGAAACACGTGCCATCCATCGATAAAAGAAACGATTAAATTTTGTTGATATAAAGAGAATTTCTAACAAAACATGAAAAATGTAACACCTGATAATAAAGTACAGTAATGCTAGCACAGTATAATTTTTACTTTGATAAAGGAACGAGAGCTCTTGAAGAAAAGCTTGGAAATAGTAAGTTTTATTGCGAAGTGGCCTTTTCAAGCTCGCCTTTCAATTATTAACTGCAGGAGGCATCGGAATCAGTAACATCGCAGTCACGTTGGCAATTGCTTATTGAGCTTATTCTATCGCCCTATATTTTATTTTACACGTGCTTCAAAGTCTATAGATACACCATGCTTCATACAACAAATCTCCAGGGGCTTATTACATAAATTAATATTTGATTTAGTGGATTTTTCCTAAAACATCAAATTCTTCTTTAAGTAATCGGCCCATTAGGGATTCGAACCTTGCGTACAAAAGAATTCCGCTCTTACACAACCCACGTGTAATGGTTATGAAATTATATAAAAAATAAAATTGAAGGCAAATTTTTCTTATTTCAACAACTCGCGTGGGCTCTAAGATGATTAATTAGCCTATTTACAAAAAATAAACTAATTCGCAATCAATATAATAAGAAGCTCAACGTAAGTACTTTTATAATTTCTTTAGTGCTTTGAAATTAAATATAGCTGAAGTAAATAAGCTCCTATACAAGTTTATATATAAATCGCATTCATCAACAGATAGCTCGGCAGTAATCAAGGTATAATTCAATTCGCAGCACCACATAAGTTGTTTACGTCGCCGTTGCTAGTGACAACCGGCTTGAGCCACAACAATGCACATGCAAACGTATAACTAATTCTAAATAGATTTCGCAACTGCTTAAATAAAAAAAAATATCACTTCAAGTAGGTAGCGGTTAAGTTGTTATAACGATGCCACTTATAAGAAATCGTATTTTGTGCAACAAAAACAAATTGTTAAAACATAGGGTTGACTTCAATATGAATTTTAAAGATGTTATTATGTCCAAGTCTAATATTATGATATGTTCGTGTCATGTCACGTGGACTTTTATTATATAGCACACAGTACTGCATGAATGTTAGACAACTTTTAATCGAACCCGTTACGTAGCCAGTAGATAAATAAATAGATATGTTGGGACATTAACACACAGCACCATCTAGTTCCACGGTAAGCTACGAGGCCATTGTTATGGATACCAAATGGTTGATACACTACATGTATATAACTTATAGTTATACATACATATTATAAATATTATAAATATAAACACCCATGACTAACAAATGACCCAACAAAACCCATGACCTACAAACATTCGTGCTCATCACACAAATGAATGCCCCCAGCGGGACTCGAACCCGCGATCGCTGGCATAGCAAGTAGGGTCACTACAAACTGAACCAAACGTGTCGTTAGTAGTAGAGTTTCCTACTTTTGAAATTTCATTTGTGCAGTACAATTACAATAGCAATACAATAAAATTTCAAATTAAAACGCTCGTCCTTAAGATCCACGCGATCAAAACTGCAGGCACGAGTGAATATGAAATAAAATCTTACATTTTAATACAGACAAAATCTGAAATAAATTGCGATACGCTTCGTAGAAGTTGGAAATGAAACTATACAAATTCCAAGCATGGAAATACATAACTGAAATATCCTACGCGAGCTTTCACAATGCTTTACATGAAACCCCTTTGAAAAGTGGAATTGCAAATATATTTCGCCACTAATAACTTCAGTTCGCAGAAGGGGGGCAGGTGAAGGGCGGGCGAGGGCAAGTGGGCATTACAATATACACCCGTCCAAACTTTCGCATTTATTATGTTTATAGAACAAACAGGACTTGGGTAAAACGACTGTAACGCCCTATGGCTACAACACACAGGGCGCGGGTTCGAACCGCGTCTAAAAATATAATATAAAACAATTCAAATTTATAAAAACATTTATATGGAAGCTTTTTTCATTACGCGGAAGTAGGGGTCTCTTCGCCAAATATATATTACTGGCGCTTTACACTCGCTTTGCTCGGGTGTGTTCCTAGGTACTTATGTTTTACATAGATATAAATAGTTATTAGCCAGCGGTAGCCATGTAAATTTTTGTCTATAAAGTGTAAACTACTATAGGCAGGTTTGGATGGGGAGTAAATTCATGTAAGTCGTCATCGACATGGTCACGTGACGTGTTAACGCTAACACTCAAGAGTGACGAGTCAAAACCAGATAAATGTAAACAGTTTTTACTTACAAATTTTAATTTAAGATCAAACAATTAATTTGAATATCCAAAAATAACAAGTGTCTGTTTATAGTTTTATGTTTTCACTTCTGTCGGCAGTCCTCATGACTTTTTCGTAAATTTTTCCGATGTTTTATTTAATCATAGAAATCGGTCCTGCAGTTCTTGAGTTATAAATGGTGTTGCTAACCCGGCTTTGTTTTATATATATATATATATACATATACATATATATATATATAGTACCTGGGCGACCGAGCCTTGCTCGGAGTGTTTGGCCAAAAAAAACATTTAAAAAAAACAAACTAAGAATTTGAACTACAAAAAAAAACAAAATTAAAAACTTTGTGTCCGACCGGGATACGAACCCAGACACCTGTGGTTGTCAAATTTGCGCATTGGCCGCTTGACCATGATGCTTATATCTGAGCATGCGAAATTATCGAACATAATATTTTGCGTGGAATTATTAATTATTAATTTATTGAAATAATGCAAAAGGAATCATAATAATAATAAAGCTCTATTTATTTATTCATTTATTTATTATAAATGCTTACTAACTAAATTTACATAAAAACATTTATTTAACATTATAATTTTACCTATTTGTATATAAATTTAATTTGAAAGTATGCACAGCTTTTTATAAAAGTATTCCATTAAAATTTTATTTGGTTAAAAGTATATAAGGAGCCATTTTAGTTGTACAATAAACAAAAGAAGAAAAAAAACTAATCTAAATATTTAAATACACTTTTTTTTAAATAAATTTAAACTATCAGAAAAAATGTCTATATCACATTGCTGAAATATATTATATAATTTAGTGACTATTTATTAACTTATAATTTTTTAACTTTATTTGAATATAAATTATCATTAACACAATGACAGTAAATTAAATAATTCAATTGAGTAAATACTAAACATTTCACAATAATACATATAAATAAAATTTCTTTCCATACATTAATTCTGACAATAGTTATAAATTAGGTATTTAATTTCATATTTAAATGTATTTATTTAGTAAATGTCTTTTTCATGTATAGACCCCTCTCGATTAACTCCAAAGTAGTCCTGCATAGAGCTCTCCGTTGGAGATTATGTTTGTATGATTGCAAAGGGTTTCTTTACAAATTTTGTTTCCAATATATAATTTGTTTCTGTTATGCCTATCAAGTTTATAATTTTATCTTTGTGTTCTTTTGATTTGTTGTAGGAAATACTGCTTTTAATTCTAGAAGTTTTTCTGGTGAAGATATGTATACCTTTGTTCATTGTATGTCTGTTTTTCTTTGGAGGGCTATGGTCAAACTCCCTCACAGTGACCGGCCATACTGGGGGATAAAGATGAGGAGTTTCCTACTGTGTTTAATAAACTGTATCTTGCAGTGTTGTTTTTAGTTGTTCCTGGTTATTATTTGTGTGGTTGAAAGTTAATTTTGGTTTTTGTAATATAAAGTCTTTAATATTACCAGGTATGGTTTTCTTTGTATGTTGTTTATTTGTTAGTTTTTGTTTATAATTGAGGTTAGGATTTTCTGGAGATACAGGCAGACTTCTTTTTTATTTCTAACTGTTTAAATTTCTCATTTAAGTATATTATTGTTGATTGTATTTTTAATGTCTTCTTTCATTTCTAACATTTCTGTTTTCTGCTGTCTTATTTCTTGTTGCATGTTTATTAGCAACGTTTTTATGTCCTCCATCTTATGTGTGAAGTTGGAAGTAGAAAAGCTGATTGAAAAAAGCACCAATTATACCAAGTTGAATTGCAATTTTATACCGAGTATTAGTTTTTGAGGTTATAAACTTATGTTTTAATATTTGACGCTTTCACTTCACAAATTATTTTGTTTTATTGTCATCACACACAGAAAAGATGGTTTTGCACTAATAGTATCTTTAAGTTATGTTTGTCACTTTTATATTTGTTTGGTAGGTGAATTTTTAAAAGCTCATTTGTTCTTCAACACATCAAGACTTGGTGATGTTTACATATTGCCCATAGGTTTTATTTAAAAAAATATTTTTATTATTTAAATTTATATTTATTCTTTAGATTATTTTCACTCAAATATATTTAAACTTAATGTAAATACGGACACGATGTTGACAGTTGCACAGTGGCGCCGCCCACTCACCAGAAGTGACAATGCAAAAATTGTGAAAATGCAAAAGAAAATCGCATGAAAATTCGAAAATTCGCGTTTTTCCAGATATAAGACTAATCTAGATCGATTTATCGCCCCCGAAACCTTTTGCATGCTAAATTTCATGAAAATCGTTGGAGCCGTTTCCGAGATTCAGATTATATATTGATATATATATATATACAAGAATAGCTCGTTTAAATATATAAGAGTACCTGGGCGACCGAGCTTTGCTCGGAGTTTTTGGCCAAAAAAAAACATTAAAAAAAAACAAACAAAGAATTTGAATAAATACAAAAAAAAACAAAATTAAAACTTTGTGTCCGACCGGGATACGAACCCACATACCTGTGGTTGTCAAACTTGCGCATTGACCGCTTGACCATGATGCTTATATCTGAGAGTGCGAAATTATCGAACATAATATTTTGCGTGGAATTATTAATTATTAATTTATTGAAATAATGCAAAAGAGGTTAAGAGTATATAAGGAGCCATTTTAGTTGTACAATAAAAAAAATGTCTATATCACATTGCTGAAATATAAAATTATATAATTTAGTGACTATTTATTAACTTATAATTTTTTAACTAATAATTTTGTAATCTGGAATTAAATTATTTTAAAAATCTTCATATTATTTGAAATGATATTGTATATATATATAAATTATCATTAACAAATAAATAAATAAACAATCACAATAAATTAAATAATTCTTTCTTTCCATACATAATTCTGACAATAGTTATAAATTAGGTATTTAATTTCATAATTAAATGTATTTATTTAGTAAATGTCTTTTTCATGTATATCTCGGTTAAAAGCCTCCTCCAAAGTAGTCCTGCATAGAGCTCTCCGTTGGAGATTATGCTTGTATGATTGCAAAGGGTTTCTTTTGCAAATATATAAGATATATATATGCCAGTTCAGTTAAAGTATTTTCATTATGTAAGCAATCGTATGCGCTATACTTGTCTTCTCTACGCGATGGAATATTACAAAATATATTATCACTTCGCATCTCGCCACAGTAGTAATGCCAAATTATTGTAGATTAAGAACAAAAAGGTTTTGGTTAACACAACCCAAATCGCAATTGCAACATTTTATTTGCATCCATTGCAAACACATGCTATTATTTAGTTTTACTTAATAATACAATATGAACTAATGTTTGCCTAAAATAAGGGTAAAATCAGAAGATATAATATGTCACAGTGTACAATTCGCAGATAATTAGTAGGTATACTCATATAATTTTATATAGCAGTACGTCGCAAGAGCTGTACTTATATATATACATCTATAAACAAAACACGTTGAATCTGCAAAATATGGGATATTGATGTGACGCTAGCATTAAATAAATCGTACAAGGATGACCAAAGTCTATACATATAATAAAATTGTAACTAAGTCGAATCTGTACATTAAATATTTTTTTGGAAAATCTAATTGAAATAGACATTATTATCGATACAGAGTCCGAATCTATAGTTTTTAGAGTTTTTGTCTGTCTGTCTGTCTGTTACCGCATCACGACAAAACCACTGGATAGATTTTGATGAAATTTGGTATGATGATAGCTGGTTGTTATCCGGGTCAACATATAGGGTACTTTTTACCGCGGGAAAATATCTCATTTCTGAGAAAAAATACAAAAACTGCATTTTAAGAGTATACTAATATGTAAAACCTAAGGATTTGGTTTTTAGTCATCTGAACGCGGGCGGAGCCGCGGGCAATGCTAGTCTTCTTATAAAATAGAATACTACTACGTATATATAAACAAATGTAATGTCAGTAAGTTCACTTCTTACCTGTTTGTTGGTATTCTTGGTCTATTTGAGCGAGCATGAAACGTTACAATATATGTGAGCAAAACCAGAAAAATTAACATCTATACATATAGTAAAATTCTAACTGAGTCGAATCTGTACATTAAATATTTTTTTGAAAATCTTATTGAAATAAACATTATTATCGATACAGAGGCCGAATCTATAGTTTTTAGAATTTTTGTCTGTCTGTCTGTCTGTTACTCCATCACAGAAAAACCACTGGAGGGATTTTATGATAATAGCTGGTTATCCGGGTCAACATATACAATACTTTTTACCGCGGGAAAATATCTCATCATTATTATAAAAACACAAAAACTGAACAAAAAAAAACAATTTAAGAGTACTATACTAATATGTAAAACCTAAGAATTTGGTTTTCGGTCATCTGAACGCGGGCGGAGCCGCGGACAATGCTAGTATAATATATTTGTACGATAATAGAGATAAAAATAACAACATTCGTGTGTCATATATATGCTGCAATATAAATAGGATACAAATCTTATATGTGCACCCTCAACATCGCAATTTTATAAAGAAGTTTTATTAGACGCCCACTACAAATTTTACAGACTGTTATGAAAAATATGTTGCTGGTAAGGTTCTCGATAAGAGATTATGTAATCAATAAGAATTAGCATTCGCGTATCTCATTAAAATAAATAAAAATAAAATATACTACATTTATTTTGTAATAACAAGTTGTTTATTTACAATAAAATAAAATGTTATAAATTATATATTAGTAGATGAATAGTGGAAGCTTTCTTACCTGGCTGTGCCTTGTGGACTGGCGGCATGTGCGCGGGCGCATACATCTGCGTCGCGTACGCCGACACGCCGATACACTCTCCACCACCTATACAGATATCGTATATTTACCAAAACATATATTATCAAATGTACTTATTCTTACTTATATTAAAAATGTATGTATGTCTGTTTATTCATACGTTCTCGTTGTGACGTGGCTATGTGTGTGGACACGGGGAGCTCATGGAGTTGTAAATTGTATAATCATATTATATATAATGATTATGATACTATGATAATGATTGAATCAATTATATTAATGTGAACATATATGCAGTAGTTGTACAAAGAAACGTGGGGCGAACTTAGATAAAACAGTAGACAATTAGCGACAAAAAATGTCCTCACCGAATAAGGGCTTATTTGAATATTTGAGCGCACTTTTAATTTATATAAATATATATTAATTTATATAATATATATTAATGATATAAATAGAATAAGTGGATCAGAATTTTCTTTATATTTTCACTTGTTACTTACTGCGATATTACTCTATAGGGTACTTTAATAATGTATTTACATCATCATGGGCATCCTCAAGCTATGCACATAGATCGAAAAAAATGAATATGACTCTCATGTGGTAGATCTCTTAACTTTTTCCCCAAAAATATTAATATATAACCCGCAACTTCGAACTTAGGATAAATGTTGTATGACGCCCCCAACGTGCGTTCACCTAGTCGTGGGTGGGGGCTCAGTAGTGCTTGGCAATCCAGCCAGGCGCGAAGCTAAGAAACGCACAGGGAGGTGACCCACTTCGGTTGGTGGTGTACCATGCGGGTTACACCTGGTACTTCTCTGATAACAGAGTGGACCTTGGAGCAACCCCATGGTTGTTGTGGTCTGCTTCGACATACGGGGGCAAGGTTTTGTTGGGTTTTAGTGGGTAGCACTGGCTTTTCGAGCCGGTGAGTCCCACATAACCACCTGTAGACCTACAGGTGTATGCGTGAATGCATTTCCCAACATAAAAAAAAGATGTTGTATAAAGCAGTATTAGTAGTGGAATAGGCTGGCAAGTGAGGAGGAAGAACAGGATAAGGGCAAGTTGAATATAAAAACGAGAAATCTGGAGACCTGGAGAATTGCTCGTTTCATTCGAAACGCCGGGAACCAAACATAAGAAAAAAAAATTTTTTTTATTTATATTTTAATACTGATTGAACATTGAATAATGGGAGGGCAATCTAATCTTTAAAATATATAATTCATTATAAATTTCATGATTCCTACAATGTAGAAACAAAAATAAGGTTAAGAAAAAATGTCCATGACATAAAACGTAGTATCCTAATGAAAATTATAAACAAATATAATATTTACCCATAGCAGCAGACGTGTTGAGGCCGACCGAAGCATTCAGTGTCTCGGAGGTGGTCGGATAGAAATACGTGGTCCCGCCCACGTTCTCCTAACCACAAATAATAACAATGTACATATGTTCAATCAACTTAAATTATATGTAACACAATGTGACATCAAATAAACACATTCTCTAAATTATGGAAATATAATCACAATTGAATTATCGATGACTGATTAAGTCTACGAGTATAATTGTCACTTAGCTACACTCTCGCCCAGGCCTAATGATTATTCCTAAATATTTAAACTATAATAACTTATAGTAGAGCTATTTAAATAATTTATAACATCTCATTAGTGAGTCACGCCAAGATAATATGCGGATTTTTGATAGTGTTAAAATTTGGGCAAAGCCAGTAGAACGTAAATCCCACGACCATCTGAAGTACAAGTAGATACAAATGTGTCAAGATCATAACAAACTTAACTAAATGTTGTTATTATTAGGGTTCATTAATATTTATAATAAGTGATATCGTGACATAATGGTTCAAAAAGTTCGTATTATAAAACTTCGCTTATGTAGATTATTAATAGGATGATGTTATTTTGGCCACTTTTGTATGTGGCTACTGTGTATATTTTTGGTGGAAACTTTACTGGCTTAAAATTCGATACTACGTGTTTTAATTATACATATTTTTTAAATACTGTATATTTCCAAAACAATAAATCAATAATAATCAATAGTTAACAATCGATAATTCTATTATAATAATATCTAAAAATATGATAAACAGAAGGTTTAGAACAATCCATTCGAAGTGGTAACCTAGTGGTAAAGTAATTGCTTGGGAAACCAAATGAAGCGGGTTCGAATCCCGGGACTTGCACCTCTGATATTTTCATGTGCGAATGAAATCATTTTTAACATGATTACGACTTGTCTATGGTGAAGGTAAACATCGTGAGGTAACCTGCATGTCTGCGACAATCTAGCAAGTTCTCGAAAGACATGTGAAGACCGCCAACCCGCACTTGGTGTGGTGGGCTATGGCCTATTCCCTTTTATACTGAGAGATTTCGTGGTCAAACTCCCTAAGCATTCCACTACAGATTGGAAGCAGGAAAATAATAACACATTAAATACGTTACCTGGTGAACTTGCGTGTTCACTTGCAGCGGGAGGGTGTTGGGCGGCGAGCTCTCCGGAGACTCCGGCAGCATTGCCGGATTGTAGTAGTTTATCGGAATAAACTCTCCGATCACAACCTGCCGTATACAATATACATACAAGTGGTAAAAGTATAAACAAGAATATTCAACAATCTGCACAGAAGTCTTAACTAGCAAATTATTTTCAATAGATAATCCTACTCGATAATTTTTGATCATCCTTTTCACCAAATTAAGTTCTCGCGTAATTAAAATCGATGATAAAATTACACTTGATACACAATCCCATGCAAAAGTTCTCTTAAAACTGTCACCAATTGTGTTTAGATAATTACTCTATTTGAAATAAATATACAACAATATACCTAAATAAGCTTTAACGCAATGCTTGAAGGTGTTTTTATAAAAAAAATCTGTGCCAAATGTGCAACTGAGCGCTCATTCGGTGAGAACATTTATTCTAGCTGATTGTGTATTAGTACTTTTTTGATCGTTGGTAATTAACAAATAATATAAAGTAAATAAAAAATAACTATCTAAAATTAAATATACCTATAGCTTTGAAAAATTAACGAAATATATATATAAATGAACGATCTAAATATTAATTAGTGGGCATTGAAAATTTTCCTTTCATTTTAAGAATGTCTCTCGTCTATTTATAATAAAAAGAGAGGAAAAAAAGGCGCCCTAAAAATCACGTCGAATGATTAAATTGACGTTAAACCCAAAATTAATATACCGTATCATTTATAAATAATTAATTTGTACAAGAAAGATATTTGAGAAAAACTTTTATTGGGGGGCTTTATTAACGCAATAGAACGTAAGACAATGATTTTTAGAATTTTTATATGATTGTCAGTTTGTTTATACGTTTGTACGCGCTAATCTCAGAAATCGCTTTACCGATTTGGGTGCGGTTGTTTTATTTCAATCGGTACAAATATATATTTTTTCACTAAGAGTTAAAGAGGTGCTGAAAGTATCTATTCAAAATTCGGAAAAAAATCATAACGAATGTATAAGCTTCTCAATTCGATTGAAACATCTTGTAAGTGGTGCTTCAGTGCTTCAATAAGTTCCTGTTCGCTAATGAGCTATGAGGTTTATGTTTCTGGATTCGGATTCTGGCTTACGATTTGATTGGATACACTGCCGGTAATAACATAAGAGCATTAAGTGCAAAATCAGAGGAGTCAGATATGATGAAAGTGATATCCATCGATTGATTCATCAACGCTATGGCGTTCGAGGAACTTAAAGACAAAGTGAGTTGAGCTTAGTCCTTAAATGAAATGGATAATCACTAACAAAGGATTGTTTGACAATGTTTATTATAAAATACTAGCAGAAACCGCGGCTTCGCCCGCGTTCAAATTAAAAAAAAACTCGCTATTTGTTATATAGCGCCTCAACCTCGCTCCGCTCGGATTCTTCCGTGTGTCGTTGTTTTAATTAAACAAATTATTTGGATATTGTTACTACAAAACGTACTTAAATCTCGATTAAAAAATGGGGAGTTGGTTAAGAGGGTGAAAAATACTTTAAGACTCACCTTAACCTACCAACAATATATTTTTTTATTAAAATCGGTCGAGCCGTTTCGGAGGAGTACGACCACAAACTCCGTGAAATGAGATATTTATATGTTGGATATAAGAAGAAGAAGAAATATTGCTCTTCTAACCTAGTGGCCTAGTGTTAATTTAGCGATTTTCGAATTCACATACAGTAATGAATAAAACAGAAAACGGATAAAACTGAAAACAGTTACTAGTAATAGGCCTAATGTATAACAATAATTAGTGCGATTGTCTGGTATGTAGTAATAATCAAGTGGGAGAGACGGAGTTGATTCATAAGTCCACTACATATGCATGCTGTACAGTAAATAATACATATATATATAATAAAATATAAGAAAATTCTAACAAAGCCGAATCTGTACATTAAATATTTTTTTGGAAAATCTTATTGAAATAGACATTATTATCGATACAGAGGTCGAATCTATAGTGTATAGATTTTTTTCTGTCTGTCTACAACTGCGTAACGGAAAAACCATTGGAGAGATTTTGATAAAATTTGATATGATGATAGCTGGTTATCCCGGTCAACATAATATAGGACGCTTTTTACTGCGAGAAAATATCTCATCTCTAAGAAATCTATACTAAACGTTAAAATGTAACTAGGGACAAACCCGAGCGGGGCGAGATTTATAAATAAAAGACGGTTATTTGACAGTACACATAACAAACAGATTTTGATGAAATGAGTATAATACAAATTATTGTATTTTATACGAATTTAAATAACCTGTGAAAAAATTCTGTGAACAACGATTTAATAGATAATGCAATATTCCTTTTAAAAAAAAATTGTGCATATTTAGATTGCAGTCACTGTAAGTCGAAGCATTGGTGGACCATATTGGTGTTGAAAAACTAAGTGATACGCGTTCAAATCCGAATCGAAAGATTAATATAAAGATAAAGATTAATATAATAAGATCTCAAAAATTTCATCCGCGATTAATTTTCAACACTTGCTTTACCACAAGTGAAAAACGAAGGAATATATCGTAATGAAACCTACTTGCTCCTGCAATACAGTTTTTAACGAGCGCAGGGGCTAGGGAATTCTTAATCACCTGTGTATGTAAAAATTATGTCAATAAAGAATTTATTATTATTGTTTATTATTATGTCTGAGAAAATCTAACAAGTTGTTCAAAGGCGTGTGAAGTTCAGTTCAACCCATGCTTTGAAAAAGATAGATTTTTTTAATAATATTATTATACGAGCAATAAATGTCTCTCAATGAGAGGTTGAAGAAGAAGCAGCAACATGTTTGAATCAATGTATGTACATATATGTAAAATATATGTTTTAGTAAAGTATTAAACTTATTTGTAGACGTCCCTAAAACGATCTCAAGGTGAATATATTGCCTGAAATATAAGTTAATGTCACATCGCTCAACTTGCAGTAAATTCATTAAACGTAAGCAACATAATTGGAAAATATGTTCAGTAGACTGTTAATAATAAATTGCTGCGTAACTTGGAGAAATGTACACGTGACCTAGGATGCGCCGGGGGATGCCGGTAATCGATAACCCCCTGCCGTGTCCCGGCCACCCCATGTCCTAGCCCAAGGGCACTCTGTACCTGGAAGTGCATGCGCATTAAGACTGCACCCATCCTCTCCCCGTGCTCCCCGAGCACCCCGGATTTCCCGTCCGGCTCTCCATTGTTTAAAACGCGACTTATTAATCAATACTTGCATCCATCGCCATTGCTGCGCAGATTTATGTATACTTTTGGCTGGGTTCAATATTATTGCGACGCAATTTGAACTTCGACCCGTTGACATTTTATAATAATTATAAGTACACGTGACCCAACCATTGCAGAAATTAACAAGAATAAAATGAGAAAAAAATAAAAATTTCATAAAATATTTGAAAATGTAGTCTTTTACAATATATAAATATAATAAATAGTACCTGCTGGTTCGGTGGACCAAATATAGCCTGAGACAGCATGAAAGAAATTGAGATTAATACTAAACTATTCCTAATCTATACATTTAAGTATCTTAAAGATTCTAGGTTTTAGTCTAAGAAATGGATGACTAATATTTATGTATTTGTTATAATTATTGTTTTGGAGAGTAAAAAGCTAAGATATTCATCAGACAAATGTTACCTGTTGGTTTGGACTGTACAGTGCCTGGTGGAGCATAAAATAAATCAGATCAGATCAGGATTAAGCACGCACATCGTTAAAATAATAAATATAAACATATGAATGAGAATAGTCTGTATCAAATAACGAGCGACCTATCCCGACTTCATCCGGGTGTTCATTACATTTGTTTTGTCCTGGGCTGTACAGTACAGTGTTAATTTTTTTTTATTATTATATAGATATATATATCCACAAATGTGGATCACCTTTATCGTGACGAATAAAAAGGGTAATTCTAAGCCCAGGACATGATCCATATTGACCCCTAATTTTTTTGTAGAAAATTTCTTAAACGTATAGTCTGTTATATTATGAACATAAGCTCTACTTTTACAGTTTTTCAATACTAAAGTTTGTAGAGAAGTCTACACGAATACTCATAAATCCATACTAATATTAAAAATGTGAATGTGTTTGTTTGTTTGTCTTTCTTTTACGTCGAAACGGGGTGACGGATTGACATAATTTTTTGTGTGGAGATAGTTGGTTGGCTGAAGAGTGACATACGTGTGCGAAAATGTTATGTATGTTTGTAAAAATATAAAAGAATTTCCCAGGAATTGTGACATGCATAACATTAGTACTAGGAGCAAACACAAACTTGTAATGCCTGTGACTCGTCTACACAGAGTCAGTAATTCTTTTAATGGACAATGTATACGCCTATAAAATAGGATCCCAGAAAATGTTCAAAAAAAGTTCACCAAATTCAAAAGAATTCTTAATGAGCGTTTGTATTCTAAAGGCTATTATACAATTAATGATTTTATAGAAGATGGCACGCCTTGGGAATGAAGTGATAGCCACCAGGCTACTTCAATTTTATAGAAATATTGTAATTTATAGTTTAACTTCATAAAAAAGATAATGAAATAATATTAGTCCCGCTGAGTTTCTTTCGCCAGTTCTTCTCAGGTCTGAGGCTTTTTCTTTCCGAACTGGTAGTAGATTCATGACGTTCATGCTGAATAAAATATTCTGAATTTTTTGAATTTTGAACTGTGAAAGGCTTATAGGCTATATATCAAGGGAGAGGAGCAGTAATTATAAATGTGAACAAATCGGGTATTTTCCATACATTAGTGTAAAACTGATGTTTATAATATAATATGTTTAAGTGTTTTAAGCTCAGAAACTTTGGTCAAGTACTTATTGTGAAGGTAAATAAAACAAATTTAACGGGTGTGAAACCGCGGGGCACACCTAGTTATTTGAATATATATACTTTGAGAATAAATGTGATAATTTAAAAAATAACGACTATGTAGCCTTTGTGTCCTGTGTTGCAATTGCAATCATTATAGAATTAAACCCACAAAATGTATAATTATATAATAATTCAATCTTAAGGCGCCATCTATTACAAGATAGTTTTAATTCAGCCATTATAAAAAATTGTCTGGTCTGTTTTTATTTTCATATAACTGAACAATTATCCTACGATTTTTACCAGAACATTTATTTAATAGTGCCGATAAACTCGATTCGATTGTATCGATAGAAAAAAAATAACAATCGAGACACCCGTTACGCCTAACGCGTATATATTGTACATTAAAGCAGAGAAATAAATTGACAAAGCAGTAGATTTAATAGTAAGATTTCTCGAATCAAATACAACATCTATAATCTACGCGTATATCCATCTCGTTTACTACTAAAATAAAATTTAACATTTGTCACACATTCTTTTCCATATACCATTCATCTGACTGAGATGGCACTTTGACTTTGTGATATTCCTAAATATAAGTGCAAAGTATAAATTAAGTCCCTACGTAATTTAGATGTGTGTGTATTTCATTTTACAGTAGAAGCGAAGCCAGGGTGGGTCGCTAGTTAAGTGTTAAATTAATCTATACATATAATAAAATTATAACTAAGTCGAATCTATACATTAAATATTTTTTGGAAAATCTAATTGAAATAGACATAAATATCCGAGTCCGAATCTATAGTTTTTAGAATTTTTGTCTGTCTATCTGTCTGTCTGTCTGTTACCGCATCACGAGAAAACCACTGGACAGATTTTGATGAAATTTGGTATGATGATAGCTGGTTATCCGGGTCAACATATAGGATACTATTTACCGCGGGAAAATATCTCATTTCTGAGAAAACATACAAAAACTGAATTGTAAGAGTATACTAATATGTAAAAACTAAGAATTTGGTTTTGGGTCATCTGAACGCGGGCGGAGCCGCGGGCAATGCTAGTCAAATAATAAAGCTATTATTACCTGTTGATGATTGGGGCTATACAGAGCCGCCTATTAGCAGCATTAAGAAAAAAAACGCGTGAGAAAAAATTCAAGAGTGTGAATACAATACAATGAATAAAAAGATAGAAGTTTTTAGAGTAACATTTCTTACAATTAAGCCTTTTGTCAATTGAATAGCGTATTACGAAAGATATATTAAGTCATTGAATGAATTTACAAAGATGGGTCAAAATTTACAGACCTGATGCTGAGCAGGGTTATACATGGCCTGCACGTCCCGGAAGCACAACATTTAGAATATTAATTGTGGATATAAATTTCTTTTAGATGTTTGTCATTATTATTAATTCATGTAATATATGAATAACTATACCTGTGGCTGTGCTGGGAATATAGTCTGCATATCCAAGAAAAACAAAATTAAAAATTTGATTTGAAATTGCTCTTCTATCAAATTAACTCTCTGTTCATAATGTAAAATATTCAACTGTATTCATATTATATTTTCTTTCAATATACATATTTAAGAAGCATTTATAAAACCTGCTAAATCATATAATGACTGTAGACTGGAATACTATGTAATTTTCTAGGCATCTAAGAATACTGTAATTTACACACCTGTGGCTGTGACGGACTAAACATGGCCTGGACATGCATGAAGAAGTATAAACAACATTATTTTCTGTTTTAATACATGAAATTTTGATTATATGTACTAAAAAATATATATTTTAATCCATAAATAGTCACATAGTACACACCTGCGGTGGATTCGGACTGAAAATCTGCATATCCAGTAAGAAAGGAAAAAAAATCGAGTGTTAATATAAGACAGTTACTTGCATATTTACTCATTTTGTTTTTAAAAGAATCAAATATAATTTTAAATTGGATTACAGGTAATTAAATTATTTACAATGAAAATAGATTTTATAACTACTTAATTATATCAGAATTAGTGTTTAATCATAATTCTATGTTACCTGTGGCTGCGTAGGCACCATAATCTGAAGCCGCAATATAAAACAAAAGCCATGTATTTAGAATTTCCAATATGCCATCAGTACAAATTACATTCATTATAAAAGATCAAAGTTACGAGAACGAAAATATTGTTGTAACTGTTATTATTTCTTTGTTGTTGTTGTGTAAAGACAATGTTTGTGTTCTTAGTTAAATTAAAAGATGAAAAATATTTTGATACTAATAAAGTTTCAAAAGTCACTAGACTGAACGTACCTGGGGCTGTGCGGGTGTGAATATGTTCTGAGGCAGCAGAAAAGTAGAGAATAAACTCATATAGATCATGATACATTATCTTTTAATAGCTTATTCAACTGTTAGCCAAAAACTTCCAATGGCATGGTCAGTACTCAGAATAAAATTTAATATATATATGTTATCTATACATATAATAAAAAACTAAATGGTATCTGTACATTAAATATTTTTTGGAAAATCTTATTGAAATAAACATTACTATCGATACAGAGACCGAATCTATAGTTTTTAGAATTTTTGTCTGTCTGTTTGTTTGTCTGTTAACGCATCACAGAAAAACTACTGGAGGGATTTTGATGAAATTTGGTATGGTAACAGCTAGTTATCCAGGTCAACATATAGGATACTTTTTACCGCATGAAAATATCTCATTTCTGAGAAAAAATACAAAAATTGCAATGTAAGAGTATACTACCTAAGAATTTGGTTTTTGGTCATCTGAACGCTGACAATGCTAGTAATATTATATTTTTCCATATCAGTATATGGATGTATTTGCATTACTGAAGTAAGATGGCCCAAGACTTCGTACTCCATTTATTTGTATTATAGTAGAAAATAAAATATTGAATTAAATTGGCTCTAACAGGAAAGAGTATATTTTTAAAGTTCCATCAAACTATATGATAAAATTATTATTTTTTAATATTGTAAATTAAATATTGAAATTGAATAAAAATTGTATTTTAACAAAGTACAATTTTAGACTTTGTTTTAAGATAACTGCTTTTATGGAAAATAAAGTATATTTAAATTTTCCCCATAGCTCAACAAGAAGTGTATATTTTCTTCAATAAAAATACATACCGGTGGCTGCTGAGGGTGCGGGATGAGAGTCTGAAAAGTTAAAAGCATACCGTTAGCTATGTATTTAACAAATGTGTTAAATGGAAGAATCATAAACATTTATTAAAGCAAAGATTTTTTGAATTACTCCCGATTGTCATATTTTATATTAGAAATATAACTCTTCAACTAGCATTTAATAGTTTTTTTGATGCAAATAATAGTTACCAACCTTTTTAGCAGAAGTTGGCGAAGACTCCATGCTGAGTTTACTCATTGCCTGGTTGAGTGATCTATTTGGTGTTGAAGCCGAGCGATTCTGAAACGTTTTTAATATTCATTGAAAGTTCTTATAATAAACATAATTAATATTAAAAGCCGAAAAACTAGTAATGAATTAATACTATACCATATATGTGGCCAATTTTGATTCTTGTGGTAACCCATTGGGTGGAGAGTATTGCAAGTACATTGAAGGGTCCATGGTTTCTAATAATATGACAGCCAGCTGATGGGATAGCAAAAACAAAGGATTAATGACATGACGAAGGCAAACAACGGGATCGACATTTTGACACGGACTTTATAGGTACTTACCTAATAATCAAGATGATTTAGTTTTTCATTTTCTACAAATGAAACAATCGATTAACGGTACTTGCGCACACAGTTCATGATAGCACACTACATTTGATTGTAAACACTTAAACACTTTGAGACCGAATAATTCTAAACCGTCGGTATTGACTACAATTTGTTATTAGACACAACAAGTCCATCGTACAAGTCAACAGAGCATAGAGTTCGTTCGTTTTATCGTTGATTTATTTGATATAACAAGAACACCCAATTTTCACAATAAAATATTGCAGCCGATGGGGACACGAATGCAAGTACATAAATGTATACAGTGTATAGATATAGAACAAAAATTGTATACGTGTTTGTGTTATGTATGTATAACTCCAATCCATAGACAAAATGAATTATGGGTCCAAATTAAGAAAACTGCTAAATGATCCATAGACTTATTGGGTAAATGAACGTTTTAACTTAGTAAAGTTATTAGCATTCTGGAAAGTGGAAACCTGTAAAAATACTTATTTATTGAAACGACGTTATAATATTATTTCCCAATCATTAAATCATTTAATAAAATGTCTACTTAATTAATATGAGCATTAAAGGTAGAAAAAAATTGAATTTAATTAAAAAAAGAGTCATTTATGACAAAACAATATTGAAAAAAAATTGTAACATGCGCATATTTTGTATTTATAACAATATTTAAAAGTATGTATTTTAATAACACATGGATACAAATCATATAGTAAGTAACTTTTCACCTACTTTTACGTCCTATACTAATGTCAAGACAATGAATTAGTATGGAGAGTAAGTATGGAGTAGAGGTTCCCAATATTATGTTGTTTTCTTAATCGGACCTGCCCATGTGGGTAAATGTATTTACATTTGCTAACAATGCAAAACATTAGCACCGATGCAAATCAAACTATCCACCTAGCAGCGTATTAAACTGTGCTGGCTGTCAGATGTACGATACGCCACTACGTTCGCGTTATTATGATTAAATATAAGTAAATAATACAAACTATGAGACTCTACTATAATACCATGCTATATTTAAGTTCGAGCAGCGCCGGATTCAACCTTATCGCTCCTGGGCATAGTAAAAAATGTCGCCCAATTATCGAAATTAGCCACAAAATGTGTAAAATCTTGATAGAGTTTATTTATTTAGTTTTAATTAATTTTTTGAAAGATTAAATAAATAATTTATAATTGATTTAAATTTTCGATATCGCGAAGAGAATACTTTTTTCACCATTCGAATTTTACCGCCCCTAAAAATTTACCGCCCAGGGCACTAGCTCCGAATGCCCTAGTCACTAGTGTAAATCCAGCGCTGAGTTCGTGTATTAAAGTATAAATAAAATAGTGTAAACTATTATATAACTATAACGAAACTCAAGAGAGCAATATTTTTTTCGTTATATCAGCGAAGAAAAAAACTTAACCGGTTTTTAATCACAACAGTTTTTACTATGTATGTGACCTACCCTACCCCAGCCTGCAAATTTATGATATTTGCAATGAAAAAAATACTAATCGATAGATTTTCAATAGCTCAATTTAACTACGTAGCCCTTTCAAATTGCTCACCTTTAATTATTTAATTAAAAATCAATAAAGTCTTTGAAAAAAAATTAATTTATCTGTATATTCAAACTCCTATATCTTTTGATGTATACAATATTTCAAATTGCTCAAAGTTCTAAAACACTGCTCAAGTTGCATTTGTAATTGCTCAAGTAGAGTTTTTACCAGCTCCACTTTCGCTGATTATTAAATAATTAAAAGTATAGTTGTAATAAATGTAACGTTGGTTAAGTGAGCGTGCGCATGCGCACCGCGCATTGTCGGTCGGCCTCGGCGGGCTTGTACAATCGTTCCAATTCAACGTCTTAATTCTGTTTCTCGGTGGATTTCTTTAAATTTATTGAATTTATGAATTATTCACATTACGTGATTCCACTTCAGATATTATAACATAAAGAACAGATCTGGAATCTACCAATAAATGAAAATTAATACCAACAGATAAATTAAGACAAAATCTTATGTTCAAATGCTTATTCTATTAAGGTAATAGCTATGACAGGGATCATTAGTAAAATGTTATTAACATCAATACAAGACGGAACTTTTTTTATTTTTAAATATACATATAGTTTAATGACATTTTTATTTCAAAGAAACAAACTGCATGAATATAAACTGCCTTTAATATAAAGGAATTTTGAACTCTGATCAGCAATCAATAATTTAATAATACTGCTACGATCCTTTTTAGCTCCTGGAAGCGCCACAAACATTCCATCTCTTGATGCTGAGCTGATCGCCTCTCGGATGTTCCATCTCATTTTCAACAGCTTCGTCTCACTCTTTGACTCCATCTCATTAGAGCCCTTAGTACCGTCCTCTTTTTCCTGATTAATTTAGCGGCGATGTTTCATTTTTCTTAGCGGGGTCCAGTTGTGGTCCGTTTACCGGCATTTATGCTGTTTTCCTCGCCCGAGCGAGACAAGGATTTCTCGTCGTCCTCGTCATCGTTGATTATGCAGAGGAGGTCTGATTCTGAAACTTCTTGGACTTCTACGTGTGTACCTATTAAAATAACAATTGATATTGTACATTGAAAATACTTGTATAGAGTGTGATCTTGAATATCATAAAGAAGATAAAGACATGCGTACCTTTTAAAGGCAATATGGATTCAAAGTTTCAACGAGCTCCTTTAGAAATTTATCATTCTTCTCACTGCTTGCGACCTCAGTGGTTTATAACTTAGTTAGACGATGTACAGAAGTACAGCGTCAACTCTGGTCTTGTCACCGGTTGCATAGTGCAGGGAGAAAATCGCCAATATTCATCAGCATCAAAATATTATTTAGCTCGTGACTCATGAGTTTTTTATAACTGAAAAGTTTTATTGTTTGTGTTCAATGTAAAATAAGACATTATAAAGCTAAATTTTCAAAACCGACTAGAATTGATTTCAACAAATTAGTTTCGTTTGCAATGCGCAAAATACCTGAACACGTGAAAATCATGCCCTCGCTTATCCGCCGTCATCAACAGTGCGCCGGTCTGATCAAGGTCATGACCACGATAGCTTCGCTGTGCGCGGCAAAGTGTGCCACGATGGTCTCTATACTGCCATCATCTGTCTATTTATATTTATTTAATAATTAAGGAAAGTGGAGCTGGTGAGAACTCTACTTGAGCAATTACAAATGCAACTTGAGCAGTATTTTAGAACTTTGAGCAATTTAAAATATTGTATATATCAAAAGATATAGAAATTTGAATATACGGATAAATGAATTTTTTTTTCAAGGACTTTATTGATTTTTAATTTTATAATTAATGGTGAGCAATTTGGAAGGGCTACGTAGTTGAATTGAGCTATTAAAAATCTATCGATTAGTATTTTTTTCATTGCGAATATCATAAATTTGCAGGCTGGGGTAGGGTAGGTATGTATGTGTTTGATAATTAAGTTCTTTTAAATACAATATGTAGTCTGTATTTCACGTATGTTGATTCTCGACTTGAAGTGCCCACTTGAAAAAATATGAATTATAAATAATGTAATTAATTTCAATCTTTTAGTTTTTACAAAGTCAAGGCAACCTTGCTTAGGTGTGGAAAGTATTCAAGAAGATGGATACAAATCTTTTAAGTTTTACTTAAAGGTTTTCGGTCCTTTACAAAATCAAATTTATTAGTTACGAGATTTTTAATTGTTTCATTACTCAAATACTTAGAAACTTTGTAACAAATAAAAAAGTATGTGGGTCATTAACTGAACTATTATATTATGAGATTATTATATGTATAGATTAGTCATTACTGACACAGGTAACTTGTAAATCAATAATCAAACCGTAATTATTGCAGAAATATAAAAAAGGCAGGGTTCCCTGAGATTAAATAGAATGAACGCTTCCATTTAAAAAAAAGGAGAACAAAGGCTGTGTTTATTATTATTCGAAGCAATAACATAGATAAATGCTTATTATAAATATTTTTATTATTACGAGTATAGAAGGGCGTAATATTATTGTTTTCCGAATATAATTACTTCCTTAAAGATTTCTTTGTCTGTGGGCTACTATGTGTCATTTTGTATTTGTCATATCAAATAGTATTTGTCAATGTCAGATATATTTGTTGGAAGTTTAAAAGTCACTGCTGCGATCTTGTTTTGTGTATTTTATTTTGCTACAACGTTTTCCTGTAGACATTTTAACGTTTATACAATCTTTATTAATTTCAAAGAATTTAATATAGTACAGGTATTATTTAGAGTTAAATAGAGTTTAACTCGTTTAAAATCGTGCGTCATAAAGCAATCATCTCAAAAAAATAATTTGATTATAGGTGCGTCTAATTATTACGAATCTTAGATAAGTGCTTATTTAATGTATGTTGTTGTGTTTATTTGTTGTTTCCATTTTTAATTTTTTGTAGGCAGATTCTTCGTCATCATGGAAGCGTCCTACCAGGGAGGTGTGACGTTCGAAGATAACGATAAGTTTCAGCAACTTTCGCAAACAATAGCGAGTAATATTAAGAAGATATCGCAAAATGGTTAGTAGTATTTTTTATAACAATAAAATTATTAGTAAAATTATAAACAGGTAACTTTTCAGACATCTTTATTTCTTATCATATTTCCTTATCATCCACAAATTTAGACATAATTTTTATGTTAAATTGTTTACATACAATTTTCTTTATTGTCAGTAGAAGATTTAAAATGTCATTTCTTTATAATGTAGTATCCTCAATGTCCAAGATGGTCAATCAACTGCAGACTCCACAGGACTCTCAGGAGCTCAGGAGTCAGTTGTAAGTACAAACTGTTTTAAGTCTTTTTCTTTTAGAATAATATTAAAACAATCTAAATATTGAACTAATAGGTACACTATTGACCGATATATATATAGCAACAAGCTTAAAATATATGACAACATAATTGTGTATATTGTTTTTAGACGTCAAATTCAAAACTATACTAAAAAGCTGGCAAAAGACACATCTTCAATGATAATGGAATTGATGAGACTAAGAACTGACATACCGGCCAATATTCTCACAAGAGACAGGCTCAGTGATGAATACATGGCCACATTGAATGCTTTTCAGGTAACATTATTTATGAGTATTTATCCATTAAAATTTTACACAATTCATTTTTACACTCGTATCATTTCTAGGCTTATCCTGATAAATTAAATATTAGTTGCATGTTGGATTAGTTGTTGCAAATAACAAATATGTGTCACTGGAAATGAAAACAAAAGATATGATGTTTTATTTTGAACTGAAACTTTCTATAGGCAGGTTTTGACGGGGAGAGTAAAATCATGTAAGTCGTCATCAACATGGTCACACGACATGTTAATGCTAACACTTAAAGTGCCAATAGATGTCAAAACTAGATAAATGTAAACAGTTTTAATTTACAATTTTTATTTTTAGATCAAACAATTTGAATATCCAAAAGTAACAACTGTTTGTTTGTAGTTTTAAGTTTTCACTTCTGTCAACAGTCCTCATGACTGCTTTTATTTTTACTCCTGGTATTGTTTCTACTAAATTATGCTGCATCTAACAATTCAATGAATATTGTACATATTAAAATCGAACATAATTAATTTAAAATTTGAGAAGTTGTTAATTATATAGGATGAATTTTACACACGCAAAATAGGCGCATAGTCGTCGAGTTGCGGAAAACAGCCCGAACATACCATACCATACCATATAGGCTGAGATTATATCTGACATTGTACAAAACCCCAAAAAAAGGATGTTAGAGTAAAATTTATATTTCTCCTGGTAGTAATCTAACAACAGTTAAAATAACAGCTTTTTACTAAATGCATATGAAAGTATATATGCTACTTATAATAAAAATACTATTTTAAAATTTTTGTCTGTCTGCTTGTTCCGGCTAATCCCCGAAACTCCTAACCAACTTTGACGCCACTTTTACTGGCAGGTAGCCGATGTTATAAGGACAAAATTAGGCAACTTTTATTTAAGAAAAATAATTAGGGTTCTGTGCAAATAAATTAAAACCCATAAAATTTCGAACAAAATCCTCGTACCTAAATGAATGAAGCGAGATTAAGTTGCTATACTCTATTCGCGGAGTGAACCATGCAAAGCGCTTTCCCTGTCTCACATTAGCATACAAACTGTTAAGGACAGAAAACTGTCTAGTTCCGCTCAGTAATGCTTGCAGCTGGTTTGACATAGGGCTCGTTCATGTTGCTAATGCTTTAGTGAGGAATAATTAATAATTTCTAATAAAATAAAATCAACATACAAATAAAATCAACATCTAAGTTAAATTAACTATTTTTAAATATTTGTATACATTATTTATTAATTTCCACTTTCCGACGTATCACTGTCATCACCTACATTGATAATAAATCAGGTAACACACGAGAGACGTCTGAAGGGTACGGAATGCAACAACGGAAATTATAACTTGCATTGTGATCGCGGCCTAAGCGTCTTATCTGCAACTAATCACGTGTAAGCGCAAAATCTCAGTGCTTGGTTCATTCGGCGAATACACTATAGTATTGATATATAACAACAGGGAGATATCATTTGTAATTTTTTATGCAAAAATGTATTAGTCCATTTTCTATAAAAAATATTTTAAAATCAGGTCGCCTTTATGCTGACAGCTGTGCACTATCAGTCAATAAAACAATTATCTTGGTCATGGATTGATAAAATATATTATTCTATTCACATATATATATTTATATAAGTGAGAGTAACATTCAATTCCCATTTAAAAACATTAATTATTAAAATATATGATGTTTTAGCCAATTATTTTAATTATAAAGTAACTGTATTCGCGATATGAACTTCATTTATTTTTGTTGATTAAGAATGAATTAATGTAAATTTTGATGGATATATGTTGTGATATACTTATCGCATGTCATTATATGTCGCTTTTAATTTAATTAATCAATAGCCTTCTGGCACAATATTACGGTGTGCCCCGTTATCGCTTTCAATGTCGGAGATGACAAGTTCGATTCTTGTGCGGGGTTTACGTGTACACTATGTCTATGCTTATGGTTTTTTTTGTATGGATTTAGACATTGTAAATAATGAAGCTCTCTAAGTGAAATGAATTCAGAATCGGGCCAATAGTTCCCGAAATTGCTTTGATTTATTAGTGTAGTTAATAATAGACACATATTTTATCTATACATATGTATAAATAAAATTGAGATGTCTGTTTGTAATGTCAAAATAACAGTTTTTTACTAAATGCATATGAATATATAATACGGTACCTATAAGAAAAAAAAACTATTTTTAAAGTTTTTGTTTGTCTGTTTGTTCTGGCTTCCGATTGATTTTGACAAGACTTTCATTAGCTGATAGCTAATGTTATAAGGAGTAACTTAAGCTACTTCTATTTTAGAAAAAGATTTAGGGATTCGCGCAAAAACAAATTCCATGTTATGAACCAAATCGAAAATTAAGTGAAATACTCATCATTTCGTTGATGTGTACTTCTGTTTGTTTGTTGATGGGTTTATGGGTTGGATATTTCATGGGGCAGACAGTAAATAGGGCACTTTACTAGCGTCGGTCTCGACTGCTAAAGCTGTGACCATGGGGAATTTGATAACTTAGTTATGAGACTAGATTAGAATGAGAGAGTGATATTGTCGTTCTGGAGATACGGAAATATATGATGGATGTTATCTATGGGGTATTTGTTTATCTATCTTTGTATAGCTGTCTGTATAACAAACAGACCACACGATATTTATATTGGATAGTTTTAATTAGGGTTCCATACTCAAAGGATAAAACGGGACTCTATTACTAAGATCCGATGTCCGTCCGTGTGTCGGTCTGTCTGTCTGTCTGTTTGTCTGTCTGCCTGTCACTAGGCTGTATCTCATGAACGGTCATAGTTAGACAGTTGAAATTTTCACTGATGACGTATTTCTATTGCCGCTATAGCAACAAATACTAAAAAGAAGAATAAAATAAATATTTAAGGGGGCTCCCATACAACAAACGTGATTTTTTTGCTCGTTTTTGCTCGATATTGATAACGGCAACAGGTAGACGCTTGAAATATTCACAGAGTAGTTATATATTCACTTATAATTAAAATAAAACAAATATTTAAGGGTGGCTCCCATACAAAAAACGTGTTTTTTTGCCGTTTTTATACATAATGGTACGGAACCCTTCGTGCGCGAGTCTGACTCTCACTTGGCCGATTTTGTTATTAATAAATTTATGTACAGATAGTAATTTTACTTTAAAATGTCATTTCCAGACGACCCAAAAGGCGGCGGCCCAGAAGTCCAAGGATGACGTCCGTAAAGTGAAGGCCCAAAGCATTAACATTGGGGATCCCTTTGCTATGAGCAGTGAGTACAGAAACTAACATCTATACATATAATAAAATTGTAACTAAGTCGAATTTGTACATTAAATATTTTTCGGAAAATCTTATTGAAATAGACATTATTATCGATATAGAGGCAGAATCTATAGTTTTAAGAACTTTTGTTTGTCTGTGTGTCTGTCTTTTACCGCATCACGGAAACACCACTGGAGGGAATTTCATGAATTTTGATATGGTGATTGCTGGTTATCCGGGTCAACATATAGGATACTTTTTACCGTGGGAAAATATCTCATTTCTGAGAAAAAAATACAAAAACTGCATTGTAAGAGTATACTAATATGTAAAACCCAAGAAATTGGTTTTAGGTCATCTGAACGCGGGCGGAGTCGCGGGGAATGCTAGTAAAACATATAATTAATAAAAAAACATATCTTCATCAACATTGTTATACAAAAATAATTCATTACAGATAATATTATTTGTTTATGTAACTATTTTTCTTTGGAAATATTTCATATAGTTATTTTCTTTTAATTTAATACAAAAAGCTATTTTAATCTACTCTTCGTCCAGTTATAATTTAAAAGGCTATAACTATTTTTGAGTAATTTTTGAACAAACAAACATTTTGCTTCCATTATATTTATTCTAATCTATAAGCTGAAATACTTTATTGAAAATATGATTAATTATTATAATACTAGCACTGTTAATTTAATTTGGTTGATTTGTCTGATTATTGCGAAGTGGAAAGCAAGCGAAAATATAAAAAAATATACTAATAAAATATCTAATAATATGAAACCTTGTGCAATCAATGCCTTACGAATAGCTTAAGTTTCAAATGTTTTAAAAGTTTTAATAAATACAAGTAAGTATTTCAAAATCATGGGCATTTCAATTATACAGATATGGCTTCAACAGTTCTACTTAAACCACTGTTATGTAAATGCTTGTTCTGAGTAAATGACTCGTGACCGACGTTATTGGGCTTCCAATATATTTTTATTCGTTGGAAAATAGTTTCTGTTTTGTATGATAGTAAAGTATATTTTTAATTAACAGCTACACTGTGACATATATTTATATTTGTAGGCATTGTAAAACTTCAGATTTGCAACGATTTCTAGGCTCTTGCCTAGGACACGGCGAGGAGTCAATAGGGCAGGCGGTATAGTTATAGGTTTAGCATGGAAAATATGAAAATGCTTATTGAAATATATGTTAGCAATTTATTACACGATATAGTATTAAAATAATTATTATACTAATATTATAAAGAGGTAGAGTTTGTTTGTTTGCTTGTTTATAGGCTATAGGCTATATATTATCATATAATATATAATATATTCCATACTAACTGTTGAAATGTACCTAGGGACAAACCCGAGCGAAGCGAGGGTGAGTGATTATCAAGTATTCTATTTGGTTGAAAGATTATTATCATAATACTAATACGTTTAAGGCAAAATATTTTTTGATCATCAGACATATTCTTCTAGATTCTATCAAATTTTCTCGTTTATATTATTAGTAGGATATAATGTATGTCTGTACGTCTGTCTGTAAGGTGGAGGCAGGGACTCTGAACATGACCTCAACAAGCAAGAGCAAATCACGGCACAGACGGAGCGCGATCTCCAACAGCTGGAGGAGCGTGAGCGAGATGTTCGGAAGTTAGAGGTATTATTAAATATAAATATGTTAGTACATTAACACACAGCACTATATAGTTCCATGACAAGCTACGAGGTTTGTGTTTATATATATATATATATATATATATATATATATATATATTTGAATGCAGAGCAAACATTCGTGCTCATCACACAAATGAATGCTCCCATCGGGACTCGAACCCCCCGACCGCTGGTAAAGCAAGTAGTAGTTACCGACTAACCGAGCCAAACGTGTCGTCAAAATATAATATATGTATAGATCAAATGAATTTATGTTTATTTTATTATCTGTCACCGGTTTCGATACCTGTTGTTTTATATATTTTGGTCTATTGATAACGTGCTTGCTTGGAAAGCTAAGTGAAACGGGTTCTAACCCCTTATTAGTCATTTTCAAAATGGTGACGACTTTGCTTTACGGTGATGTAACACAATATGAGGAAACCTGCAGGTTTGAGAGAACCTAATTGGTTCTCAAAACTCTTGTGAAGTCCGCCAACTCGCACTTGGTCAGTCTGACGGATTGTATGCTAATAAAAGCGAGGGAGCATTTATTATCAAATTAACCTATCAAATGCACCTAGCTGACATTTTGTAAATAATATCGACATATTACATAATTATAAGAATAACTTGTATTTCCATATCAGTAACACACAAGTGAACTACAAGTCTTGTGCATATATCAAAAAGCTAGCACATTCCAATACGATACCTTAATCAAATTAAATTCTAAATAAAATTATCTTTTCGGTTTATTTCGCGTATTTATTTTGATTTTTGGTTCCCGACGTTTCGAATGCTTTACAGCAATCATAGTCACGGGAGAGACTGAGGTGTTAGACGTTACGAAGGCGTTATATACTTGTTACAGACAACCTTATTTATATAACCTTTTCCTTAGTCTCCCCCATGGTTGCTGTAAAGCATTCGAAACGTCAGGAACCAAATATTAAAATAAATCTGCGAAATAATTCGAAAAGATAGTCTTATTTAAAATGTCAAATATTCGCGTAAATCTAAGAAAGTTTTATGTCAAATTAAATTCTTCACACAAAATCTCAGAATGAAGGTATAACAAGGAGTTAAAACAATCACGTAACATAACCATTGCAGAACGACATAATGGATGTGAACCAGATCTTCAAGGAGCTGGGTACGATCATACACGAGCAGGGTGCTGTGGTGGAGTCCATCGAGGCCAGCGTTGAGACCGCTGCCCATGAAGTGGAAGCAGGAATCCATGAGTTGTCTCATGCTGCTAACTATAAGGTTTAAAATAATAAAATGTTGTATTGGTAGTGTGAGCTTATACAACTTTGTAGGTCAATGATTGAGTTAATGTAATGTAATGTAATGTAATGTAAGGAGGACTCGTTTTCCGCACTTAGACTCTCTTCTGGTCCGTTGTGCGTGCGAATCCTGGCTATATTAGCCAGCCTAGCTCCGCCCAGAAGCGCAGAAGTTTCCTGGGAACTTCACAGGCTTCGCGGAGCGACCTCACTGGTCCGAGGATTTCTTCACGTTGAGAACTTACCGCTACGCATTCCAGGATTACGTGGGCAGCTGTTTCTTCAGCGCCGAGGCACCCTCTGCACAGAGGGGTGTCCGTTGCGCCGATGTTATATAGGTGTTTGTTCAAGGGACAGTGGCCCGTTATCGTCCCTATCATTATTTTGAGATTTGTTCTATTGAGGTTTATTAAGCGTTTTGTAAGTCGTGGGTTTACTGCAGGCAGAGCTGATCTGATGATTGATTGAGTTATATTTCTCACAAGATTAGTAAGAGCAAGCAAGAGCATTACATCTGTGTATGATTGGATTTTTAATTTATTTCATATTATGCATTATTAAAGTGAAAACTTCTATAGGCAGGTTTGGATCGACGTGGTCACGTGACGTGTCACGCTAACACTCAGAGTGCCGACGGATGTCAAAACCAGATAATATCAAACAATTTGAATATCTAAAGATAACTGTTAATTAAGTTTTAAGTTTTCACTTCTGTCGGCAGTACTCATGAATGCTTTTCTTTTAATAATTGTAAGCTAAATATGGCTGTGCTGATGATTTGTCTGCCTGTTTAATGAATGAGAAGAAAAAATATAGTAAATATATTATATAAGGTAATAGAAAAATCCTATTCTAAATCCTATTAATAATATAAATCTGGAAGTTTCTGTATTTTGTTGCTTGTTTCCCATCTACCAAAAACACAGAGACACACAGGGGATTTTTAAACCCAGCAACATTTCTCCATGGTTTATTGGTTTACTTTAAAATGTTATTTGAATAACATTTTATGAAGTTATCTATATATGTCACATTTCAGAAAGTTAAAACAATCTGTACATATAATAACATTTTAACTGAATCAAATCTGTACATTAAATATTTTTTGGAATTTTTTTGTTTAAATACTATAGATATAGAGGCCAAATCTATATTATTTAGAATTTTTGTTTGTCTGGGAATGCATCACAACAAAACCATTGAACATAATTTAATGGAATTTGGTATGATGGTTATCTGGGTCAACATATAGGATACTTTTTACCCTGGGAAAATATAGATATCGTATAATATATTTCTGAGTCGAATCTGTACATTAAATATTTTTTGGAAAATCTTATTGAAATAGACATTATTATCGATACAGAGGCCGAATCTATAGTTTTTAGAATTTTTGTCTATCTGTTGGTCTGTTTGTCTGTTACCGCATCACAGAAAAACCACTGGAGGGATTTTGATGAAATTTTGTATAGCGATATCTGGTTATCCGGGTCAACATATAGGATTTACCGCGGGAAAATGTCTCATTTCTGAGACAAAAAAACAAAAACTGCAATGTAAGAGTATACTAATATGTAAAACCTAAGAATTTGGTTTTCGGTCATCTGAACGCGGGCGGAGCCGCGGGCAATGCTAGTCTAAGCGTTAAAAATAAAAATCTTATATACAATTATTGCTGCTGGCAGCAAAAGTCAAGGAACATTAGTATTAAATTTTTTATTTTATATTGTACCATGTTTCAGAACAAACTAAGGAAGAAGAAGGTGTACCTGGCGCTGATCCTCCTCATCATCGTCTCCATCATTCTGATCATCGTATTCAATCGCTGAACAAATGAAATGGCATTGTTTGCATTTATATATAATATTATATATATATATATTCGATTTGGTCTTCTATGTACTATAGAATGGCTGTCATGTGTATACAATATACATCTCCATAATGCTAATAATGTAATATAAAATGAGTGTTTGTTTCATATTTGAACGGACGCAAAGGCTTTATCACAATATTATTAATCAAATCAACTTAAATGTCAATGTCATCTGTCAAAAATAATAACTCAACTGTCACCTGTCGAAATGACATTATAAGTATTGTAAAATTTTATTATTTTGTAGTGAAGCTCTGATTATGGTAATAGCTTATTATTGCATGTAAAAACGAATTGCTATAATATATACACAATAATACTTATGTTACACCCAGCAATAACTGTAGCGTGGTAGTGTAGATCATTTTATACTTATTATGTTTATTGAGTACGTTTAGTGTATTCGTTGGGTCACTTGGCTAAGTGCGCTAGTGTCGAAGTAAATAAAAAAATATATTGCACACATCGAAGTTTATATTAGACTAGCGACCCTCTTTCATCCCTGTTTTCACCCCCTTAAGGGATGATCTCCGAGATGAATAAATATCTTATGTCCTTCCCAGGGTCTCAAACTATCTTCTTACCAAATGTTATCTAAATCGTTTCGATAATTTTTGAGTTTATTTCTTACAAACAGTTACAACTAATAATCATTTGATGACACACCGACAGCAGCGCCACCCATCGGGTCTAATTGAGTTTTGAAACCATCCAGCGACCTATTGAAATACACACACAAAATTTAATCTGAATTGGTCCAGCCGCTTGGGAGGAGTTAGGTGACTAACACACATACAAAAGAATTATATATAGTAAGATTATTATATTTAAATTAAGAATTCTTTTTGCACTGCTATCGTTTTATATGCAAATGCGAATTGGCAAAGCGAATTTATTTTTAATACTCTGTACATATTATAGTTAGTCTGATTCTGGTATGGGAAGTGTTAAGAACTTATGACCTAATCTAAACAGGGCTATGACCTTTTATAACTTTGTACTATATACATCGCAATTTAACCCCAAAAAATGATAAAATACTATAACTATCTAAGATATATTTTGTAGTATATAAGAGCAGCGTGACGGGATATACCATTGTAAATACAAATCGATAATTTTCACAATTCCAACTTATAATAACGAACTTATATACAAATATTGTTCTCAAACGCTTGCTTAGTGCTAGTTTTTTTATTATAAACTAGCAAGCGACTCGCCCTCGCTTCGCTCGGGTTCGTAACTAGGTATATTTTAATTTTTTGAGCGGAACCCTTATTCTTTTACTTAAATAAAAGTAGCCTAAGTTAATCCTCATAACATCAACTACCTGCCAGTGAAAGTCCCGTCAAAATCGGCCCAGCCGTTTCGGAGATTATCCGGAACAAATAGACAGACATGCAAATAAACGGACAGACAGACAATTTTTTTTTTAAATTGTCTATCTTATTAATATCGTATATAATTCCATATGCATTTAGTAAAGAGCTGTTATTTTGGCATTACAAACAAACACTTTTCCATTCTACATGACATTGGCTAAGTAATCTATTCTTTGAAGCTGTAAACAAGGAAATGTATTGAAACAAATCAATGATTCAGTACGGAGATACGTTTTATTTTTGAGTTTAAATACACGCTATGCCAATGTGCTTATTGAAAGTAACTTTTAGATACACTAGGTATTTATCAGAAGAATGACATAGATTTAATATGCCACCGAGAATCTCTTAGTCTATGGCAAACTTTGTTTGTATAATAATTTATAATATTTTTATATCTTTATGTATAGCGGTCACATAATCAATAATCAATATTATTTTTGAAAAAAATAATAATTTTTATATCAGCTAAAAGTATTATTTGCTATTAAAAAGTGAAATTGCCGAATTTCAAATGAAATTACAGAATAGTAATCGGTTTTTATCACAATAACGTGCTATTATAAAATAACAGTGCAAAAAGACCTCTTCATAAAAATATTTGAAACTACATTTTTTTGAAGTGAACTCTTGTATAGTATAGGTTTGGATGGGGAGTAAATTCACGTAAGTCGTCATCGACACGGTCACGTGACGTGTTAACGCTAACACTCAGAGTGCCGATAGATGTCGAAACCAGATAAATGTAAACAGTTTTAATTTACTTTTAATTTAAAATCAAACAATTTGAATATCCAAAAATAACAACTGTTTGTTTATAGTTTTAAGTTTTCACTTCTGTCGGCAGTCCTTATGACTGTTTTTTTTTCTATTATATATATAGTCGACGTCAACCCAACCATAAGCAATACGAAATTTATATATATGTAAAATATGTACGTCTGTAGAGATGAAAGTCAAAATAATGTTAGGTTTATATATAAACAAATACATCACAGTATTTACTATTCAAAGTGCACCGCTAATTGTTAGCAAAATAGAGGTTTAATATATGTATAGAAACTTTAAAGCCGAGCGAATACATTATTAATTCAATTATTACTTGTTTTTGTCCCGGTTTTACTTGCGTATTTATAAAGTTTCATTATCTCTAAGACAGTCATGGATTTATATGGAAATTCAGTTTGTATCGATAGAACGATAAGATTACAATAAAATAGACATTAAAATCCAGTCCAGTTCCCGAGCTATACTGTAACAGACGGACATACAATTTCTACTCTTTTTAGTTTTTATAAAATACTAACATTATTTAAAGTATTGTTTAAAAATATTACAAATTTATTTATTTTACTATGTATGTAGTGATAGCTTTGCTCGCTTTGCTATGGTGGGATTGACTGTCAACATTTGCCTTTTGATATTATTGGTTTATTTAACATCACATAAATTATTTGATATAATTAAAAGGTATCATTGATATATAGAAACATAGATACACATTTCTTAACAGATATCTCTTCGAAGTGGCGTCGACATGTGACGGACGTTAAGTCAAGCCAAAGAAGTTCTAACAAATTCGAACTTACGAACACCACATAAAGTACTTTTTTAAACGAAATTTTTAATTTTTTCATCCGAAAATGAATGAACGAAAGAGGATTCAAAAAAGCGCACAATTTCGATTTTGCGCTTTTTTTTTGGGCACTTTTGAGACGCTACTTGTGTATCTTGAAGTTTTTGTATATCAATGATATGTATATGTGTGTAATATGTACATATGTACCTATAAATCAACTTCTTTTGACGCTTTTTTGTATAAAAGCTTAGAGGAATGCGCTTGATCTTAGTTTCATATATAGTTACTAGAAACCGATTGTCTGTAGTATAGAAATGTCAAAATGGACATCTTCTAATTACATGAATAGTAACGTCCACCAAAAAGGTATTAGATACACAATCCCATGCCAAAGTTCTCTTAAAACTGATACCAATTGTGTTTATGTATATGTTCCAGTTGAAATAAATATACAACAATGTAAATTGAACCTTTAGTGCAATGCTTAAAGTTGTTTTCAGAAAAATGAAATTAAAAGCGCGCTCAAATGTTCAAACGAGCGCTCATTCGGTGAGGACATATTTTTTCGCTGATTTGTGTATCTAGTACTTTTGTGATCGATGAATATTAAACAATAATAACATTGCTTTTTTTCATATTAATTAATAAAATTATTAATAATCAAATATACATAAATTGACTAAATATGATTGTGTTATTTTATAAAACGTCAGTGGCCCGTTTTACTAATTATCAGGAAACTAAATAAATGTAAGATCTTATAGAGTACATAGAATATTTGACATTTTAAATAAAACTATCTTTTCGGATTATTTTTTTATTCTTGTCTGTAACAAGTATATGAGACGACCTTTAAGACGTCTAAAACCTTGTCTCTTCCGTGACCATAATTGCTGTACAGCATTCGAAACGTCGGGAACCAAAAATCTAAATAAATGCGCGAAATAATCCGGAAAAATAGTTGGTTTTATTTAAAATCCTTCTTTTCTTTTATTCAACTTTCATTCTATTCCATTGTTAAGATTATATCATACATCTCTTATTCTTAAAATATCATATCACGCATACTCATCTCGCAAATACCACATAAACAAACTTATACGATATGTGCCATGTGCCTTGCTATCGTACAGTATTTAACTTAGTATGGCTTTAAGTATATTTACGTGGGTACGGAACCTTAAAAAATCTTGTTAATTTGTCCTACTTGCACACAAGGTTGATATGAGTGTTAGCATAAAAACTGTTTAGGTCTATTTTCTCGGTACTTGTAATGTTCCCCGTGGTATGTCAGTCTTGATACAAGGGTCGCTAGTTACACGTCTTCATAAATATATTTTCTTTTAAATTATTTTATTGTTAGATTGATTTTGAAATAATGTGATTACCTGTAAAAAGACGTCTGAAACCTCAGTATCTCCCGTGACCATAAGCGCTGTAAAGCATTCGAAACGTCGGGAACCAAAAATCTAAATAAATCTGCGAAATAATCCGAAAAGATACATACATTAGAAAGCCTTTGATCTTAATGGAAATGCCGCCAAATGTAAAGGTTGTCAAAATACCTATTTGGTTTTGAAGTTAAAGCGCTGTAGTGCCATCTCGTGGAAAATTACAGCTGTACTTATCAACCCCTAAGCAAGTCAAGTAAGAACGACAGTTGGGAGCGTCGTCAGACCCGGGGCTCGGAAACCAGTTCAATTTTTAAACCGGTTTTGGTCATTGACCCAAAGGCTTTTCGGTTTAAGGTCTCGGTTGCGTTCTTTAACCGGTTACAGACTGGAAGACACTTTTTGAAGAGTTTAAGTTCCATGATCGAAATTAATCGCTTCAAATGAGTTTTTGTGCGTTTACATTTGATAAATCTTTGGTAATGGTAAATTTCTTAATAGAAGGATATATACACGTTAAACGTTTCTTACTTATTAATGAATTAACCGGTTTATTTCGGTATCAAAACCTAAGTGTAACCTAAGAATGAAAGTGTAACTCTAAGAATAACCGATAACCATTATTATATTCGGTTAATTAACCGGTTAATGAACAAGTAATTAATTAACAATTACATAACCGACATTAACCGTTTTTAAACCGGTTTCGAGCCCTGCGATTGACGAGTGTATGGTTTAGTAGACTGGTTTAATATAAGAATACTTGTACCTAATTCTGATTAGTTGTTATTGTATTTTGTAACAACAAAAGGTAGATGAAAATACTTTAATGTTATGGTCGTTTTGTTTTTAAATAATTATCTAAATATTTTAATTTAGTTATCTAATATAATCACAGTGGAGATAAAAACAAATTGCTGAATGAACAAATAAATAGGTAAAGTTACCGTAGTGTCAAATCCGGTCACGCTTTAGTGATAACGCTTTATGTGTCATCTTATAATCATTAATTGTATTTGATTCAAATTGTAAGAATTGAAATATTTATTTATATGAAAAACTTAAGAGAAAATCCAATGGGGAATATGCGTGTGGTTTAAATAAAGGTGAAATATTTTTTTTTATTATCTTTATTGCTTCTGGATTAAGCCTATATCAATATTTGTAATGTAATTTCTTTTTGAGTAAGAAAATAATTATTAAAAAATGCAAATAAAGGTGGGAAATTCAAAGTGGTTGAAACGCAACGCCATTGGTCAGACCGAATGTGACGTCAGAGTATGTCATAACAGCGATTAGCGATTTTGGCGCTACGAATTGTGTTGTCATTTTTCTGTGTATATCATACTGTGACGTCACGCCGAGCGCGCGAAATAGTGGGTGTTTGAAGTATTCGTATCGATTTTTTCGCGAATTTATTTTGATTTTTGGTTCCTGACGTTGCTTTGAATAATTAATATTATATTTTCTTTATGTTTAGATTTAGATTACTAATTAATTAAATTAAAAAATATGTAATAATTATAATAATAACAGCTAAAATTAAATAAATAATATTCCATATTTAATTATAAAACTTATTAAAATTATGAAAGTGTTTAAAATTAAAATTAACAAATATTGTACTATAATGTTGTACTTTGATACCAAATTTGAATTTTTGTTAATTTATGGGTAGGCTGTCTGTTACAACTATATAATGCTTTTGAGACATTTAACACCTCAGTCTCTCCCGTGACAATGATTGCTGTAAAGCATTCGAAACGTCGGGAAACAAAAATTTAAATATATTCGCGAAAAAAACCGAAAAGATAAGTTTTATTTAAAATTATATTAAATTTTAGTTTTTTGGATTTAGTTTTTTTTTACAATTATATAACGATGTAAGTTACTGTATAAAATATTAAAAAAATCACGCATATTCTCTCTTATCAATGTACATTGTACAGTGTACGGAGGTAGACCTCGATGTATTATATAAACATTATTGTTACTTGTATATTATTATTGATAGATAATCTAAGGAACTACCTGATCCCATGTTAGCATGTAAGTGTAGGAGACTACTCGACTTGGCATTGTCTAACTGAAATATATCTGTCAATGAGTATTCGTCTTGTTATTTACATGTTATTTGTAAATTGATTAACCCGGGAATCGAACCTGGCGATGCAAATTATTATAGTAACATATACCTACGCATAGACAAATTGTCTACAACAATATATAAGTAATATATGTCAAGTGAAAAAACAATCACAAATTGCTTATTTTATAAATTAGTTTAAAAATTTATTGCTAAATTAATTTTAATTCGACCAATACATTCTCTTTTTTATTAATTTTAAGATTGTATTTTAGGTTTAAAGAGCTTTTTTTCTCAACTTATTCTCAACAAGTGTGTATAGTCGCGATAGTGTACGGTTGTAGGATGGGGTATTGTAAATAAAACACCAATAATTATAAAATCACAGTTTAATATATAGTAAAATCACACAAATTAACATAAAGTATGAAAACATAACATTTTGCTTAAGAAGTTGAGATTCTACAAATAAATAGTATATTAATACAATTGTACTCCTACAAGCGGTAACGTCGGCGTCACGTCACGTGACACGCGGCACGCGTCACCGCGACACGCGACGCGCGCCAGCAGAGCTACAGACATCTACGGGGGTTACACCTCTGTCTACTCCGACACTCCTCGATGCAAGCAACTGAGTGGGAACTGACACGAAGACTTAAACATATTAGTAAAATAGTATTTAGAAAAGACCTCACTCGATGGTATCGATAGAATCGACCATAACACAACTCGATAGCGGATAAAGTACCGAATAAACTAGAATCAATGTTGAAATAACTTGGTCTTAGCATAGCACCCAGCGACGTGAACTCGCAGCCCCTCTTATCTAAGTATAAAGTAACTTTGCTAATAGTCTAAGCCGCTTCTCAAACTGTGCGGCGAGACCCCCTTCAGTTTTAATCAATTTTTAAATTAATTTTCCACCCCGCAATACCTCGGGAGGTGGGAGTCGCGACGCGCGTTTCCGAAGCGGTTCTCTAAGTGTTAGAAGATAGTAGGTGTCTACACGAATACTTGATAAATGCTGATAATGTAGATAAGTTGCATCTAAAATAGTCTTAATACCGTAGTGATATAACGTGCGCGGCGCGCCCACGTGCCCAGGATATCGTTATGGAAATGATAACAATTAATAGAAAAATATCCTGAAACGCCATTAAATTGTGGACACCATATTTATAAAAAGGTGCGCATTCAAAAGTTCGCCATCCCTGCATTAGTTCATAACCTAAGCTGTTGTCCCTTCGAGATATGTACACTTACAATTATCACCGGGCCCCGAGTCCCCGGCGCGGGGGCTTCGCGGGCCCCTCAGTACAAACCTTAGCATACTCTAAACGACCTTAACCGTGGGTCTCCACTCTAATATTCTTTGGAATAGGGAATGCAATACTTAGTCTAACTAAAAAAGTAATTAAAGCTAACATAAACTCAGTACAAGCTAGACCTTAACAGCGACAGTGTAACTTAACGAAACGTCTTAATTGACAGACAACAGATATGATAGTTGATGTTCTACGAGTAGAAACAAATGATTCTTAAAATAAATACTTAAACATAAAAAAGTAACATTAAAATAAAAATAAATAGTAACAGTCCCGTGTTCATAAACACGACGGAGTGATATTTTTAAATTATTTCAACAATATTAATTATCATCATTTATTATGAAGTAAAGGTTTCCAAAATAAATGCTCTTTAGAAAACTTGGTATACGGCGCAGTGGTACTTTGGACATAGACATAGGAGTCATCAGCCATGGGTCATGGTATACATTATACATATGTATAACAATACAACTGATGTCTGTTTATGAACACGTGTCCGGTGTGTCAGCGGAGCGGTCGGTGAGCGCGAGCCGGTGCGAATGGGAGGGATGTGGGGAATACCGTCTACACATAGTTTGCTAACTCCAATCTTTAACGTACGACAACTTAAACATATGCAACATAAATACGAATTTAACATTCTATATCTACAAAAACATAAACAAAACAATATTCTTTATTAAAATTGATAATGACTTAGTACCACAGCTTCGTTTGTTCTAAGTACAGACAAGATATTGTTGCTTACATAACGGTGGACGAAGTGAAGCAAATAAGAGTGTAGAGAGTCAGCCGGTGGCCGCGACAAGCGTACTGGAGTTAGCAATGCACTGGACGAGTGCGATTTAACAGACCACGGCCTCAGATATGGGATTCTCCGTGATGCGAATGACGGGCGAGTGGCGGCACGGACGACGCGCGTCCGACAGACGCCGGAACAGCACTATCTTTGTTGGCGACAGTGGCGCCACTGGAAATTGCACAATAAACAATCAATACACATCACTAGCAAATCGACAAGTGGTAAACTGCTAGTGTTTGCCACTTGTTGATTTGACATACGTTTGACAGGTGGTAAAGTATTTGTATGGTATACACATGCGACACGATGCACATTTCGTAGGTACTATTTAAGCGTAATTATATATTTTTCTGTATAAAAATAACTTTCATACATATATTTATTGTACCTAAAGAACAATACATTTTGATGTTATACGAGATAATATATAGATAGAATAGATTACCTGGTTAGGAATGACGCCTGTGTTGTTAATTACTCATACAAATACTATTACGTATTTGTTAGCGAGAATCTAACAATATAATAAAAGTGCTCTTTTAAGAATTTAAAAAATATTAAACGACGCCAAATCGTTTATTGAATCAAACATATAATTTTTCTATCGCCAAAAAGTAATTGTTAAAAACAAGATATTCATAATAAATATTATTGTAATATTAATGGTTATTGTTATTTTAAAACGTTCTACCTATTATAATTTAACTTTGAATTTATCAGCGCCTCCGTTTTTGTTTTGAAATAATTCATATTCTTTGGCCAAAATGGTTAGAAGCAAAGCGATTCTTAGATCTTTCTTTGAATTTCAAAATATTAAAATGTTCATTTTTATAGTTTTTATGGCGAATTTACAAAAAGAGCACTTTAAAAGTTAAAGAAATTTAATGAAGTATTATGATTAGCATTGATCATAATATGTGTGCCGTAAGATGAGACAATTTAGCTATTTTATTAAAATAATCGTACGCTTGTGAAATGAACTAAAGATTACTTATACTTAAGATTAAATGTAACCTATATGTATAGAAAGTAGCTTATACAAGTTATCTGAGAGTTACTCTGTAACAAAACCATATTTTGATATTTTAATTTGAATGTACCCCTTGATGCTATATATGTACATCCGTATATTATAAAAATAACACATGAATTGTTTATCTCTTATATACTGAAACGCTGAACAGATTTCGAGTTTTGATACAAAAATATGGACATGGACTGCCTTTAACTTCGCCCACGTAAACAAGTAATATTTCCATATTTTCCGTATTCAAATACAAGTGTGTCATTTTTCATGGAGATCGATTGTAAAGTGTAGTAATTGATGTACTGCAGCGCTATTAGGGCTAGTTACAGTAAAATTGATAGCATTTTCCACTGTATGTCAAAATTTGAATACGAGTAAAAACTTATTAATTACTTCCACGAGGAACTGAATATTTTTTATCGGTAACAAGTTATTAGGTAGCTAAGCTAAAGGACGCGGATATATAGTTGTAACTTTTATTTATATCCTTTTTTTATCTACTTGAAATCCATTATACTTTTATGAAGTGCAAGGGACGATGAATGAATGACATTGTGGTATGCTGGAAAATAAATAATAAGTGACATCATGTGTGATGGAGTACTCGTATGATATGATGGATATTGTTAGACACTATAAAACCGACATCCAAAACATATTAAATACAAAAGATCATAGTAATCTTGCACAGTTGTTTTAAATACTGATACTATTAAATTTCAATTTGTCTATAATGTGATATTTTATATTTTGTGAAATCGGCTTTTAATGATAATTTCAATTGATTAATATTGAATAATTGATTTAGACAACTTCAATATTAAAGAGGTAAGAATATTATATAAATTAATTTACGAAACAAAAATGACTATGTTGTCTAAAGATATCTTACATACATACATACATATCATGTGCACCCCAAGCACTGTTAATTGGAACATTAATATAAAAGTAAACACAACCAAAACAAACACGTCATAAATATATATTTAAAAAAATATAAGATGTATTACAAAAGAATAATTAAAAACAAAAAGTAAAGTAAAAAAATTGAATGCTGAAATCAATACCATTTACGAGGACAGATTTATGACGTGTCAATAACAAAAGAAGCCCAAAATAAAACCATGGTACATAAAATAAAAGAAAATAAACTTAATAAAAAACAATAAACTTACGGAGCACGTCTACTGGATAGCGACGGACGCGAGCGACGCGACCGAGGTGGGCCTACTTGCGTTCGAGCTGGCTATTTTGTGCAGAGCCAACACAGCTATATGATAAATAAAACATCATCATGCCTGTCATCGCCACGACAGTTGTCGATGGATACTCGAGCTTTTTGAGCCTATTCATGTACACCTTTGCTCCTTACTCACGTACTCCACTATCGTTTATTAGTATTAGATTTTAAACTTTTTAGTTTTAATGAAATACGATTTTATAATTCTTTAGAAATTCGAATATCCTGTCGACATCTTTTCTAGCTTAAGCTGAGTGCACATCAGTTATAACTATTTGTTTGATGATGATTATTATTAAATAACATTTTAAAGTAAGAATCGCGATGTGCACTCAGCTTTGTACCAATAAGAATAAAATAATAACTGAGAAATAAATGCAATAGAATTTTTAAGCAAGCGTACGATAGAAACAAATAATTTTCAAGTGTCTTCATGGCCGCTTATTGTTACTGAAACTAGATCCGGTTTAGTTTAGATTTTCCATAACATTCAATATGCTAATAAGAAAACTAGTTAAAGTTTGTCACTTTGAAGACAGTTAAAAATTAAGTTATAAAAGTAGCAGATTACTAAAAACGTTATAAAACACCAAAAGAGAATAGGAGTTGATTGAATTTCGTTTGAAAATGTAAGTATCAATTGTTATAAAAATGTGTCATACTATCAAATCCTTTTCTCTAAAAACATTAAAAAACCACAATAAATAAAATATGTAAGAATTGATAATGGTGTCGTATGAATTTTTTGTTACTTTTTGAAAGTTAATTATAATGATGCTTCATAATGTGAACATTATGGGCAAATTATTAGTTGCGCTCAACGCGTTGTTAAAGTCCTCCCATTTTGACTATTTATGTAAAATAAATTATAAATTTGCTATTAATATCATGCATTTACCGAAAACTTGTTTAAGTAAAACACATACGACAAGGACTTATTCTCAAAAACTACTCTCTATCCTTCTTACTCTTACAAAATTATCAATAGTATACAATGATGTACTCCATAGTCAAAGAAAAAACAATATACTATACTTTAAATGGTAGATAATTTAATTATTTTTATTTTTTGTTGTAAAGAATATGAAAATATATTTGTATCAAAAATAAATAATGAATGAATAATGAAAAACTAATATCTAATGCCATCTATTAAACATAGTATTATATATATAAAATGAATGTCATTTTTAATTTATATACAAGAAACACAAAAAAGCCCTTCTAGTACATACCATGTAAAGACGACATATCCAGCTCAAACATAAGGGTGGAAAAAAAGCCTTTGAAATAATTGCTAAGGGATTGAGTTTATTACGTAAGAAATTGTCATATAATTTTGTAGACATATCAGTTAAATAATAACAGTTTAAAGGATATATATCTTTGCACCTTATTTAAATATATTCATGATCTCACGTAATAAACAAAAAATACTGTTATTTATAATGCAATATATTTGATGGTGAGATTTATCGTGCACTAACAATTTAGTTTATATTTAATTACCACATATTGCTTAAGGTTTTTACTTTTTACCAATTAATGATTTAAAGTTATTTTTACCAATTCATGATTAATAAATTTCCTAGGGACTTAAGTGGTCATACGTGCGTATTATACATACATACGCGTAAGATGCTATTTATAATTTTACTTCTTTAAGTTAAGATATAATAAATCGACATATTAAATGGAATTATTTTTAATTATTTCAAGTGAGGGGGGTGAGGTAGAAATAACCATAACAGTGTGTTACGTAAATACGAGTATGTGGTAAACATGATATGGTTATAATGCGGTAAAAAATATTATATCTAGAAGATTACGTTTCATTATACATTTTAGAAAATAATTAATGTTCTAGAAGGAATAAGTCAGGATCCTAAACATCTAGTTTATAACAGTTTACAACATGACATAACAAAATAAATTTGTCGAAAAAGTACAAGACAATATCATGCAAAATTTACGTACAATCCTTGAAAGCAGAAATCAGGGATGAGATTAAGTATGTGAAAATTCTTATGGATTTTAAAATCATTGCACTTATATTAAAAAAAAAAAACTTGAATTCGCTAACTTTAAGACTAAGAAAATAATGATAGATGATTTTGTTTCTTCAAAAGTCGTTTAACAATATTTTGTTAATAAACAGTTTAGATTAATGAGGTCGTATTGTATACCTTGTGTTGGTTTGTAAGCACGTGACGGTCAGTCGAAGGGATCACTTACCGTATCCTTCGCCCTGCAGAAACAGACGGAAAGCCTCCGACACCTTCCCTGGTTGCTCCTCCAATACCATAGCGGCGTCTGATATCTGCAACATGTTTGTATTATATTTATTAAAGATTTTTAAAACTAAATTCAAAATTTTTATATACCTAAATATATATACAAAATATATACGCTTCATAAATGTACACTACTGTTATTAAGAGGAAAGATTTGTATTTTTGTATGTTTGTAATGAATAAACTCCAAAACTACCGGGCCGATTTAGATGAAATTTGGTTAGAAGATAGTTTGAGACTTTGGGAAGGACAAAAAAGAAAGTTTGTACGGGGAATCAACCTAGGGACGAACTCGAGCGAATTTTATTTATATTTATTTATTTAAAACCATTTGCAATGGAAATTCCTAGTCCATAGATCTCGATATGCCAGAAATTCTAAAAAAAACACTCGTCTTATACTTTCATAAATGAAAAATGTAGGTCTTTTCGCCTGTGGATTAATTAGTGCGTTTCAACTGGGAAATGTTCGAGTATGGCTGTCGTTCTCGCCACTATATCACGAAGGCATCAGTTGTAATTACTCAATTATTCGAATCGAATTAGTGTTTAAAATCGCTTCTATCAAGTACATACAGTCTGTAAAAATCCAGTAGTAACCATAATAATATTATAAATGTAAATGTGTGTTTGTTTGCCCTTCTTTCACGTGAAAACAGAATGAGGGATTTGCGTGTTCTTTTACGTCGAAACGGGGTGACGGATTGACATAATTTTTTGTGTGGAGATAGTTGGTGGGCTGGAGAGTGACATAGGCTACTTTTTACTGCGAGAAATCATCTCATTCCCACGGGAAAATACGTTATAATACAACCGAAAAAAATGTTTATGATCAGAATTACTTGGACTTGGTAGTAATTCTCTTCAATACAATTAAATATATACGTGTTTTAGCATTTTCCGAAATTCATCTCATAAAGGGGCGTGAAAGTTTGTATGAAGCCTACTTTATTAGAGTTTTTTTGTAGTTTGTAGGGTTTTGCTAGTGGATTACTCGTATATGTTTGAATTTCATATTTTGTATTGACGAGATATGTCACAATAGGGAATATGCGTGTGATTTAAATAAAGTTGAAATATTTTTTATAATCCTTATTGCTTTTGAATTAAGCCTAGTTCAATTATAACATAAATATGTCAAATTTAAATTATTACTTATGTAATATTCTTTTATACCACAAATAATACCTATTAATTGAATTTTTTCATTATTTTTTTTTATTATAATTTTCATTATTTTTAACATTATAAATTATTTTATTTTTAATATTAAAAATAAAATAAAAACCTCAATTAATTATAAAAATAATTATTTTTTAATTAATATAATTTCTTTTTAAATAAGAAAGTAATTAGATGTTAAGAAGTGCAAATATATGTGGGATATTCAAAGGAGTAGAAACGAACGCCATTGATCAGACTGAATGTGACGTCAGAGTATACCATAACAGAGCGATTAGTGATTTTTTCGCTACAAATAGAGTCGTCACTTTTTTTTGTATATAATACTGTGACGTCACGCGTGACGGGCGTTTAAAGGAATATTTTTAGGATATTTTTCATTTTATTTGATACTAAATTTTAGTTTTCTGGAGCTGAATATTTTTCTTACAATGATAAAACGATGTTACCGTTGTATTTTAAAAATTGTATGTTAAACAAAATATCACGTATATTACCTATTAATAGTGGTAGACTATAAAGTGTGGTCGCCTTCATACTCGTAGATTAGAGACAACGAGCGAAAATATGCACCGTAAGAGCTGTTGTGGTAGGAGTGTGTGCATTTGCATCCATCAACGTTCAAAAACTAATGAGAGTTTATTCTTCGTAAACGATGGATAAAGCAATATCTTTATTTGCAATTTTTCCAAACTGATTGTTTTGAAATTTCATTCAAACGAGTTAAATTTAATTTTGCTATGTGAAGTCTCCGAACGCACACGCAAAGAGGTTAATTCAAGAAATTTAGATTATTGTTATGCGTTTTTAAAATTAATCATATTTACATTAACTTAAAATAAATGAACTAAGCGAAGCCTTCGGACCCAAATTTGTAATTTTTTATTGCTTAAATGAGAATATTTAGAATAGGGAGAGTAAGCTAAGGATTTTCGTCCTAACTCAATTTATTGATATGACTTAATTTTGCAGAACAGAGTGCGCATAAACATACGAACTTCATATAATAAATATATCCATACATATGATAAATTTCTGAGTCGAATCTGTATATTATTTTTTTGGAAAATCTTATTAAAATAGTCATTGTTATCGATAGGTTCAGAGGTCGAGTCTTTAGTTTTTAGAATTCTTATCCATCTATCTGTCTGGGAACGCACCACGGGAAAACCACTAGACAGATTTTGATGAAATTTGGTATAGTGATAACTGGTTATCCGGGTCAACATATAGGGTACCTTTTACCGCGGGAAAATGTCTCATCTCTAAAAGAAAAATCTATACTAAACGTTAATATATAAAAGCCTTACTTAATTTTAATTGACTGAGCTACCATAAAAACAATTTTTCAAATCAGACTGACGGTCAGCACGTTTAAATATTTATATAATTTTCAGTTCTACAATGCATTAAAGTAAGACGAAAGCTACAATAGAAGTCTATGTAAATATATACATTTATTAGTAATCGGAAATAGTTTGTTCAAATGGTAAAGTTAAACATGCGACATTCCCAGCTCTCAGTGGCGAGGCGCGTCTCTGTGACAGTTATCGATGCATAAAATCGTATAAAATGTTATGCAGACACTGTCATGGCGTGGACTTATGCAACGCTAATAGTGTATTGATTCATATCCTCGTAATTTCAGCATATAACTGAGTGGTTGTTTTAAAAATGGCAGCATCCATTTTTATGGAATGACCTGAGATGAACTGATGGCTGAGATAGCTCTTTATTTGATGCTGCAGCTAATAATATGAACGGTAATATAAAAGGTACCTACACGTATTTCGAAATAATAACTAACTTATTATTATGAATTAGCGATTCAACCTCGCTTCGCTCGGGTTCATCCCTAGGTACGTTTTAACGGTTAGTATGGAATAGATAGATTATATATTATATATACATAGTACACAGGTATGATGAGTTGTTGTGGGTTGTATTTTAACGTGTTTTCCTGTGTAAACGAGATAATGTCCAGCCCTCCATCTTCACACAAAAAATCACGCCAATCCATCACTCTGTTTCGACGTGAAATAAAGACAAACAAACAAACACACTTTCACATTTATAATATTAGTATAGTACTAGCGGCTCGTCCTCGCTTCGCTCAGGTTCGCCTCTAGAAAAACAAAAAACAAATCTATCCCTCGGGAACCATATATTTTTCCGGGATAAAAAGTAGCCTATGTGTTATTCCAGACTATAGTCTATCTCTGTGCCAAATTTCATCTAAATCCACAGATGGTTGTAAGTCTCACCTTCATCCAGGTAGAGTTGGATGGGCAGAGCCTGGCGTTGAGGGCCACCGTCTGGTCCACGTGTGGAGAGAGCGCGGCCGTGAGGTTCAGCACAGGGGCGCGCAGGGTGGCGGCGTCGCGCGCGATGCCCAGGTCGGAGCGGCGAGCGTAGCTCTCCACCAGCATGGCCAGGTTGCCGGGGTTCACGTGCCGGCGGAAGTAAGTACGGTACATTTGCACCAGATCCGGGTTACGCTCTTCCGGGCACTGGGTATACAAACGTCGGTTGGATCATTTCGGACAATTACCCAAATTTTCACCACGTTTTTTGAAGAATCCACGTTTAGTATATAAATGCTTTCCGTTATTAAATTTAAGCGATCACGGTCTTTACTGCTGACGAATAGGCGTGTCTTAAAATTGCCAATTACGAATGCATTTAACAGTATTAAATAATCAGAAACAATTGAACAGCAAAATGGTGTACGCGAAAGCTATCGATGGCAGAATGGGACTTCAAGATCAATCAAAAAATACAATTTCCCACTTCAATGCACCGTACATTGCATTCACAATTTCATATTAAAACAACTAATTAAGCTTAATTACAGTTAAATGACCGTTAATCCATAACTACAGGTAAGTATAAAAAATAACAACAACCCCTTAGCTTTTCTAGTTTAATCTGACTATAGGTTCGGTGTGTACGATGTATCTAGTTATCGCACAGCAACATCCCGTGACAATAGTCCACCATACATACACGCGTTCAATTTCCAATTAAATCTGGCAAACCAAAAATCCAATTTGTAGCAGGTAAGTTCGTGGCTCGCTTTTCATTTCAACACAGATAATGGCGCAGTATGCAAATGTCGCAACGCGATTAGCCGCCAGCGCGACCTCAGGCATGCGCTCGTGTTTGTATGTACGTGGTATGTATCACGTATCTACGCAACCGAAATCCCCTTTTAGCAATGTTACTAAATTTTATCAAGTGTAACGCATAGTTGGGCAAAAAGCTTATTTATCAACGACGTACATTCAAACTGGATTGTGCAGTGATGTGATGTGAACATGTACCTAGTCTAGTTGAAAGTTGAGTGGCATGATTGACGTAAGCTATTATATTATTCAACAGTATCGCAAAGATTATAAAATCGCACGAGCATCTTATAAATAAATGTAACTTCGCTTATATCGCTGGTAGGTGGTAGGTACATACCCGGCCGAAGTGGTACCACATCAGATAGTCGATGGCAGCCGGCGTCATGCCACGAGAGCGCAGCGCGCGCGAGTTCATCTTGTGCGAGGCCCACTCGATCCACCCGGCTTGCGTGGCGGAGCAGTTGATTAGAGTCAGTGCATCGACCTGGAATCGAACATCTTCCAATTGACTACACACACTGAGTTAGGAGTACAGGACGTGGCAAAATACGTCATAATTTTGTAAATACGTACATATATTAAATGCTGTAGCATGTATACATACATACATATACACACATATAGCGTGTAGCTGTATATTTTTATTAAAAAAAAAGATTTAATGATATATAAGTTTATCCAAATTGAAATTAACAAAATATGACACGGCACAAGTATATTTCTTCCTTTTTATTTACATCTTAACATTATTATATGATGTGATAAAATAATGTTTTAAAATTGCTTTAAATAAATATCCGCACAATGCACGGCAAAAATATGAAACTATAAAGCTACTAGCAGGTACATATTATATTATACTACATTTTAGTGACAATAAAATATAGTCAGGAACAAAACTATAAGCTGACTGAATATAAAGTTAAACAAAGGTACTATTTTAGTTATACAACTGCAGTATTTAATTAATGTTATAACTAGCATTGCCCGCGGCTCCGCCCGCGTTCGATGACCGAAAACCAAATTCTTAGGTTTTACATATTAGTATACTCTTACAATGCAGTTTTTGTATTTTTTCTCAGAAATGAGATATTGTTTCGCGGTAAAAATTATAAATAATAATTATAAAATTATAAAATAACCAGCTATCATCATACCAAATTTCATCAAAATCTGTCCAGTGGTTTTCTCGTGATGCTGTAACAGACAGACAGATAAAAATTCTAAAAACTATAGATTCGGACTCTGTATCGATAATATTGTCTATTTCAATTAGATTTTCCAAAAAATATTTAATGTACAGATTCGACTTAGTTACAATTTTATTATATGTATAGATATCCTACCGTATGTTCTTCAAGGTTACCTTTTCTATAGTTTCCTATTTTTATTATCATTGTTTTATCAGTAAGAATTAAAAATCACAGAAGATAAACGGCTTTCACCTGCTTGGCTTCAAGTGAATAAGACCACGTAACAGCTACATGTCAATGTAACACGTAACGTTACATAACGGGGAGGCGCCGTACGACTCGCCGGTTGCGACTTATGCCCGATTTCACCAACGTCACCTAAGTTTAAGATCCCCTAAACATGGTTAGGGGGCTGTTAGGGGACAGTTTCTGTTTCACCGACAGTTAGGGGTCACCTAAATATTAAAAGGCCCCCTAAATTTAGGTGCTCGAAATATGGGCTTAAAGACAATCGTAAAACTAAATTTAATTTAGGGGCTAGTTTAGGGGACTTTTAAGCTAGGGATCCCATACGTAGGTGGTAGCTTATGCGTTGTTGGTGAAATCGGGCATTAGACTATTTTCTTTATAATACACACGTTTTGTAATATAAGGTCCGTCGGACCAATATTATAGATGCAAAAGTTTGTATGTAAGTGTAATATGTATGTTTGTTATTCCTTTGTGAGGAGAAGTACGCGCTACTGTTAGGTTTACGGAGCTACGGATGTCGCTAGTATATACTTACCTAGTGTCTGTATGTGACTGAGCTGCTCTATACAGAGCTAATATTGTTGTTTGTACGATAAAACCCAGATAAATATTAAAAAACTTTTGAAATCTGTTAGTGTTAGCTATTTCTGGAATAGTTAATATTAAACGGAGTTCTGGCGAGTTAGAACAGGTCGAGAGTGACATGACTACTTCTTCTCCTGGATAACGATTAAATATTCCGGATGTGACAGATGATAGACGAACAGTTAATTCAATTTTAACGAGTTTTCGTAGTTTTTTTTAATGTCGTATTGCAAGTGAAATCGTGGGCAAACGTTGGCCGTCAATAAAGGTTCATAAGACTCTTGTACTTAAAAAGGCAGTTACCAGTACTAAATACCATGACGATGGTCGAGGGTTTGATTCTACTACGATTTGAATTATTGACATACATCACGGAAAGGATAATCGAGGGACCATACGAAACCATGAAGTATCAGCGCTATGTACTAACATGTCGTATATAGAAATATTTTTAGCCAGTTTTTTTTTAATTTTAACCTCAACATCCAAAAGCGATTTAAAAAGAGTAAGTTGAAAAGAATTTCAAACGAGTATTTAATGTATAGAATTGATTTTTATACTAATTAATAATCTTATATATTTAAACGAGCTATTCTTGTATATATATATATATATATCAATATATAATCTGAATCTCGGAAACGGCTCCAACGATTTTCATGAAATTTAGCACGTAGGAGGTTTCGGGGGCGATAAATCGATCTAGATTAGTCTTATTTCTGGGAAAACGCGAGTTTTCGAATTTTCATGCGATTTTCTTTTGCATTTTCACAATTTTTGCATTGTCAGTTGTCACTTCTGGTGGGTGGGAGGCGCCACTGTGCAACTGTCAACATCGTGTCCGTATTTACATCAAGTAAAAAAATATTTAAGTGGAAAAAATCTAAATAAAAATGGTAAATTATATTAATCGATAAAACCTATGGGCAATATGTAAACATCACCAAGTCTTGATGTGTTGAAGAACAAATAAGCTTTTAAAAATTCACCTACCAAACAAATACAAAAGTGACAAACATAACTTATAGATAGTATCAGTGCAAAACCATCTTTTCTGTGTGTGATGACAATAAAACAAAATAATTTGTGAAGTGCAAGCGTAAAATATTAAAACATAAGTTTATAACCTCAAAGACTAATACTCGGTATAAAAATTGATATTCAACTTGGTATATATACAATTGATGCTCTTTTTAATCAGCTTTTCTACTTCCAAACTTCCACACTTAAGATTGAGGACATAAAAAGTTGTTAATAAACTTGCAACAAGAAATAAAACAGCAGAAAAACAGAAATGTTAGAAATGAAAGAAGACATTAAAATACAATCAACAATAATATACTTAAATGAGAGATTTAAACACTTTAGAAATAAAAATTGAAGTTCTTGAGAAAAATATCCAGGAACAAAGTACCTAAATAAATAATTTAGAAAGACATATTAGGCGCAAGAACTTGGTTATGTTCAGAGTAGAAGGTGAAAAATCCTATCATGAACTAGAGGAAAAAAATAGTCTTAAACAACGCAAGGAGTTACAAGCCCAACTGAAGATAAAGAAAAAGACCTAGGCAAAACAGCTTTCTTAAAATATGACAAAACTAATTATTGTGGATAATAAGAACACTTCTCACCAATACTCAAATATAAGAAGTCTGCCTGTATCTCCAGAAACGCCTTATCTCAATTATAAACAAAAACTAACAAATAAACAACATACAAAGAAAACCATACCTGGTAATATTAAAGACTTTATATTAACAAAATCCAAAATTAACTTTCAACCACACAAATGATAACCAGGAACAAATAAAAACAACACTGCAATACAGTTTTATTAACACAGTAGGAACCTCCTCATCTTTATCCCCCAGTACGGCCGGTCATTGTGGGGAGTTCGACCATAACCCTCCAAAGAAAAACAGACATACAATGACAAAGGTATACATATCTTCACCAGAAAAACTTCTAGAATTAAAAGCAGTTTTTCCTACAACAAATCAAAAGAACACAAAGATAAAATTATAAACTTGATAGGCATATCAGAAACAAATTATATATTGGAAACAAAATTTGAAAAGAAACCCTTTGCAATCATACAAGCATAATCTCCAACGGAGAGCTCTATGCAGGACTACTTTGGAGTTAACCCGAGAGGGGTCTATACATGAAAAAGACATTTACTAAATAAATACATTTAAATATGAAATTAAATACCTAATTTATAACTATTGTCAGAATTAATGTATGGAAAGAAATTTTATTTATATTTTTTATTGTGAAATGTTTAGTATTTACTCAATTGAATTATTTAATTTATTGTCATTGTTTATTTATTTGTTTGTTAATGATAATTTATATATATACAATATAATTTCAAATAATATTAAAGATTTTTAAATTAATTTCATTCCAGATTACAAAATTATTAGTTAAAAAATTATAAGTTAATAAATAGTCACTAAATTATATAATTTTATATTTCAGCAATGTGATATAGACATTTTTTCTGATAGTTAAATTTATTTAAAAAGAAAGTGTATTTAAATATTTAGATTAGTTTTTTTTTCTTCTTTTGTTTATTGTACAACTAAAATGGCTCCTTATATACTCTTAACCAAATAAAATTTTAATGGAATACTTTTATAAAAAGCTGTGCATACTTTTAAATTAAATTTTGCAATTCAAATAGGTAAAATTATAATGTTAAATAAATGTTTTTATGTAAATTTAGTTAGTAAGCCTTTATAATAGATAAATGAATAAATAAATAGAGCTTTATTATTATTATGATTTCTTTTGCATTATTTCAATAAATTAATAATTCCACGCAAAATATTATGTTCGATAATTTCGCACGCTCAGATATAAGCATCATGGTCAAGCGGCCAATGCGCATGTTTGACAACCACAGATGTCTGGGTTCGTATCCCGGTCGGACACAAAGTTTTTATTTTTGTTTTTTTTTTGTATTTATTCAAATTTTTAGTTTGTTTTTTTTTTAATGTTTTTTTTGGCCAAAAACTCCGAGCAAGGCTCGGTCGCCCAGGTACTAAGTATATATACATGATAAGAATACTAAAATAAAAGTTATACAAGAAAAGTGTTCAAAAAAGTTTATTACAAACATTTAGAAACGAAGTTAGCAGTAAGCTGCTCGTTGCAGCATTCTACCGAGAGATGGCGCTACGAGACCCATTACTTAGTTGTTTAAACTGCCGAAGAAAACTTATATTTTGGAACATATTGCTATTGGCCGAAAAGTTGTGTTCGATACGAAATTTTCCAACGATTCATGATGCATGGTGCAATTTGTGATGGAACACGAATTTTCCCTACTTTTCAGTAGTTGAAGCCGACGAACTCCCCGCTACAACCGAACCGGCTCTCATATATTTTTCGTAACACGTTTATTTATACAAATATTCGTCACTGGAATGGCTTTTACGTGCATGCAGCGAGACAGCAGATCTTTATGTAATAACAGTGCAACTAAAGTAGTGTTGAGAACATTATTTGATTATTTTGGCGATTTAATCGATTTTATAAAAGCCAAACGAACAGTTTTGTCTCACTTTATCTATTAATCTATTTAATATATAACTCAAAAAGTATTTATTTGAAAGTCAACTAAAAAACTGGTGATTCCACTTAAGTGCAATTTTTTTGTTAACATTTGCACGGAGCTAGCTGTCTTTAAAATATCGCATAACAAATTCACGAAAGAACATCCACCTTAATTGATCCTCCTGCTTCTTTGAAGTCAAATACATAGGCAGGATTCATTTCAATCGATAACATAGATTAAGAGATATATGCACAATATACCTATACACCTATGGAGCCGGGATTATAAGATGTGGACTTTAATATGACAAAAGCACGCAATAACTAGCACTAAGTGTTATTCCTGTGCAATTCATTTGCAAGGAACAACATTGTAACACACTGCCGTACCAATTTTTTAATTTGAACTTTAAAATATAAGGAATTAATATCTATACATATAATAAAATTCTGAGTCGAATCTGTATATTAAATATTTTTTTAAATGAAAAATCTTATTAAAATAGTCATTATTATCGATACAGAGGCTGAATCTATAGTTTTTCAGTAGTTTTTAGAACATAAGCCTGTCTGTCTGTGACCATATCACGAGAAAACCACTGGACAGATTTTGATGAAATTCGGTATGACCATAGTTGTTTATCCGTGTCAACACATAGGATACCTTTTACTGTGGGAAAATATCTCATTTCTGAGAAATCTATACTAAATGTTAAAACGTAAAGTAACGAACGGACGAACCGGAGTGGAGCGAGGGTGAGCCGCTAGTTTTTAAATATATTTTTAGAAGTTACAATGTTGTTCTATAATAATATTTGTAATATTTGGCACCGCACGTAATTTAGGATATTATCAAGAAGATAATCTCTATTGTGAACTGTTATCTAACACGCATTATAGTAAAAGTGTTACATATAGTCGTTACATTCTTGTATGTCTTCACACCCGGAGGTCCTGGGTTCGAGTCCCGGATCGGGCCAAGTTTAGTTATAGAGTCTTTCTGTATTGTAAGCCTCAGTAACAGCCTGGAATTGGAAAGTTGGCGGTGTTTCATCCCTGTACCTCTGAGAGCACGTGAAGCCGTCGGTCCTGCGCTTTAACTCTTACAGGTCATGTCGAGCAATCGTCCCACCGGAGTATGAGAGTGACAGGAATAGAGAGTGCACGTTGTGTCTGCGCGTACACTTGTGCACTATAATATCTCCTGCGCAGTTGGCTAATCTCAATGAGATTGGCCGCCGGAACCAGTCAGGAGGACATTATTACATTCCTGCATTCTTCGTACATTCCTCTATACGCCATAATCAAATAATGATGTACTTTTATACAGTTTACGTAACAATATTGCAAACATTTTGTAGAAACTGCTACAAGGGCGCTCTTATAATAATTCAAAACAGAGCTATTAGTAGCGGAGTGCGTTTATTACCGAAGCATTGTAAAAGTTAAATAATGGTCCTCTTTTGTACGATTGCAGACGTTTGTACGACGCCCGAGAAACAATCGGGTCTCGACATAAAATTCAAACATTATTCTTCAAAATTAGCAAGTATTTACAAATAAAACTTTAGCTATATTTTATTTGCTTAAATATATAACAAAACGTGTAGAATAAGGAGTGTATGGCTCTCTCAGTACAGCCAATACTTTGTACAGTAATAGAAAAGTAAAAGTAAAACAACAAAAACAATAAAAATTTAAACATTTTAGAAGAGCATCTGCTAAGTTCCAGTCGTCTCTTCTCAGCAAACCTGCATTTATAGCTAGTATGTAGCTTCCTCACGGACTCAGTAAGTACTTGTACAAAAGTAAAAATCGTGGATTTGGAAATCGAGGTTATAAAAATCTATGCAAATAAAGCATAGTTTGAAATTCAGCTTGCATTAATTACTTCTTCAATACTAACTGTTTAATATGCGCGTACTATTCCGATGGCAGACGTTTGGAATATATTAGTGTTTCACTAAATAACTTTTTAAAACCGACTTCAAAATCATTTTAAAAGTTAATAATTCTCCTTTAAATCATATAAATTTACCCGTAGAGTGTAGAAATAAAGCTTTATATCTGCACGTTATATAATTCGTATAGAGATAATCACTATTTTATTTCACGTAATAAAAATTAAAATTAAATTAAAAATATTTTATTGAGTAAAGCATATTATTCTGTTCAAGAGTTTCTTGTTGATGGAAATGTGTGGAATTGAGAAATATTGACTCATATGCGGGCTATCTATAATATTATGTTAATAAAAGAAGTAAAATGTAACTTGATATTTAAAAGAGCAACTGTTGAGTTTCTCGCCATCTCTTCTCAGCAGAACTGCTTCCCGAGCCGAGACATTGACTACACTGATGCTATATAAATTAAATTGAGGATTCAAAGTTCTTGTATAAGTCTAATTGAATAGTGTTTAATTTTATTTCATCAGCGTTAATGGGGTAAGGTTAGTTAGTAGATAGCCCCCTCTCCCGTTCACCGTGCCGTGGTGAGGGGGCTCATTAGCGTCGGGCAATCCAGCCGGGCGCGAAGTCAAGAGATACGCTGGAAGGTGGCCCACTTCGGTAAGCGGTGTACCAAGCAGGTTGCTCCTGGTATGTATACAGGTGGTATGCGTAAACACAATTCCCAAAATTTTAAAAAGTTAGTAGTTAGTAAGCTAATAAAGTTCCTCACCTTCTCAGGGTTGCTGAGAGCGAACCGCGCCAGGATGTTGGCGCCCACGCCGACACCGAACCCGATTATATTCTTGATCCCAAAGTGCACGAGCACGTAGTTGAGCTGGTTGGCCAACTCGTCCATGGTCGGGTACACGTAGCTGTAACAATAATTTACATTTAATATGGGTACTAGGATTTCAAGAGGACTTTTAAAATATATTCATAAATATATGTTTAGATTCATTACACCGTAAAGGAGGTCTAAGGTTCGTGATTTATACAATTTTGGTATGTGGGTGGCTGTTTTAACCTTTATTTTCTAACGACAAAAAATCATTTTAAAAAATATAACTCAGAAAGTATTAAAATATTTAAACTGGTTTTAAACTCTCTCATAATAACATAATAATATACTTATGCGTGACCTTTTCATGTTGTCTTCTGATTGAAAAAAGGTTAAATTTAAGATTACGTGTGTGGTTATGGTACCATAAATTTATGTAAAGCTGTCTATTGTAAACAGCGTGCCGGTAACCAGCTGTCACCATACCAAATTTCATCAAACCTGTCCAGTGGTTTTCTCATGATGCTTTCTCAGACAGACAGACAAGAATTCTAAAAACTATAGATTCGAACTCTGTATCGATAATAATGACTATTTCAATAAGATTTGCCAAAGAATATTTATGTCCAGGTTCAACTCAGAATTTTATTATATGTATATAGATTTAAAATCTTTGACAATAAGTCGAATCCAATTGTGTATTATTAGAAAAAAAATATCTTACAAAATATCCTAATACTTTCTTTCTCCTACTTTTTTATAAACAATGTAAAGATAATAACGTTCATGAGAGCTACTGTCGATAATCTGTTACAGAACTACTTTGTATAACAACTTTGTACTTTATATTGTAAAAACATAAAAAATAAATTAAACAACAGATTCGTTATCGACAGGGTAAGATAGGGTATTTCTACTGACACATACATACATATTTTTCTTATTTTTTTTCGACAAAAACAAAAACCTAGTAACTTTAGTGAGAAATGTATGTATGTATGTCTGCGTAATAAGATTCATCTAAATGATAATATTAGGGTGATTCATCACGAGGTCGTATCGAAGGGCTATGTAGTACAAATGTGTAGCGTGGCCTGAAAGAGTTTCATTCAGTGTTACATAGAGTCGGGTAGAGCTAAGCATTACGGCGCTACGCTGCTAGTTGCGTAACACTGCGCCACCCGCTCCGTGCCCACTCAGTACAGTGGCACGGTACCTGCGCGGACAATACGTGCCCTATACATTTGTGATATCAAACTTTGTAATCGATTTTGTTTCAACTTAACTTAAAAATAAATTTTACGTGAATTGTATTAGATTTTAAATAAAAACAAGAAAAATAATACTTACTTAGATTTACGCGAATATTTGACATTTTAAATAAAAATATCTTTTCGGATTTTTTCGCGGATTTATTTTAATTTTTGGTTCCCGGCGTTTTAAATGCTTTACAGCGCAACATGGTCACGAGAGAGACAAGGTTAAAAACGTCTCAAAGGTGTATCCTTGTTACATACGGTGCCTGTACTCAAAATAAATCCGCGAAATTATCCGAAAAGATAGTTTTATTTAAAAACAAGACACATATGTTAGTTTATTAGCGTCCGACAAACGCAATCTTCTTTCATACTTTATTTATGTTTAAAAAAAATTAGGGATTTGTGGATTGTTGACTGTCTTATAGCTTCGCGATGGATTAATTCATACAAGCTAGTTTAAAGTGGCGAAAGATACCGTCGCTTCAAGAGATTATAGAGCTTAAGTAAAGATTGGCTTAAAGTACTTTGTATAGAATCAGTCAGTTCTGAGAAACTTTAGATTAAGCCATCAAGTAAGTTGGTCATTTACAGTTAATAAGACATAATTTCTATAAAGACTCAACAAGACATTAAAAAAACAACAATATTGCCCTACAGCGTATTATATTGTACATTGTTGCGAAACAGTTAGAAAAATGCCATAAAAAGCAAACATAATACTAAGATAGTGAATGAGGAATAAAACAATTTTCCAGTGAGTGGTTCTGAAGCCGCGGTAGCAGACGTCGTAAGTCAGTGCCCAACAGCGAGCGCCGTCCCGGACGAGACTATCGAGCGGTGTTGCGTAACACTGCGGTACCAGACTCGGGCGTGCTCCCGACAACCCCACTACCTAATAAATGAATTTCATTCAAATAATTCCTAAATAACTATGTTCCGTACAAATACAATGACACCGCCCGCGCCCTCCGACTGCTCCGGCCGGCCTGATCTGCTATTGTCCCGAGTTCACAGCGTTGGGCTGTTTGATGCACTCTAACAAAGATATTGCTAAGTAAAAAATATTTATTTTACGTAGTCGAAGATACGTTTCCTTTAATATTTATATTACATAATTTAAACAGCCCTTTTTGCTCGTAGCTTCAGGAATTCAAATTACTTAGAAAATATAACAAGAATGTTGCCATCTCCAGTCACTCGAGGAGTTTGCGCGCTAAGTTTTGGTTGAAACGTTGAGTAATAATTTGGAGAAGTTCGCAACTTGTGCATCGAGTCGAGGTAACAGAAACGTAGTCTGAGATGAGATACAAATCTGAATATTCAGAATGTAAAAGTTAATATAAGAGAGCCTACAGTTGACGCGGCACACATTTTCGCGGGCGTCGAGTCGGGCCGCCTGGCGCCGGTGCCCTATTATTGCAGTTTATTCACCTACCCTCTTCTGTGAAAATAGTCTGTTGGCGGCATTATATTTTCCACTAGCGCTGGTTAAATTGACAGGTTATAGATATTAAATTAATGAAAATTCTTTTTAAAACAATAAAAACGCCATGATGTTTCAGGTGTTTTTATCACGAAAGTTATATTTTAAAATAATTTAAGAAAAATATCTTTTATGTATCAAAATACGCGAAGTTGCTAGCAGCGGTTGGATGCGTAGAGCTGGATCGAGCTCGGTGGCGTGCGGTAGAGAGACCTATGCCCAGCAGTGCACGAAAGCAGACTGATTACGATGACGATGTATTAAGATAATTTTAATTTATATATGGTGCATGGTTAAGAATGTTAACAGGGCGAATATCAGTGCCCGTCTTTAACTGAAGCATACCTAAGATAACGAGTTTCCTTTCATACGGACTTCTACAGTTACATAACCTGGTGGTACCAGAGCTCACAGATGCACCCAACTAGCGAGTTTAGTCGTATCCTCCGACTGCACGTCGACTGTAAATAAGTACTACGACCGACACTTGCTTATTGACACTGTTCGTACACAGCTATCTACAATTTAGCTAAGTTTTAAAGTCGTAACACAAAATATCTATTTGTCTTACTTCTAGACGATACGTTTGGTTCAGTTTGTAGTGACCCTACTTGCTGTGCCAGCGGTTGCGGGTTCCAGCCCCGCTGGGGGCATTCATTCGTGGATGTTTATATTTATAATATGTATGTATTTAAAGTTATATGTAGTGTATCAACTATCTGGTATCCATAACACGAGCCTTGTAGCTTACCATGGAACTAGATGGTGCTGTGTGTTAATATACCAACATATTTAGATAGGATTAGTTTACTCCAAGGTATACTCATTTTAATTCTTTACTATTTTTCAATGCTGCCTGTCACCATCACTATGATTATTTCCTGTGGTTTAAAAAGTTAAATATCACTAAATACAATCAGAATAGACTAGGCACGATCGCAGTAATATATTATAGCCGCAAATTACTAAATACAAATCTATCTATGTATACTGTATATCTACATATTTAAATCTTAAAAAAAAATTACATGGCATCCAAGCAGAACTAGAATAATAGAAAACTTTCATAGAAATACATACATAGCTTTTTGTTGAAATTGGTTCAAATCAAATTCCATACAAGTATTAAGCGATCCAGATGTTTTCTCTCGTTGTTTAAATGGGTCAACAAAATCAAGCCGCAATTAATCGGTACAAGATGAATCAGCATCCCTATAAAAACGGAAAGCAGATCTTGTGTACTTTTTTTTGTACTTTTCGTCTATTTTCAAGCGATAAAACATTTACGTAAAACTGAATACACAATATTTACAATATTTATTTATACATATAATAAAATTGTAACTAAGCCGAATCTGTACATTAAATATTTTGTGGAAAATCTTATTAAAATAGATATTATTATCGATACAGAGGCCGAATGTATAGTTTTTAGAATTTTTGTCTGTCTGTCTGTCTGTTTGTCTGTCTGTTACCGCATCACAGAAAAACCACTGAGGGATTTTGATGAAATTTGGTAAGGTGATAGCTGGTTATTCGAGTCAACATATAGGATACTTTTTACCGCGGGAAAATATCTCATTTCTGAGAAAAAATACAAAAACTGCAGTGTAAGAGTATACTAATATGTAAAACCTAAGAATTTGGTTTTTGGTTATCTGAACGCGGGCGGAGCCGCGGGCAATGCTAGTAGTAAATAAAGTTATAGATTTTGTAGTATTTCAATTATTTCAAAACAAAATCAATTTACAAGGTATTCAGTTATTTCGTATTTGTTTTGAGCTGTATTGGTTTCCCAATACTACTCGTAAAACTTTTCCCGTAACTTTTTCTCTTTAAAGGCTTTAAGACACATCGGCGGAAGCTTAGCGCACCGAAAGCTACAATATACATTATAATAAGCTTCCAGAGTAGAATTCCAAATATTCTCAACAACAACTATTACGCAACAAGTTTAGGTTTACGAAAGCACCGACTTACGAGTACATACAAAACTCTAATCATTTAGTAGCAGCGATACTTAATGAAATATGTTATTAAGGAAAAGTTATTAATACACAGCTACAGAGTTTAGAATAAAATCGTAACACAAACGGAGCGTGAATATACTAATTAAAGCATATAATATAAACTAATACTATAAAGAGGCAGTTTGTTTTGTTTGTTTGAATACTAATCCGATTTGAAAAATTCTTTTTGCATTAGATAGCCCGTTTATTGAGTAAGGATGTAGGCTATATATAATAAGCTGATTGCTAATAATAAAACTAATTGCTAAAGCTCGCCAATAGATCTATACATATAATAAAATTGTAACTAAGCCGAATCTGTACATTAAATATTTTTTAGAAA